TCATATTTTTTATTATAAATATAACCTTTAAGTACATTTTCATAGAAATATTCACAAAAATTAATTAAAAATATATTATAAGAAATATTTTCTGTATTTTTATTTGCAAAATTATTTTCTAAAAATTCAAATAAAAATTCAAATCCTTATAAAAAATCAACAAAATTAAAGTGACTTTAAATATTATTTCCATTCCATTTTTATATTTTAGCATCTATTTTTACTAGAATGTCATCTTTTATGATTTTTAAGAAAATATTATGTGAAAATTCTTCCAAACTTTGCTTATAATTACTAAAAAAATATCCGTATTTTTTATATTGTGAATATTCATCCTGAAATCTTTTATATATATCTTTTTAATTCGTAAAAGAGAGTAAAATTTAAGTGAATTTGTTCTAATTTTAATTTAAAAAACTACTTATTAATTACAAAATTTAATGTACTTTTAACTAATTTTAATATTCTTTTTGTAAGAATTTTTCAAAAATAAAAATTAATAAAACACAAAGCAAAAAAGGTAAAAAAAATTATTAATTACTTCCAATATTTTCAAATGGAAGATTTTTATTTTTAAAAATCGAAATAATATCAGAAATTTAATAACAATTATTGTGAAACAAAGTATTTTCATTTACATTTTCGAGAAAAATTTAAGGAAAAATATTAAGAAAAATATAAATATAATCAAAATTTGCATTTTATTTTATACAAAAAGACAATAATTAAATCAATTTACTATTGTTCGATGTAAATTTCAAAAATATACATAAAAGTGTAAACACGAGTAAAAACTTACTCCTTTCAGGATCTTAAAAAGGATCAAAATTTTAACAAAATTTGAATTTTTTTTTATTAATTTGTCCTTAAAATATATATAAATAGGATTTATGCATTGCATTAGTATTCTCTTTATTTAAAAAAAAATTATAAAAAGTATTGAAATCATTAATTATTTATAAATTATTTAATCCTTTATTTTCAGGAAATTTAGAGTATTTTATTTTTAATAAGATATCTTTTACTGAATTTTTTTCATTATTTAAAATATCTTTTAGTTAATTTATTTAGTTTTCGTTAATTTAGTTTAATAAAAAAAATGTTTATTATATATTTAGTAATAATTATTACAGTTTATTATTTCATCTTGCAAATAATTTTATAATCCTTTTTCTTATATTTATTCTATAAAAAAACTTTATTAATATTTTTAATTGATATTTATTTTTTATGTTATTTATTGAATTTAATTTTATTATAGTGTATTTTATAAATTTGTAAATTAAGTTTTTTCATTTATTAATTATTAACAGTTTTATTAATTTAACTATTATGTTTATATTTATTGAATTTTTTATACATAACTTTATTAAAATTAAGATTAACAACTTATATAAGTATGATAAGATAAATCTTCTTAGTGATTTTATTATTATTAAAAATTATTATTATTATTATTATTATTATTATTATTATTATTATTATTATTATTTTCTTTACTATATTTATAATAATAGTTATTATTCTTTTATTTTATTTTATTCCTATTTTTTTATTGCCTATTATTACTATTTTTCATTTTATTATTGTTTTTATTTTTATTATTATTATTATTGTTATTTTGGTTATTATAGTTTTTTTTATTATTATTATTGTTATTTTTATTCTTATTATTCTTATTATTCTTATTATTCTTATTATTCTTACTATTCTTATTATTCTTTTTATTCTTTTTATTCTTATTATTCTTATTATTTTTATTATTCTTATTATTCTTATTATTCTTATTATTCTTATTATTCTTATTATTCTTATTATTCTTATTATTATTATTTTTTTTATTATTGTTATTATTGTTATTATTATTATTGTTATTATTGTTATTATTGTTATTATTGTTCTATTTGTTATTACTGTTATTATTGTTATTATTGTTATTATTTTTATTATTGTTATTATTGTTATTATATATATTACTATTATTTTATTTATTATTATTATTATTCTTATTTTGGTTATAATTGTTTTAATTGTTATTATTATTAATTTTATTATTGTTATTATATTATTTATATTTGTTTTTAATGTTACTATTATTATAATAGTATTTATGGTTATAATTGTTATTATTCTATTTATTATTTTTATAATTATTAAATTATTTATTTTTATTATTTTTCATTATATAAATTTTCATCTTATAAATTATTTTGTTTTACATTTATATTTTATGTAATTGATTTATATTATAATATATTTTAAATTTTATCATTATCTTTTTTATTTTCTTCCATTAATTGTATTTATTCAAATGATATATTTTCTAATTTTTCTTAACTTTATTTTTATTCTTAATTTAAATTTGTTTATATTGTAAAATTTTATTATTTTTATGTTTATATTTATTCATTAGATAATAATTAATTTTTTTTTATTGTAAAAGCGAAAGTATTTCTTCGTCTATTATTTGTTTGAATTGTTTTTATTTATTTTATTCATTATAGTTTTATTTTTACTTTGTTTTTTACATTTCTTCTAAATCTTCATTTTTATATTCGTTTTTTTTTTAGTTTATTTTCTTTTGTTTTTATTTATTTTATTTTATTCAGTTTGAGTTTATATTATAGGCTAGTTATTATATATTTAATTAATTAATATAACCTTTTATTTTTTATTTTTGGTTTATTAATCATTTTTAAACTTTTCTTTTGTTTTAACATTATTTTATTCCACACTCTTGTTTTAAGTTTAATTTTATTATTAATTTGTTTATTCATTATTATTATTATTTATTTACTATATATTTAAGCTTTATTAATTAATTTATTATATTATTTCATTTTCATTTTCTATTGTACATTATGTTTTTTTTATGTTAATTATTAATTTTACTGTATGATTTTATTTTTATCTTATTATACATTTATATTAAATTAATTTAAATTATTTTGGTTTTAAATTTCTTAATAACTTTATATTTTATTAGTTATTTATTCAAACTAATATTATTTCTCTTATTCGATTTAGGACTATATACTATTTTATTTATTTTTGCTTTACTTTTTAATAGATTAAATAGTATTTTATTAAATTTATTATGTACCTTATTCAATATTTTAACTTTAAAAAGATAACTACTCTGTTAAACTATATTATTAATTTGATATTTAATTTATATCATTTACTTCTTATTGATTTAATTATATAAAATTATTATTTTATTAAATTTCTTTTATATTTTATTATTCTTGATTTAACTATATCGAATTATTAATTTAATTAATCTCTATATTATTTGAATCTTATTTATATTGTTAATTTATTGTTTTTTATTCTTAATTTTTTAATTAAATAATTTTACTAAATTAATGTTAATTTTATACTTTTTAAATTAGTAAGTTTTTTTGATTATTTTGTAAAGTTAAATTTTCTTAATTTTAAATTAATTTATTTTAAACTTAGTTTTAAAAGTTATTTTCAGTATAAAAAGTTTCTTGATTTTTATCGAAATCCAAAATATTTTTTTAATGGTTTAATTTCTCGATTTTATATATTTATTTTTATTTATATTTTGATTCTTTATTAGGTTTCTATTTGTTTATAGACTATAAACTATTTTTTAATATTTTAAATAATTTGTTTTTATATTAATTTTAAATCTTTATCATAATATCTTATTTTTCATTAATATTTTAAATTATCTAAAATATTTTATTATCTAAATTATTATTATCATTTTTATTTTAACAATTAAGAGTATTTTATTAAGTCAAATTAATTACTTTATTATAATTATTTTTTTCCTCATCTTCTTCGAAAACCAATGAAGACGAATGAAAACTTAATTTATCAATTTCATTAAGTTAATCATTATTAAATTACTTATTAATATTTTTAAATTAATTATTTAAGTTAATTTAATCAATTATATTTGTTGTCTATGTATTTTTATCAGATTTTTTTATTTAATTTGTTTAAGAATATTTATCAATAAGTATTTTATCTTTTACTTTTTTATTTAATTCTTCTACTGTATTTATAAGAGATTTATTTTTTTCAATTTAATCTTTTATATTTTATTTCAAATTATAAATTGTTTTGTTTTTTTAAAATATTTCTTCTTTTAGCTCTTGTATTTAATTTAAAAAGACTGTATTTTATTTCTTTGATAACTCAGTATTTTATACTTTATTAATTCCATTATTTTTGTTATTATTTTAATTTATTTCCTTCCTTAAATTACTCACTTCTTCCTTTAATTAAACTACTTCTTTATTTTTTAGTAATAATTCATCTTTATATTTTTAACATTAATTTAAAGCTAAATCACGTTCATTTATATAAGAATCTCTTTTGAATTCTTAATCTATTGATTGCTTTGAGGTTTATATATTTTATTTAATTAATTAATCAGCTTACATAATTCTTAATTTTAGCTATTCAATTTATTCTTGATTTGAAATCATTTTATTTATTTATTTAAAAATATTTATAAATTTTTTAACAATATAAAAAAAAAAGATTATTTTATTTGTTTATGAATTTTACATATATTTATTTCGAAATAAATTTAAATAGAATATATATTATTTTTTATATAATTAAATACTATTTATAATATATAGCTTTCTAAAAAAATCTTTTATTTTTATAATATTTAGTTTATTTATTAAGGGATGGTTTATTATTATCTCAATTTTATTTTTAGCTTATTAAATAATAAGAATAATTTTAGAGACTATTATAAATTTAATACTGAATATATAAAACTAGATATAGTAAACATATAAAAATACTAAATAATTATAAAATATATATAAATAATATAAAATAAAGTAATTGTTTATATGTTTATTTATATTTATTTATATTTTAAATAAACCTTTATAATTTGTGTACAATTTTAAATTTATTTATTCCTTTACTTCTATCAATAGTTTAATTTAATTGATATTTTTTGGTTTTTATTTTTTTTCGAAAAAAATAAATAAAAACTATATTCAAGAATAAAAACATAAAGCATAAACTTCTAAATCTAAAGTATTAAATCTCTATTATTCGAATTTATTTTCATCTGCGTTATTTAAAGGTGGATTACCATAAGTATCACATTTAAAAGTTTTCCCATTTAAATCACTTTCGATTCTTATAGCATTATTATCACTACCAATTGTAAAGTATTAATCTTCAATATATATATGATTATTGTTAACATTTGTGGAATAATAAACATTTTATTTAGGATGAATTTAAAAAACAAAGGATTCATTTGATCCATAATAAACTTTTTTTCTTTTGTATTTATTATTCGATCACAAAAAGCCCCAAAAATATAATTTTTGATTTTTATTAATAATAACATAGGCATATTTTTATATTCTTTGCTTTTCAAATATAATTATTGAAGTGAGTATCCATCTAACCTTGTTGAGAAAACTTAAATTGGATTTGATAATTTTTAGTAATTGGGTAGCCAACTCCATATTTTTAAAAACTATTTTAATAATATAATTTTAACTAAGTGATATTTTTTGTTTTGTTTTACATTTTTATATTATAAAATTGTTGATGGTTAACGAAGTTAAGGTCTATAGTATACTAAAACATCCTAAATATTTTACTTATTTGATGTTTTAATTTTACAAAATTTACCTTTTTTTAATTTATGAATATATCCGTACTTTTTATTATTATTATTAATTTAATCTAATTTTATAAAATAATATTACTTTTATTAAATGAGATATTTTCTTAGGATTATTTAATAAATTTATTAAGTATTAATTTGATAAAATTTGCAATTATTATTTGTTTTAAGATTAAATAAGTTAAGGCTATTATAATAAATGAATAATTATATTTAAAAATAAAAAGAAAAATTATTACTTATTGTTGATTTAAAATTGAATATCCAATATAATGAAATATTTTTAGCCCTTCTTTTATATAAAGAAACATGATTTGAATATATGCCTAACAAAAATAAATATTAAATTTTAATATAATAAATATCTTTGTACAATATAAGGAAGAATATTCTTAAATCCTTTACTAATCCATCCGAAAAATATTTAATCGATAGAAGCATCAAAATTTTATATATGAATTTATAGACTTTTTATTTTTTTATTTTAATTAATTGCTCTTTTTTCGAAATTTTTGCAATTTTGCATAAAATAATTAAAATTTAAAGTATAATGATAATTCATTTTTTTAGAATTAATTTCTATTTATTCTTCTGAATTTATTAAATTGGCTTTTATAATATGATAAGTTTCGAATTCACTGAAAAATATTAATAAGAAAGAAATCGAATGTGCAATTAAAGGATCATAGTTTAATTTTGATTCTGTTTTTTTTAAAATCCACATTATTCTTTTAAATGCTAAAATACCTTACTCGTTCAAAGAATTTAATTGTAAAACATAATCTAAATCCTATTAAGTATTTTCCTCATTAGAGAATAAGGGAACTTCATCTATAATGTTTTAATCTGTATATTCAAATATTTAATTTTTTAATATATCATATTTATTTTGTAAATTTTTCCAGTCTAAGTTATACATTTTAATTATTAAATTTCTATATAAATATATAGGGGTAGCTCTGTTTTTTTTTAAAAAATAAAATAAAAATATTTTTTTTTTTTTTTCTACGTTCTTATAATATTTTTATTATCATTCAAAAATTTGTTTTTAAGTAAATATTTACTTTTTTAATAAATACTGCTACAATCATTTATTTAGTTAATATTTGCTTTTTCTATTTGATTTATTGCTTGGGTTTCTGTTAAGACTATATTTTTCCAATTTTCCATTTGAAAGTTCTTTAATAAATATTATATTTTACATATATTATTGATAAATATATTTTAAAGTTTTACTATATGTGTTTCAAAATAAGGTATATAGTAATTAATTAATAAGTTCAAATCTATTGTTTGAGGTCCTGGCTTATCTAAACTTTGAAGATTTTCAAAAAGTCTTTATCCATCGATACTATAAATAGATTACTATTTCGATGGAATTTAAGATTATTAAGTTTGAGTCTGTTTTTTTTAATTAAAATTATTAGAATTTGTTAAAATTTATAAGTATTGTATTTTTTTATATATTAAATCTTATTTTAATTACTGTAGAATTCTGTTTCTTTTTTTTATATTTGTTATGATTTGATAAACATTGACCCATTTTTTTTATATTTTAATTTTTAATGATTGTATTAATAAAATAATAATAAATTTTTAATTTTTTTTTTTATTAAATATTTATAACTTTAATATAAAAATTGAAAATAATTATTTTATACTTTTTTGAAAATAGAAAAAAAAAAAAAAATTATTATAATGATTTTATAGAAAATAATATTTTTATGTTATATATATACCAGTTTTTTTATTTATATTGTATATCACCACATTTATTATTCGTTTTACATATTATTACATATAAAAAAATAAAATTTATTGATATTATTAATAAATAAATAATTAATTCTTTAAATTTTATAACATTTTTATAAAATAAAAAAAAAATATTATTTTAGCAATTTTGTTTTCATAACTATTTTTATTACCATTTAATCTTATAGAATTATAAATTCTATTTGGCTTTTATTAAACCCCACCCCCCCTCCTAAAGTTATTAAATCTTCCTTTTGAAATATTTATTCCTTTGTTCATAAATTTTATTAGAATTTTCCATAAATTCACAATAGGGCTTAAATCAGTATTTTATCATTCTAAAATTTAGATTTTCTCTTATTTAAATTAACCTTAAATTATTTTTGATTTATATTATTAAATATACATTCTGAATTTCAAAATTATAATATTATATTTCGAAATTGTTTTTTAAAATATCAGAGTATTATAATGAATTTATTTTTTAATAAATAGATTAAATATCAATTTTAGAATTCTAAAGCATTGTACGTCTTTCTAAATAATATCTTTACGAAAAATTTGCTATTATTACCTACCTAAAATCATGACAATTATATTAATAGCTATCAAAACTTTCTAAATAAATTTTATAAAATATTATTATATTCCATTCACTCTTAACATTAAATATGCTCTTATACTCTTTACTCTGTTTTACTTATAATTTTATGCTTAAATAAAGCTTTTTTTAATAATCTTAATATTTCTACTTTATTTTAATAATCTATTTAAAGTAAATTGATTAAATAAAAAGGCCGAATCATAAGTTTTATTTTATTATTTAACGTTTTAGCCTATTATTTATTTATTTTTAATACTAATTTTATTATTTAATATTTAACACAATAGGATAAACTATTTATGGAAAGAATAAAAATAAATATTTATAATATAAAAAAATATTTATAATATAAAAAACAAATTATAATTATAGAAATATTTTTATTAGTATATGTATATAAAAAAAAATTAAATTTGTTATATTTTAATATGAATAATTTATAAGATTTAAATTTAATTATATATAACAATATAAACGATTATTAGATTATTAGGTATATTATAAAATATTATGAATATAAAAAAGAAGAAAATTGAGCTATTATAATAATAATAATGATAATAAAAAAATTATATTATGCAAACGAAGTGATTATTGATACACATAAATAATTATTATTTTATATATATTATTTGAAATTTAAATACAAAATATAAATTTAATTTTTTTTAAAAAAAAATTATAGTAATAATAGTTTTTTTAAATTTTATTGAATTTAAAGAAATTATTTTAATATAAATATATAAATTTATAGGTTTATTATTTATTTTAATTTAATATTTTTTTTTTTTTTTCAAAGATTGGTTTTCTTATAATTATAAAATAAAACAATAATTATAATAATAATTTAGATTTTTAAAAATTTGATTTTTATTTTATTTAATTAATTATATATTGAGAGTTACTTAAAGATATATAAAATAATAATTTAATTATATAATATAAAAATATAATACCTTTAATTTGCTTATAATATATATATTAAAGTAAAATACAAATATTCATATAATTTTTATGACAGAAGAAGAAAAAAAAATTAATCAAATTTCTGAGCACGATGAAAAAATAATATAATAATTAATGCAGAATGATATTTAATTAAAATAAACTGATGTAAGGAAAAGATAATAGTCATGTACATTTAAAAATGTTAAGAAAGAAGATGTATTTATTTTATAATATTTTTTTTTATATATATTATGATTTTTTTTGTTATATATTTCTTTAATTTTAATATAATTTTTTAAGTTACCTTCTTATGCATCTAATTTTAAGCCTGCAAGAAAATTAACTCTATAATAAATGTTAAATATTGTATTAAATTTATTGTTATTAATTTAAATTAATTTGAATTTATTTTAATTTCAAAAAGGATAAAGAAGATGAATCATTAAAAAAATATAAATAATAATTACTTGGAGAAGTGAACATGGATTAAATAAATAATTAAGAAAGTATTTAAAATTAAAAAAAAAAAAAAAATATAAATTTTTAAATTAATAAATAAATAAAAATCTTATAAAATTTTATTAAATAATATGATTTATAAAAATATATTAATAAAATAAATATTTAATATCCAATATATATACATATATATATGTATATATATACTATTATTATAAAAGTTGTAGAAGTAGAAATATGTAAAATAGAAGTCATATCAGAAAATAATCCTTATTAGAATATAGTATTAGATTTCTAAGTATATTTTTAATAATTATTATAAGTAAAAATAAATAGAAAAATGAAATAATATAAAAATTTGATATTAAAGAAAATTCATTATATTTTATGAGAGTACATTTCATTGTTAGAAATGATTGTGTTTATGGATTAAAGTTTGTTAATAATATTTGGAGATATTATATTAAAGGCATTATTTTTATTTTATTAATTTTTTATTTTTTTTTCCCTCCAAAAAATAAAGTTGATAAATATGAAGAGACTATGGGATGCTTTGCTCCTAAAAAAGATGTTCAAACTTTCGATTTATAATTATAATAAGCACCTGGAGGAATTATTGGACGAGGAAATTATACAGGAAAAATAATGGTGTTTTTTAATTTAAATTAAATAAATTTTTCGAATATTTTAATTATAATTATTTATAGTTTCTTGATAATGATGGAATTATTCATATGTAATTTGATTACGAATGTAAAATTTGTAAAGAATGGAAGGAAGCATGAAAAATTTAATTAGTTAGATATGATAAAAGACAATTATAATTTAATTTTTTTTATGAAATTAAATAAAAAATAAACTTATTATATATTTAATTTTTAATAAAATTAAACTTTTAAAACAAATAAATAAATAGATATAATGTATTGCTATTTAATACTTTTTATTTTATAAAAAAATAGTTTATAATTAGATTAATTAAGGTTTTTATTTTTTCAATTAAAACAAATATTAATATTTAATACTTTACACATAAAATTTAATTTTGATTAATATTTATGTACTTTATATTTTTTGGACCGGTTTTTTTTTATATTAAGTTGTTATAATTAAACTTTCAAATTTTTAGATTTTTTTTTTTTTGATTTTGTTTTTTTTTTCATATTAAAATATATAATTTTAATTTTAAAATTTTTAAAAAACAAAATTAAAAAGAAAATGAATAAAAATTGCTAACTTTATTAATATTTTAATTCATTCAAAAATGAATTATTAAATAATAGCTTTATAAACGAAATATGTAAATAAATTAACTTAAAGTAAATATTCGAAGGATTATATGAATGCATAAAATCAGAAAAATTAAAATAAATATAATTTTAACCAATTTAATTTGCAATCATATTGGACGAATATTTTTTTTAAAATAAATAAGAATACCTAAAAGAAAAAATGAAAAAAGTAAAAAGAATATAAATATTCGTAAATAATAAAAAAAAAGATAGATTTTTTATTTTTTAAATTAATGATTAGATTTTAATGTCTTAAACATATGTTTAATCATTTAATGCATTTTAAAGAAATAAAAGAAGAAAATAATTATGCCAAAAAATATAAAAAGAATTTGATATAGGAAATTGATTAATTAAAAATCTTATTTTTTTTTAATAACAAGTAAAATCTTTTAATTGATTTATTCAAATTAGTTTATTAAAATAATTTTTCAATTGAATTTTTAAGGTTTATTATTTTTTATGCTAAAAAACATTAATTAGACTAAAATATAGTTAAATTTATAGAAAATAAAAAATTGTAAATGAATTCATCTAATAAATCATCATAGAAAATATCAAATTAAAATACTTAAATATAAAAAAATAATATAAAACAAGTTTAAAAAAAAAAATCTAATTCAGTTTAAATTAATAATAATAATTAATAAAATCATGATTACAAAGAAATACTTTATAATTAAATATAAGAATAAAATATTAAAAGTTTATAACTATTAATAATTTCAGATAATAATTCAAAAAAAAATTCATAAATAAAATTAAAATAAGATAAAAATGAAAATAAAAGTTAGGCGATTTGCAATAATGAAGAAAATAATTAATAAGTATATAGAAAGGTTTCTGATTAATGTAAAAGAATTTCAAGAGAATCTATGAAATATTAAGAAAAACCATAAAAAAATATTATAATAAGCAATTTAAAGTAATATATATTAAAAAAAATAAAATATAAATATATATTTTTAGATTAATAGCATAAAAATGATAAATATTATTTTCAAATAAATAGGGAAATATTAAGAAAAAAATAAATACTAATAACTAAAATACCATATTTATATTAAATAGTTTATATAATAACATATTTTAATAATTAAAAAAAATATTTAAAATAAAGTATTTCTAAATAAGTATTATTATTATATAAATAATAAATACTAAAATTATAAATTAATTAGAAATTTTAAAATAAAAATTACTTTAAATATTATATCTATATATATTATTAATTTAATAAATAAATTATGAAAAAAATATAAATAAATAAAATAAAAATTAAGATAATTATTATATATTTGAAGTAATAATATTTTAAATAAAATATAAAAAAAATAATATATAATTGTTTGTATTAAGTATAAAAATAATAATAAAATAAAAATCATGAAATAAATATAAATATATGATATAAGTGTATACGTATATATGTATATATTTATATATATATATATATAAATATATAAATATATAAATATATAAATTTTAAATATATAAATAAAAAAATATAAAGAAAATATATATTATTTAATATAAAATATACTCATTATAAAAAAATATTTATTTTATTTTAAAAAATTAATAAATATATTTTAATTTATTCAAATATATGAATATATTTTATAATTAATCATATTCATAGATATATCTTTTAATTCTAATATATATAAATTTATATATATATTATTAAATTAAAATTTAATTTTATATATTTTTTCTATTTTATATATTTATTATATATATTATTGTATAAATATTTATATATAAATATATATTAATATTTATTTTTATTTTTTATCATATTATTTAATATTTTTAATATTATTTTTATTTTATTTCATAATAAATAAATTTTATTTTACAAAATAATATTTTTTAATTTTAAATTATATATAAATACTATAATTAATATTATTTTTATTTACATTTTTTATTTTAATTTTAATTATTTTCATATTAAAATATCTTTAAATTTTTTTATTTATTTTTTTATTAATTTGTTATATTTTCTATAATTTTATTATTAATTGAAAAACTTTTACTTTTGTAATTACTATTTTTTTGAATTATGTTTTCATTATTTTTTTTATAAAAATAATTTATTTAATTATTTTCTTAATTTTTAATTTCTTTTTATTTATTTTAGTTTTCATTTTAAACTTAATTACTTTATGGTCTAAAAGTACAATAAGTTTTTTCTTCTAATTTTGATTCTAATTCTTATATTTTTGTAAAAAAATTTATTTTTTAAAATGGCTATTTTATATTTATTTAAATTATTTTGTTAAAATGTTTTTTTATTTCAAGCTCATGCAGTATATCATTTAAAAATTTACTTTTTTATTTTTTTTTAGCTTATTATTAATCATTATCTTAATTAGTTTTTTATTAATTTTAAGTATTACTTGCGTATTTTTACCAATTTTACATTAAGCGTAAAGAAATGTCTATACATTAAGAAGAATCTAATCCTTTTAGAAAATCTGCTAATACAAATAAACATTTTTTTTACTAATTTTATATTATTCTTATCATATTTTCAATATCTTTATTCGATAAAAATCCTATTTCTTGTAAATAATTAAAAAATTAAAAGCTTTTTTATTAAGACAATTCCATTTTAAATCGTTTTTTAAATATTGAATATTTTTAAAAAAATAATTGTAATATTTAGAAATTTAAAATTTAAATATGAAATATAAAAAAAAAATCAAATAATAAAATAATAATTATAAATAATTTATATATTAAACAATTTAACTGATAAAATTATTAATTAAATTAAGCTTATATAGACATAATTTTTTATTTTAAATTAATAAGTAATGTTTATAATAATTTATTAAGGAATTATAATAATTATTATTATTATTATTATTATTATTATTATTATTATTATTATTATTTTAATTAATGTTTTTTTAGCGTATTTTTTATAGAATATGTTATTAAACTAGAAATAAAACCATTTTATTTTTATTAATCTTATTTTTTTACTGTTTTTTTAGATTTACATATTAAAACACTATTAATTTTTATATTATTATATAAACAGTTATTTCAATAAAATATTCTATTTTTATTTTAAGGTAGTAGTATTATTAAAATATATCATCAAAGTTAAAAATTATAATAATTAAAAAAAAAAAAAATAACAAAAAATGATTAAACCCAGAAAGCAACTTAAACTAAATGAATTATAACTTTTATAATATACTTATTCTTAAATGGATTACTCATATGAAATTGAAATGAGAATAAATGAATGGCTTGATAATAATAATATTATGATGGTCAATCCTTAAGATATATAGTACGACTATTATCATAAAAAAAGAAAAGTCTTCATGTAATAAATTTAAGATAACATAGAAACATTTATGAGTTATGAAAGACCTTAGAAATAAAATAAAAAATAACTAAAACTTAATATAAATGCTAATATTAAAAAAAGAAATAGTATGATTTTCGATTTGTGATTAATCAATAAAAATAAAAGTTAATTAAATTATTAAAAAAATATACATAAAATGTATTTTATAAATGTTAATAAATATATGTATAATATAATAATTAAAAAATATTATTTTTTTTAAATAAAATATTTTAAACAATATATATTTTTTTAAATTTTATTAATAAATAAAACTTTTTCAATTAATATTAAAAATCTCTTTTTTAAAGCTAATATGTTCAATATTGAAGTAAAATAACATAAGCTTTTTATCTATTTTAATTAATATATTTCAGTTTTTTCATAGATTAAGATTCAATATATAGATTAAGAATAAATATTAAATAAATACATAAAAACTTAAGATTAAAAACAGAATAATATAAATAAAAATTAATTCATATTAGTTTTAATTAAGAATAATTTATTTTTAAGAATAAATTATATTTAATTAACATTTTTTTTTTATATTAAATAAATATTTATTTATAAAAATGTAATTTTTTTTTTAAATATTTTTATTTAAATAAATCTAAAACAGAATGATATAAAATAAAAATTTTATATTAAAAAATTATTAAAAGAAAAAATTTATACAATAAAAAAAAAAAAAATATAAAAAAAATTTAATAAAATTAAAAACTATATAAATATATATATATATATATATATATATATATATATATATATATATATATTATTTTATAAATATTAATATATATTTTGATCTTTTATTATAATCAATAATTTTTTTAATTATTATAATACATAAATTTTAATTTAATTAAACCCTGTTTTTTTTCTATTTTATATTGAAATCTAATTTAATTTTTTTTTAATATATCGCTTATACATTTATTTAATTTTTAATAGTTTGTCCCTATTTATTATCTAATTTTTCTTTTTTTTTTTTCTTTTTTATTATTTATAATATTTTTTTGTATTTTTATGGTATTTTAATGTTGTTTATTTCTTTTTCTTTTTTAATTTTTTTTTAATATCTTTGAATGTTAAACTTTTGAATTTTTTTATGCATATTTTCTTTTCATTATTTTTTTATATATAAATTTAATTATTTTTAATGAATTATTGAAATTTCATTCTTATCTTTTATTTCTTTCAAATTTTAATTTTAATTTTTTAAGATTTTCTTTTTTAATAATTAAAATTAATAATTCATTTTGTTTTGTTTATTATATTTATTGAATTATTCATTATTATTAATTATTTGTATTATTTATTATTATTTTATATATGCTATATTTATAATTTAAAATACATTTTTTGTTATCTATTGCTTTAAATTTATATGCTTTTAGGTTTATTTATAATTAAATTAAAATACATATTGTTTTTTTTTAGATTTTCAAAAGAATTAATTTTTGTGAATTATTGTGTTATCATTAAAAAAAAAACATATTTTTCGACTTTGTTGTTTATTTGATTATTTTAAATAAGAAATGAAATTTTTTATTGATTTTTGAATTATGTTTATTTTCATAAATATATCTTCTTATTCTTAGTGTGTGTTTCAATATTTTATTATTATTTAGTGATTTTTCTATTTTTTCATTTTTAGTTTGTTTGTTGAGTTTTTGTAGATTCTTTGCTGTTGTTTAGCGTAAGTTTAGCGTAATATTTTAAGTTTCATTATTATTATTTTAATTTACAGTAATTATAATAATTTTTTAATTGTCCATTTTCCATAAGATATTTTCTTTTTTTATTATAATTTTTTAAATTATTATAAAAATTATAAAAAATTTAAAAACTTAAAAATTGGTTTATAAAAAAAATTAATAATCTTTCTAAAATTTAATAAATTAATTCATTCGAATATTTTTTTTTTAAATTATAAAATAAATATAATGTTAATCAAAACATTTTACTAAAATTATTTTAAATTTAATATATTAAATTTTCTTATTCCTTAAATTTTCGTTTAAAAAATATTTAATAAACTATTGAACAAAAAATATAGGTAATGTCTAAAAAATATTTCCAAATAGATATTTTATTTAAAATAAAATCATATTTAAATGTATTAAAATTGCTTAAATTATTATAATATTAATTTTTGTAAATTTTTTTATTGGTAATTACTTATCTTTATAATACGAAATCTTAAAAAAAATTACTTAATTTTGGTTTTGTAAATATTTTAATACTATATGAATAATATAATTATAAATATCAATAAAAATTATATTTAATTATTTTATATTTTTTTTTAAATATTAATATGCTTTGAATAATTAAAAAAAACTCTTTTTAATAAAAAATAAATAACATCAAATTTAAAAACAATTGGTTTATATAAAATAATTAGATTTTAATGGAAAATCATATTTAATTTAATAGAAATTCTTATTATATTATAAAAAAATATTAAAATTGTATTAACTTATATAATATATTTTTAGTTTTTCATTTTATCATAGTATAACCTACACCAAGCAATCCTAATAAAAAGGCTATTAAAATAAAATCTAAACAAAATTTATTAGGTTCCCTGTACTTTAATATAAAAAAAATATAAAATATTAAATGAACATTAAATAAATATATTATAAGTTTATACTTTTTTAAGCAATTCTTTCATTTTTTTATTTGATGAGTCTAATTAATTTGAAGTTTAATCAACTTTTTAATTTAATTATTGAATTTTTTATCCAGCAACATCAAGTTTCTTTAGAAATAAAAATATTTGTAATTTTTTTAAAAAAATTAAAAATAATGTATTAAAATTTATAAATTGTACATCTCCAATTTAAATTGCTTTTCCTTTTAAAATATCAGCATGATCATTTATTCTATCTAAAACTAAGTCCATTTCTTCGTCTTTTTTTTTGAATTGTTCCATGGCTTACTTTTCTTAATCATTTGCTTCATTTCTATACTAGTTATTAAAATTAGATTTATTTCCATTCATTATGTCTATTATATAAATATTAATAAAAAAAAATATAATAATAAAAGAAAAACTTTGTTTCATTTGTGATAATGAAACAAGTTAAATTTATTAAATATCAATTTAGTTTCCTCCTTCTTATTGTAATCCTCTTTTATCCATTAAAATTTAAAGTTCTTCTTTGATAAATATATACATTTTATCTCTTTTATTAACATCATTTCTATCATATTACTAATAAATTAATATATATATAAGTATATAAATATAAATAAAGAAAAAAATATTTATATAAAACTATAAATAAATATATATATATATATATGTAAAAATATTTATATATATATATATTTATAAATATATTTATATTTATATATATATATATATATATTTATACTATTTATATTTTTATTTTATAATTTTTAAATTAATCAATTTAAGTTTTATTTATTATTTTACTTTTGGTTTATTAGCTTATTTTTTTAATATTTCATTTAATTAACTAATTAAATCTTCACAATTATGTAATTAATCTCTTATTTCTTATTCCTGTTATATAACATCTTTATTTCTTACTTTTACTTAATCAATAAATTCTATTTTCTTTTTTATATCTAGCATTATTCTTCTAGTTTCATTGTACATATTTTCAAATTCTCCTTATGTATCTTTTGCATCATTTTCTTTTTTTTTATTCATATTTTATATTAAATTTTTTCTTATACGTTTTTTTGATGTTCCTCCTAATTCTTTATCAATTTAATATAATTTTTCCATTAAAAATGTTATTTAATTTATTTTATCTTTGCCCATTTATTTTATTTTATTAAAATAAGTTTTTATATTTTATATGTATTATATAATTTGTTTATGTATAATATTTTTTAAAATATAAAAATAATTTTTAACATTTAATAATAAATTATATATAAATATATATATTTTTTTTTTAAATTATAAATAAATAATACTTAATTATAAATAAAAAATGAATATTTAATTAAATATGATTAATATAATATATATATTTTGAATATAATTCATTAAAAAAATAATTATTTAATATTTTTTTTTTCAAAAAAAACTAAACTTCTAATTTTTATATTTATATTTATATTATTTTTATTTTCATAATTATATATTTTTTTTCTTACTTTTTTTAATTTTTTTTTATAATTGTTAATGTTTAATTTTAATTTATTATAAATGTTTATAAATTGATTGTTTTAATAATTTTAATTTTTATTATTTTTTCATTTGCAATATATAGCAAAGTTATTTTTATATATTCATTATAATTAAATTATTATATTTTATTATTATTAAATTATGAACACTAATATCATAAATTTATAAGACTAATTTCATAAATTATGTTTTTGGAATAATCAATATTTTATATTTATTATTATTTGCTCGGATTCTATTAAAGTAAAAATTATTATTGTCTGTATTAGTTTATACAATCATATACGACATTTATATAGTAATCCTCAATTTTTATAATTTGTATCTTTAAAATATTTATTTATTTCTAAAAGAGCAATTCTTAACTAATATTATCATATAATTATGTAATTTATTATACTTTAGATTATTTAGTATTTTAATTTCTCAAATTAATTCTTAAATTTATTTTTTATCATTAAAATATATATAAATATATATATATATATATATATATATATATATATATATATATATATAATAGTTTTACGTATATCTGAATGACTATTATAGAATATTATTAGTGAAGCAATATGTAGTTAATTTAAAATATAAGATTATTATTCATCCTGTTATTGTAATTTATATTTCTACATTAATATCTTTAATAATACCAAGAGATGTATTTATAGAGATAATATTATGATTATTAAAATAATGTAATATTTGTCTTTTTTTAAAAAAAATAGATTTTTAATTTCAGTAATAATATATAATCAACATCAGAATATTTTTCTTTTGTTTTTGTTTTTATTTTTGTAAGTATTATTTTTAAACTATTTATTCATTAAATAAAAATAAATAATTTATTTTTGTTTAATTATTTAGTTTTAATATTTTTTACTTACATTTAAAAATTATCAATTATTTTTGATTTTGTCATACCATATAATTTTTTTACTTAACCATTTATTATCTATTTTATATTCCCTAATTTTTCTTGTTCTTATAAATATTTTTTGCAGTTCCTTTAAATGGAGATTAATTCAATAAGCTAATTAAAAACCCAATAAATATTCTAATATTTTCTTATTCAATTATTTTGATTTAAGTATATTATAGGATTTTATGTATATAAATTTAATAATTTATACGAAATAGATATTTTTTTTATTGATCTTTTTCAATTATAATTAATTTTTGGGTATTTGTATTTATTTAATACATTTTTATTTTATATATTGAAAATTAAATTATTTATTATTATTGTTTAAAATTAAAAAAAATATATTTAAAGTACAAACATTTAGTTTAACCCATTTGTATAAGTTTATCATTAATTATTTTTATATAATAAAATGTTTAATTATTATATCAATAAATTTTTAAATATTTTTGCTTTTATTGTTTTGAACGAGCAAACTTTTCTTTATATTAATTAATCTATTTAACTTTTATTTTTAGTATTTATAAAATTATAATATATTTCATATATGATTAAATTTTCTATTTTTATTTTATAGAGTTTGCTTTTATTGTTATTTTATTTGAATTTTATACATACTACAAATGTAATTTGTATAAATTACTTATTATTTTTATAATAAATTGAATATTTTTAAATTTATTATATATTTTAAATACATATATTATTTTTTATTGATAAATATGTAAAATTAATAGTAATTTAACGAGACAGCTCCTCTTAATTAATAAAATAATTTAAATTATCAAAATGTATCAACAATGAAGCAATATTATTTTTATCATTAAGCTGAGTTAATATAAAAGGAACCTTTTAAATTAAGTGCTAACTTATAGGCAATAATAATAATTTTTATAATTATATTCATAGGCATTTTTATTTATTTATGGATTTTAAAAAAATGAAAAAAAAGAAAAAGTATTAAAGTATTATTTTTTATATATAGTAGTTGTTCAAAGTTTTTTTTATTTTATCTGAATAGAATTGATAAAAAATATTTGACAAAATTATTTTATTTTAATAATAATATAATAATGTGTTAAAATTAATAATATTACAACACGAAAAATATATATTTTATTAGGAACATAATATATAAAAAAAAACATATTTTAATTTTATTTAATTCATTTTTTAAATAAAAAAAACTAAAATCTTTAAAGTTTATTATTTTAATTATTTCTTAAAATACTATCTATATAGATAAATAATAATAAATTTCAATTTATTATTTATAATAGAATTTTTTAATTTTTAAAAAAAAAATTAATAAGGTAAATAAAATGAAAAATAAATTACCTTTTTAATACTCTCTAATTTAAGAAATAAAATTTTATTTTTTATTTTTTGTTTCCTTTAATTTACAATATCTTTTTGTCAATATCTAAGTAATACTAAACTATTAACAAATTAATATAATTTATTAGATTATTAATCAATAATAAAAAATTAAACATTATTATATTTAACTATTATCACTTTTCTTTATCAAAGCTTTATTATATTTTAAAAAATATATAAAACAAAATATATGGATGCTTAATTTTTTAATTTAAATATTTATTTAATTGAAACTTTTATAAACTATATTTTTTTTAAAAAAGAAACATTAAACAAAAAAAATTAAATTTAAATAAAAAATATGGGAAGGCGAAGATAAAAAATAAAAATGTTTTCTATTCTATTTTTTTTAATTTAAAATTAAAACAAATTGGCGAGAATTAAAAATTTATATAATTTTTTTAAAAATATATAATAAAAAATAAAATATAAAATTGTATATAAATAAAATGCTTTTTTATATTAAAAATTTATTATAATTACATAGTATATAATTTATATATAAATTTAATAAATATAATTTTTATAATCTTAAAAATTAATTTTAATATGGAACTTTAAGATTTTTCGTCATAATAAAATTTATTAATAAAAAATAGTTTTTTAATAAACGATAATAAATTTACTTAGTCAAAGGAAAACTTAAATAGTTAAAATTCGAATCAAAAATAATAAGAAAAATAGGAATAATAAGAATAATAGGAATAATAATAATTAGAGGTAATCTCCCATAAAGTTCTTCCAACCGATACATTAATCGGATTATCAATTTAATATGGCGTTTCTGAATTTAGAATAAGATAATTTAATAATTTGGATAGTGATTAAATATATTTTAAAAAAGAACTGAAAATTCCAAATCCTAATTCGAATATTTTAACTGCTTAAAGTAATATTAGTCCTGAAGAAGCTTTGAAAATACAAAAAATATTTTTTTTTAAATCATAAATTTTATAAGGAAAAGATAAGAATTCGGATAAAATATCAAAGATATATTTAGAATCCGCTGATTATGAAATATAAGAAGCAGAAAAATTTTATAAAGAAGATTTGGAAGAAGAAGAAAAAGCAAAAAAATAATAAAAGAAAAAATATAAATACGATTGAAGACAATAATTTATATTTTAATTGATTAAATTAATAATATTTTATTTCTTTTCTTTTGTATATTTAGAAAAGTTTTTAATTCTTTTATAATTTACTAATAATAATTAAAATTTAATTTAGCAAAAAAAATATTTTAATTGATAACTGATTTAATTTGCAAACAATTATATTTTTATATAAATTTTAGTACCTTAAATTATTAAACTTATTATTAATTAAACTTTTATAATTTATTTGAATTAATAAATATTCGAATTTTCTTTTTTTTCTTTCTTTTTTTTTTTTCTTCTATAAAATGTTGAACAATTCAAATTCGTTAATTTCTTAATAATAAAATACTTAATATAAAAAAAAACAATTTATATATATATATATTATTAACAAAAATTATATAAAATATAATATTAAATGGATAAAACAAAATAATAAAAATAAAACTTGATATAATACTATAAAAAAAATTAATTTTTTTTAAAAAAATAAAATATAATTTATTATTTTTATAAAAAAAAAAAAAAATTATTCATACAAATAAACAGCAACAATTTATCTTATTATATTCATTTTATTCCTAAAATTCTTATATATCAATGCTTTTTAAAATTTTATTATTATCTTTTTCATTTTATTTATATATTTCTTCATTTTGAAAATTAGTTTATTTCCTATTATTAATTTTACTAAAATTCTATTTAGTGCTAGTTAGTAAATTAATGGATTCTTCTTAAATAGAAAAGGAAGTATCATTTTTAATTATTTCAATTATAGTGTTGCCATTTCTTGAAAGTAAATTACTGTTTGCTCCATTTTAAAGTAAAAATTTAATAATGTTTATTTAATACTTTTTTTCTTAACCAATAGGAGTTTTAGTTTATAGTTCACAGAAATGCATTAGAAGTGTATATTATTTTTCTTCGTTTATTATTTCATCAATTTTAGCACCATTTTATAATAATAAACTTGCTATTTTGAAAGATAGTTTCATATTTTCAAAATAATAAGATATTTCTTTTAAACGATTAAATGTATAATATAAAGGGGTCTAACCTTTTGAATCTTTAATATTGGGGTCTGCAGCCGCATTTAATAATATTTCTACTATTTCATAATATCCCCTTGAACATGCGACGCTTAAAGGAGTTAATTAATTAGGTTATGATTATATGTTTGTATTCATGAATTTGTTTTTTAAAAAATGCCTAATTATTTCTTCTTTTCCTAAATAACAGGCTAGTATTAAAGGACTTATTTTATAATCGATTTATATTTGTGTATTTTGTACTTAAAAAAAGTTTAAATTTAACAATTTGGTATCTATTTTTAGTATTTATTCTATACTATTATCGTATATGTAATTCATTATTAATATATTAATATTCTTTTGTATTTTTTACTATTCCATTAATCTGTATTTTTCTTTTTTATTATAAACTTTATTTTTTAGTTAATAATAATTAACAAATATATATAGTTTTTAATAAAAACTATATTTTTTATTTTTTTCCTTAATATATATATATATATTTATATTTGTTAATTCTTAATAATTCATATAATAAAAAAAATATGAAAAATAAGAATTGTAATAAACATTTTTATTATTATAAATAACAAAAATTATTAAATACAAATAAAAAAAAATTTAAAGTATAATTTTATAATATATCCAATTAAATAAAATAATGAAAACTTTAATATATTCGACCTAAAAAGAATAAAGAGAATAATTAACGTAAGGAAAGCAATAAGAAACATATTTCTAAGTCGAAAATTAATAAGTATTTGAAATACTTAGAGATAATTATTTTAAATAGTTAATTTCATGTATTAACTCAAGTGATGAATTATCCTTAAAATCTATAATAAATTTATATAGAGTTCTTTAAACAGAAGGTTAATTAATTGTAAATTTCAATAATATATAAATTGTAGAATAAGAAAAAATATAAAAAATATTAGTTTCGTTAGGATTTAAATAAGAAGGTGCAAACCAAACATAATTAACATTTAAAAAAGCTTAATTATAATAATCAGTTCAGTTAAAAAGTAAAACAGAAAACTTAAGAAACAATGAATAATAAGTAAATGAAATTAAAAAATAAGAATAAAAAGCAGAATAATATATGTTCAGTAAAGTAGTTTAAGTAGAACCTTCTTAATAATAAAATAATTAAAATTAATAATAAAAATAGTAAAAAAAAAATCCTTTCTAATAATAAGCTAATAAAACTAAAGAAAATAATATTATTGATGAAGAAAGTCTACTCTAAAATGATAATGTAGAAACAAATAATTAGTAAACTGCAGAATCATGTTTAACTAAACCTAAAGCATGTAAAAATTGTACTTGTGGAAGAAAAGAATAAGAGTATAAATATATAAAAAAAAATATATATAAATATATATATATAAAAAATTTATATATAAAAATATATGAATATATATATATATATATTATTTTATATTTATATTTTTAAAAATATTTAATTTTATATATTATATTATAATAAATATTTATATATAAATAGATATATATTTATCTATATTATTATCTTTTTAATGTATATTTATATTTATATATTATAGATAAGCTGTCGATTAATAGTAATTGATATAAGCTTTAGAAAGTGGAGATATTAAGTCTAGTTGTGGAAATTGTTATCTAGGAGATGCTTTTAGATGCGCTTCATGCCCTTACAAAGGTAACAAAAATTAAAATAAAAATTTCTTTTTATATTTTTAATTTTTTTGTTGTTTTTTTTTTAGGATTACCTGCTTTTAAAGTTGGATAAAAAGTTTAATTAGATTAAAATGTTAAAGATGTTCTTGGCGTAATTTTATCTTTTTAATAATAATTACATTTATTTAATAATTATATATATTTTTAATTTGTTTTTATGTTTTAGAAAGAATAAGAAGATAATATTAAAATTACAGGAGGAAAAGTTAAAATAGATTTATGATTTTGAAAAGTAAAAATAGATATATTTATTTATAATATTATTTTTTTTCTTTCTTTCCTTAAAATAAAATTATATAATATTAAGATTTTTTTTTAAATAATTAATATTCTTAATTTTTTTTTTTTTTTAATTTTAATAAATTATACACAATTATTATTAAAAATCTATTCACATAATAAATATTAAATTATAAAATTAAAAATAAATTTAAATAAATATGTCATAAATCTAATAATTTTTAGATTAATTTACCTGCATCTTATATACAAACTTTAGCCTCTCTCATTATATTAGGAAAATCATAATTTAAAAATCCATGAGGCATATTTTCGTAGACAATTATTTCTGCACTTCTACCCAAATCACTTTTTTTTTTTAAAAAAAAAAAAAATTAAACAAAAAATATTTAATTAATTATTTTATTATACTCTAATTTTTTCAAAAATCTCCAACATTCGTCATGCAAAGGATCTTTACTTCCTACTAAAATGCGTGTTGGTGGGAAATGCTTCAAAAACTTTTGTATAAATATATATATATATATATATATATATATATATATATATATATATATATATATATTTATATATATATTTACTTCATCTGAAGCACATGAAGGAGAAACAAAAGGATTATCTTATGTATGCAATTCTAAACTATCTGGTATATAGGAGTCCAAACACATTTTTAGAAAAGTATGAGGCAAAACTTAGTCATTTAAAGAATATAGAAAACTTGGTGTGAAAGAATTTTTATTTAAATTTAAAGCTATAATAAATTATAATTATGAAAATAAATATAATAAAATAAAAAAAAGGAATACCTGGATATGCCAAAAGTATTCCTGTAGGAATTTATATTTTATTTTAAATACATTTTAAAGTTAGAGCTTTTTATAAAAAAAAAAAAAAAATTAATTAAAAAATAAAAAAATTAATTTAAAAATAAAAAAATTAATTTGAAAATACCTGCTGCTAAATTAGCTCCAGCGGAATCTCCAACTAAAATAATTTTTTAAGGTTTTACATCTTTTTTTTAATTTTTTAAAAGAATCCAAAAAAATTATATACATAACAAAAATATTTATTTTTACTAAAAAATCGATGAACAAAATTAATAATCCAATTATAAGCTTACCAGCAGTCATTTAAAGCTTCAGGAAAAGGATACTATGGTGCTTTTTTATAATCAATACAAAACAAAGGAATATTTAATTAATAAGCCCATTATCTTGTATAAGTTTAATGAGATCGTGAACTCATAGCAACAAAACCTCCGCCATGTATATGTATAATTAAAGATGTAAAAACATGATTTTTATTTTCGAAAAGATTATTTAAGATTTTAGGAGCTTTTTATGCATGCTAATATTGATTAATGTAGTTTTCTAGTTATTCATTTTCTCGGTTATCTATTGTTGGTCTTTATAAATTTTTTGACGAAAGAATTCTTATTTTAATTTTATTAGGATTTTATTTGAAGAGGTTATTATAATATTCGTCTTCGTTGTTGAATTCTAAAGATGGTAAACTTGCTTTTTAAGGATTTATTTGGTTTAGTGTGCCTTCTTTACATTCTTTTTTTATTGTTTCTAATGATATTTTATTTATCACACTGTCTATATATATTTCTTTATTGTAGGTTATAAAGGGAAATGCAAAAAACATTCCGTGTTTAATAAGGCCATAATCCATTAAATTCCAGGCCTGTTTATTTTTTTTTATTTTTATTTTTTTTGAATATACTTATATTGTAGCTGTATAATTTGGATCTGATAAAAATTAAGTGGCTATTTTTTATGTTTATGCTTTTGCAAAATAATAATATATTCCACCTAAGTTTATGTAGAAGTTTTTTCTAAATTCTGATGTATATTATTCACTTTTACCAATTAAAGCATATCCTAATTAAATTCCTTTAACTACTTTTTCAAATCCCTTTTACAATTGTTCTGGCTCAGCTAATTTTTTTATTTAAGATAATTAAATTAGCCTTTACCATTGCTGGCTATCTTTACTTAAAGAAAATAAATTGTTCTTTTTTTAAAAATAAAATTTAATTAATATAAATAATATTATACTTTATCAAATTTAACAGCATAAGGAAATATTTATGTTGAAGTAATTAACTTTTAAAAATTAATTTTGAGAACGTTTAAGTAATTAATATCATAATTTATATTTAATAGATTATCTAAATCATTTTATATTTCTTTTAGAACTTATTAATTTATATGATTTAATGTTTCATATGCAATCTATATTATTTAAATATATACATATATGTATATAAATTGTATAATAATTATAATATTATTATTATTAAAAAAAAATATTTTTTTATTTCAAATATTATATATTTAATTAAATTTATAATAACTTCAAAATTTAAGTCATTAATATCTTATAATTATAAACCAAATTCTTCATATTGTTTTTAAAATTTTATTGTATTATTTTATTAGTCTTAGTCTAGAAAAATTTTATTAAGGTCAATAAGCTATAAATGAAAAAACTTTATTGAGTTTTCTATATTATCTAGTAATTTGATAAAATTAACTTAAGACTAGAATTTCACATTTAATTATAGAATATAATTATAAATTTTATCAATTAATGAATAGGAATTTTCTATTAATTTAATAAATTATTAGATTAAGGTTAGTGGAAGTTGATTATCTTATTATTAAATTTTAATAGAATTATCTTTATAAATATTCTCAAATTACTATATTTATAAAATCTTTATTTCTGAAACAGAATTTCGTTTTTTTTGATATTCCAAGTCATATTTCATTAGATTTTCTTCTAACTCTAATTATAAATTATTTTCATTTGAATACATTTTTTTAATTTATTTATTATTTTATTATTTAAATATAATTATTTTTTTATATTAAAACATAATAAAAATATTTGATATAAGAATACATTATTCAAACAAAAAAATACAAATATATGTAAATGTTTGTTATATTTATTATTTTTTAAAAAAATTTAATTAAAAATAATGTATTTAAAATTTAGAAATTTTATATATTATATGTATATGAGTATTTTATGTTTTTTTAAAAAAATAACTTTGATTTGAATGGAAATTCAATTTTGAATTTCCTAATTTTCCTGTTTATAGAGGAATTCGAAAATTAATTAAGCTTTTTCCGTATTAGAATCTTTTTTAAAAAAATAGATAGATAAACATTTTATTTAAATTTTACTTAAACATTCAAAATAATCAACTTAATGCTATATTAAATATTCTTTTATTTTTTCTTCTGTTGTTTAAAAATACTAATAAAAATAAATAATAAATCTTTATAATATATAAAAACATTATTAAAAAAATTTTTTATGAAAAAATAAAAATTTATTTATGAAAAATATAATTAATATTTTAATACTTAACAATTAAATAAATTTAGTAATTTTTGAATTGTTAATTTATACAAAATGCATGTATTAGGATATTTCTAAAGTATTTTTTATTCAATATTAAAAGAATATTTGGTTGCATCGTATTCATTATTTATGAATTTTTTAAATTCTAAAATAATTCTAAAATAAATTTTTATCTAAAGATTTTTTCTTATGATTCATCAATATTAATATTATTATTATTTTAATAAATAATTTGGTTATTATTATTTTTATTATTTTTATTATTATTATTATTATTATATTATTATTATTATTAATATTATTATTATTATTATTTAATATTTTATTATTAAATAGATTATTTTTTTCATTATATTAGTTTTATTAATATTAAAAATATTATTATTTTTATTTTAGTTATGTATATTGTTTTAATTTATATTAATATTTTTTTACTCATTATTTATATTTATATTGTTGTTTTTAATATTATTTATTTTATTTATGATATTGTTTACATTATTATTTATAAAATTTTTATTATTATTTTTTATTATATCTTATAGTATATTAAATTAAACATTATTATCTATTTATTATAGTTTTTAATTGTTTAAAATTGTATCTATTTTAAGCGCTTATTCGTTTATTTCAAAATACTTTTTTTAATAATTTTAATATAATAAAATAATTTTATTTAAATATATATAAATTTTTTTGTTCATTTATAGTATATATTTTTCACTTTTTTTTGTAATAAGTAAAGCAAATATTCGAGCAAATATTTAGATTTTTAAAGTATATCATCTAGCTCGCTTTTATGTTTTTGGTAAAAATCTTAATTTTATAATATCGAAAGTTAAACACATCTTAAATATTTAGCATTTTCTTATTTTAAAATTTTAGTTATAGTTTATTCATTTATTTCTATATTTTAAAAAAATTATAATATTTTTTAAAATGTAGCTGTTGTTTATTTAATATTTTAGGTCCTTATATTTAAAATCATATAAATATAATCATTTTCGAAATTATATATATTATTATTATTGTTTTTTTAATCTAAAGAATTAAATGAATTATTTTTTATTGAATAATATTATTAATTATTTTAATAATGTTAATTTAAATTATTCTACTATATTATAACTGTTTTCACTTTTTTTGCTTTTTTTTTTTGGTTTAAAAAAAATATATATATATATATATAAAATAAAATAAAATTATTTAAAATTAAATAAAAATAATAATTTATAAATAAACTTTATACTTTTAACATTATTTATATTATTTTCACTTTCGATTTCAATATTTTTTCTTAATTGTTTTAATCATGAACTTAATCGATTTTGTTTTTCTCTTATATTGTTTCTATATTTTATTTACTTTTAATTTCAACTTATATGGGATATTATTTTTATATATCTTATGTTAATTCTAATTATTTTTGTTATTTTTATTTTTAAATATTTTATTTTTGCTTTTCATTTATAATAACTTTTTTTTCATCTTCTTCTTGTAAGTCTTTCTCTTCAACTAATGTTAGATTTATCTACTAGATATTTATTTATTAATTTGAATTTATTCTATTTTGGTTTGATTATTCGAGGTTGTTATTATAGCTATTTGTTTTAATTTTTTTATTTAAATTTTTAAATTCATATTCTTCCTCTTCATCCTCGTATATTTCTTATTATATTTTTATATTTTTAGATTTTTAGATTATATTAAAATCAAATTCTAAATTATTTTGATAATTTTGTTCATTTTTAAATTTTAAAAATTCATCTTTACCATATTCTTTACATAGCCATTCTTTTATATTTTTTAATAAAAAAAATTAAAATAATAATATTTTTATTCAATGTATATATATATATATACATTCAAAAGTATATTTTCCTTCTTATATATCTTTTGCTATATTAATTGAATTTAATAATTTAAAATTTTTTGAGTTTTTATTTTTCTCTTAGAACTGTTTTGTTAATTGCATTATTTTATTTTCTGTCAGGTAAGAACTTTAAATAGATATAAATATAATATATGAATATTATATAAATGTTTTTTCAAAATTTATCTGAAAAAAATTATTCGAATTTTTTTTTTTAAAAAAAAAAAATATATATATTATTTCTATTTTATTCTAAATTTATTATATATTTTAATACTATGAATTGTCCCCAATAAAATTAATTTTATATTTATATTTATATTATTATTCACCATTTTTATTTATTTTTAAAACCTTAGATACCTATTTTTTTTAAAAAAAAAATTAAATTACTTCAAAAAATAATATTTATATTATACGATTCCAGGCCACCAAGGATATCCTTAAATTTTAGCAATTACTAAATCATTTATTTTAAAATAATTCATTAGTTTTTATATTTTATTTTTAATTGTTAGAGAAAAATAAATATATATATATATATAAAGTGTATTAAATAAAAAAAATACGTCTAAAAATATATATTTATTAAAAAATGTATTTTGATTTAAAATTTTAGAAAATTATTATAAATATAAGAATTAAAAAATATTCTATGTTGTATTAATTATTTTTTATTAAAATTACTTTATATTACCTTTATTTAGCTATTTTTTTTAATAAACAAAAATAATTTTAAACATAAAATTTATTATTTCAATAAATAATAGTAAATTATTTATTTCAAATAATTATTTAAATAAAATTATATAAGTTTGTTATTACTTACATTTAATTATTATTTATAATTAATGATAAACATAAAGTATTTTAAATAAAATAATTATATTTTTGCATGTTTTTAAAAATTTACATTTATGTGTATATATATAACAATTTTTATAATTTTTTTTTTAATATATTTTTTATTAATATAATTGTTTAGTATATTATCTATGTTAATTTTTTTATATTAAAACCAATAATAAATTAATTAATACATAATTAAATAATTATATTTATCAATATTATTTTTTTAGTTTTAAAGAATATCAGTTTAATTGTTTATTTCGCTTATATTAAATATTAATAATATTTTATAAAATTGTAAATTTAATAAAAAATATAAAAATTAAATAAATTATTAGTTTTCTTATTTAATTTATGAACATATTTTAGAATTAATTTTATTTTTGATAATTTATTTTAATTTTTTTAAAAAATAATTTCATAATTTAACCTACATATTATATTTAAAAATGTTTAATTAAAAATTTTATAATTTATAGTTTTTATTAAATATATTATTTAGTATATAAGAATAGAACTAAATTAAAATATTTTTAAACAAATATAAAAATTTAGTTTTTAAATAGTAATATTAGATAATAAAATATATAATTATAATTATTGAAAATAATATATAAAAAAGTCATTTTTAGTATTTATTTCATTAAAATATATTCATAACAAAAAAAACAAAAGTAATATTTTTTTTATTACTAAAAAATAAATGAAAAAAAATATACATATATTTTTAAGAAAAATTTATATTATCAAATTATAAAGATTATTTTTTTATTAAAATTTATAATTTTTAAATTTTATATTAATCAATATTTAAAATATGATAATACATATAGTTTAAAATTTACAATAATGTATTTTACCAGTTCCTATTGAACTTATACTGATATTTAATCTATTTTTGTGAATAATAAGTTCTTTAAGAAATAATTTAAAATCTTTTTTATTTATTATTTAAGTTTGTTTCGTTTTTTAATATTTTTTTTCTTCTTCTATTTATTTATTGATTTTTTTATATTTTGGTAAATTAATATATATAAATAGAATTTTATAAATTGAATTAGTATCAGATAATATTTTTAGAAATTACTAATTACTATTAACTTATTTTTAGTTTATATGTTTTTCTATTTCTTTTATAAGAAAATCTTTATTTTAATAAATAACTGATTGTCTTAGGAATTATTTACAAAGTTTAACTTAATTAACCAAAAGAGCAATTATAGTAAAAATATTAAACTAATAAATACCTGAGGATTCTTTATTATATTAAATTAGCAAAAATAATAAAATAATATTACTAATACAATTTAAGATATATGTTTATAGCTCATTCTAAAAATTTAGATTCAAGAATAAATTTATAATATAAATTAAATATTATATTTTCTATTAATTCTTTTCTTACAGAAATTTAAATTTTCTTTTTTTTCATCAATGTTAATAAAAATAAGTAAAATTATTAAATTAAATAAAAATCTAAACAAATCGAATATTCATGCTATATTATAAAATACTTAATATTACTATCATTTATATAAAATATGTTATAGTATAAATAAATTCCAAATAAAAATATATATACTTTTACTTATTTTCTACTATAATTAAATATTTTATATTTAACAATTATTAGTCATTGTTAAGTATTTGTAAATATTTATATTTTTAATGATTTATTATCAAAAATACTTTTAAATAATATATATTTAAGCCGTCCGTTAATAATCTAGTTAATAGTATGAAAAAAACATTTATTAAATCAAATAGAATAGAATTTAACTTGTAAAAAGTAAAACTAAATAAGGTTTTTATAAAATATCAGTTAATGTGCCCAATAAATATATTTACAAAAAATCTTAATAAATTTATTTTGAATCGATTGAGGGGTTAAATTATTAATTTTTTGTATGTGTTTTTTATTAATTTTATGAAAAATATTTTTGATTTTTTAGTTTTGAATAGATTTATGTAAAATTTCAAGTTATTTAGTAATAACTTTATTCTATATTTCTAAGATTCAATTAATCAAATAATTTCTAAATAAATAAAATATATATAAACAATATGTTAATACTTTTATTTTTAAAATATTTTTAATAATATCTTAGAAAAAATATAATTTAATTTTTTTTTAATTTAAATAGAATATTATTAAAATAAAATAAAAAACATAAAGCAAAACAAAACAAAAAATAGGGAAATAAACCGCTTATTTATTTTTAATTTCTTCTTAAAATTATTAATTCTTTTTCATGCAATTAAAACACAAGCACCACCAATAGCTTTAATTCTTCTTTCAGCAGTTTTAGAGAAAAATTTAGCTTTAACAACAACAGGTTAATTTGGGAGTCTACCTTTTCCCAAAACTTTAAAGAATCCAGCTTTAGTAACATCAATAACAGGGGCCTAATTATATTTAAAAATAAATAAAAAAAATTAATAAAGAAGAAGATAATTTATAGAAAGTATAAGTTTTTATAATATATATCTAAAAATAAATATATTTAATTGCCTTGTCTTTGATAGTAGCATATTTTAATCTAGTTTAATCAGATACTAAAGACCATAACTTATCAATATTAACGGTTTGTTAAAAGTGAGCGTTTTTATTGTAATGGAAAGTTCTGATTCCTTTTTTACCGAAATAACCAGGATGCCATTTTTACATCAAAATCTATATACATAAAAAAAAAATATCACAAAAAGAAAATTAATAATTTAATTACTCTATGATGATGCATACCACCAGCCATACCACGACCTCCTCTACAACCACCCTTTCTATCTGTTTTATATTTGATTTAATATTTGATTAAAATTTAAATTTAATTTACGCTTTCCAACACGACCGTGACCATGAGAAACGTGTCCTCTTAATTTTCTTGAATTTTTAAGTCTTGTAACCATTTTTTATATATTTTTATTTGTAAATTAATTTTGTTTTGTTTTTAATTTAATATTTAATTATTTTATATTTAGTTTTTTTTAATTATTATTTTCTCCTCAATATAATTATGTATTTTTTAGCCTTTTATACCTTTTATACAATTTAATTTAATATTAAATTTTTTTAAAAAAAAAATAACTTTAATAATTATTTTTAATTTTAAACTGCAATAAAAAAAAATTGTTATTAAACGAAATTAAAAATATTATGTAAATATAAATAATGTACAATATTAAATAATAAAATATAAAAAATAAATATAGATATTCATAATGAAATTTTTTTTAAAAAATGTTAATTTATTTAATTTAATATATATAGATATATATATAAATATATATATTAATTTATATTATATATATATATATATATATATATATTTATATATATATATTATATCCTAAAAAAAAATTGATACACTATGTTCATTAATTTTATAATTAAATTTAGGTATTTTTATTAATTTCATTTTCTTCCTTATACATTACTACTATTTTATTTTTTTTGTTTACTTTTAGATTATTTATCTTATTTAGATTAAGCTTAATATTTTTGTTTTAATTTTGTTGTCGTTTCAACATCAATCTTTTTTTATAAAATAAATTATTTTTAATAATTATAAAAATATACATCATCATCCATTTCATCATTAGAAACTTCATCTTCATCTTTTTCAGGTAATTTAACTCTAATGTTTCTACTTATACTTTCAATTTTACCAGCTTAAAATTTAAATTTTAATATAAATAACATTTATAAAAATAATCATTTACTTTTGTTTAATAAATTTAAATTAATGTAATTAGAAACACCTTTACTAGTTTGTTTGAAGTCATTAGGATTATAATTAGGATCATTTTTGACTGGTTAATAAATAAGTTTCATTTTTTCAGTAATTTAAGCTAATCCTTCAACTAAAGTTTCATCAGTAACTATAATATTTGGTTTTCCTTCAAGCTTTTTTTATTTATATAAAATTTATATATATATAAAAAAATACTCTATAAAACTCTAATCTTTCATATAAATGTTCAATACCTGCTTTTACATTAACTAATATTTTAGAAACTCTATCATATTTAAGTTTAGATTTTTCACACTTATTAGATGCATTATTAACATTTTTTTCGATTTCATCTATTTGCTTTCTATTAGGATTATCATTACCTTCATATTTTATATGATTTAGACTTTTTTTAATTTCATTTCTAAGTTTTATTTGTTCTTCGATTTTATCTGTGTATTCTTATTTTAATTCATTTAAAGATCTAGATGTTTCATCTTAAGTTGTAAATTTTTAAATTATTTCATTTACATCTGTTACACCTGTTGCTTCCTTTATTTTATTTTTATTTTTTTAAATAATTTTTAATAAAATTTTATTTTATAAAAAAAATAATAATATGTATATTTATTTAAATATAATAATTTTTTATTTTTTACATATAATTTTCTAAAAGCTTCTTCATAATCTAATAATTTTTATTTTTAAAATGTTGTATCTTATAAGTTAGATTAATCTTTATTTTAGTTATTTTCATTTAAGTTATAGATTTAAGATTTTTCTTAATTTCTATCTTCATTGTCTTTATCTTTCTTTTCGATTCTTTAAATTACTGCTTCTCTTTATTCTATTGCTTTCTTTTTTTCATCAATATAAGCTTTTCTTAATTCTTAGACATTAGCCTTTATTTTAAATATTATATATATATATATATTTATATATAAATATATACTTTTTTATGATTATATTTCTTTAATTCTGCTGATGCGAGTTCTTTTGCATGAGTAGCATCATGAGCTAATAATAAAAGCTCTTCAAAATCATGTTCTTTTCCTTTTAAGGAACGCTCAATTGCTGCTAATTAATTATCATATCCAACTCTCTCTTCTTTTAATCTTTTTACGATTTATTCATATGTTTTTTTAATAGATTAGGCTTCGTTGAATTTAATCATTACTTTATCTAATCTATTTTCAAGGATTCTTATCTATCTCATTAAAGGAGATTCTTCTATTACTATTTATTTTTTATATTGAATTAAAATAAAAAAATAGTTTATATTTTTTTTGTTATTATTATTATTAAATTACCTCCAAATTTTATGTCTGATACTTCATTTAATTTATCTTAGAGTTATAATAATTATGATTTTTTTAGTTTTGTTAAGTGTTTAGCATCATCTTATTTTCTTCTCCAATAATTCTTAAAATATTATATATTTTTTTTTATTTTTATTTTTTAACTTCATCCATTATATCTCCTGACCATGATACAAAACTTCCATGAGTTTTTGCCAATCCAGGTGTCGAAGCCTTTTTTTTATATATAAATAAATAAAATTTAGTTATTAAATATAATAAAATATATAATTTTATGTTTATTAGTATTCATGTATATTTTTTTTTTATATATATATTCTTTTTAATTTATATATTTATATGTTTACTCGTTTGTTTGCTATTAATTCATCTCTTAACGTTTTGAGTTCTTTATTTTCTTTTTTTAATGATTCTATTATTTATATATTGTTATTTCTTGTTTGTTCAGCATTAATATGAAAAGCCTTTCTATCATTTTCTTTATTTATTTAATTAAAAAATGCCTTTATATATTTATTATTTACCTAAAAGATTAGATTTCTTTGATTAATGTATATATTCTTCTTCAAGTTATTTTAAGTCTTTTTGATTTTTTTAAGCAGAAGATACTCTTATCATTATTTTTTTTTATTTTTATTTTTTTGTAAATCAAAAATATTATTTTTTTTATATATATATATATATATATTTCTTTTTTTAATAATAATTTAAAAAATTATGTTTAAAAAAAAAAAATTACTTTTTCAAAAAGTTTTATTTTTTATTTGAAAAAAAAAAAAGACCAAAAAAATATAATTAGTAAAAAATAAAATAAAAATGTATATTATTAAATAAAGTAAATATTTAATATTAATGAAATTATATTTAAAAATATTACTTTTTAGCATATTTTTTCTCTATTTTAATTTTTTTATAAACTCTATAGAAAATAAAATAATGTATAATTTGATTTTTTTTGCCATTACTCAAAAAATTTGATAAAGTTATATTATTAATGTTAATTTATTTTTTTAGTTATTCAAAAATAAAAAAAATATATAATAATATTTAATGATATTATTTATTTTCAATAAAATAATTTTATAAAAACATATTCTCTTTATTTATAATATAAATAGTATTAAGTTTTTGTTTCAAGCTATAAATTTCTATTATCAATATATTTTACAATTACTAAATTTAATTTTATTAATGAATATATGAAAATAAAACTTTTGATATTTTTTTTTTTGCTTTAATATAAAATGATATAATTAGTTTGTTTATAAAAAAATATAAATTCATAAACTTTAATTTAAATTTTATTTTTTTGGTTTAGTTTTTTTATAAAATATAAATAGTTTTTATATAAAAAAAATATTTATAATTATTTTTAAAAAATTCATAAAGATTTATAATAAGTGATATGAACGAAATACTTAATTTGTAAATATAAAAAAAATATCTAATATTCATTAATAATATAATTTATGATTATTGAAAATATTCAATAAGTTTAATAAACAGAAGATATTATTTTTAAATAAATTAAATATAGTAAACGAAAATTATATCGAATTTGAAAAATTATAAGAATAATAGTACTTTTCAATTAAAAATAAGATATAAAGAATATTATAATTAAATCTTAAATTCCCAAATGATTTATAATAATAAAAAAGCTTTGAAATCTAAATAGAATTTATCTATATGCTAAATAAACAAGAAATCTATACGAAAGCTATTTTAAATTGCTTGAAAAATAAAATGATATTAAAAGAACTATAACTGGTAATACTTATAATAACCTTTTGGAATATATCTTTACAAGTAATATATCTTAATAAAATAATAAAACTACAAATAATAAATAAATATTTTTTTTAATAAGGAATATAAAAATTTGTATGAAAAAAATACAAAGTAATGAAAGGAAAATTATTTACTTAATAAAATGAAAGAAGAATAAAAATAAGAAAATTTATTATAAAATAAAACTTGTTATTTTCAAAATTATTTTAAAAGAGTTTTTCGAAATAAGTAAAAATAATCAATTAAATAATATAAATTTAATTAAAAAATTTTAAAAAGAAAGACAGTCGAAAAATTAAAAAATTATAAGAGTTAAATGTATAAATATTGATTGAATTTTTAAAAAATATAAATTGAATTACTACTATTACAATTTTTGCATCTAATGATTAAATAAACTCTTATAATTTTAGTTTTATTAATTAATGATATTTAAATAAAAAAAAAATATCTAAAAAACATAAATACTTAAGATTTTTTATTTTCTTATATTAAAATATAAATAATTATGAATTTATGGAATAAATAATATATATGGTTTAATATTTAAATATATAATTTTATATATATTTATTTTAATATTTTTTTATATTAAAAGAACAAAATTTTTTTTTTATTATAAAATTGACCATTTTATAATAATTTTAATTTTAACACTTATTTTTTTTAATTTTTTTAACATTTATAAGAAATATTTAAATCAACAAAATATAAAAAATATTTTAATGTTAATTACAATAATAAATAAAAATATATAAAAATTAAGATTTTATATAATTTGAATTTTTCATAATTTAAACTAGAAAATTTCGCAATTATCGAAATTGATTCCTTTAGAAACATACCCATCAGGTTAAATTCCTGGACTAGTAAAAGTACCCAGGAATGAATTATGAGAAATAATAGCTATTTTTTAATTAGTAATATCAATATTGTTTTATTTAATATATTTTCTAATATACAATTTCATTTTTTAACTTCTTGTATATACATTTTTTACACTTTCGATACTTTTTGGGAAAGTTTAATCTATTTTTTCCAAAAGAAAATTTTAAACAGAAAGATTGTTTTAAAATTCACAATTTTAAAATAATTCAAGTTGCCAATATTCGTTTATTTTTTAGTCTTCATCTTGTAATAGATAAAAGTCTAAATTTATATCAAATTTAGTATTTTAATTTCTTTTATTTTTGAAATATCTTAGACTTTGCTTAATTTTTCAGTTAACAAAGGATTTATTATAAATTTTATTTTGGAGTTTTTTGGATGGTTTTTGAATAAAAAATTAGCAGTTTAAACTGCTCTTAATAAAGGGGAAATAAAAACTGTATGAATATCAATATCATTATAATATTTTGACATTTTCTCACACATTTATATCCCAAAAGGGTGCAAAGCAGAGTCTATGAAAGGCTCGTTTGTTTAATATACATTTGATTCAGGATGATTGAATGAAATTCCGGTTTAATAAAAAAATTTGCTACTTATATAATTATACTCACTTAAAGAATGCCTTATTAAAAGTAATTCATTATCTGAATTGGGATCATAACTGTAAGGCTTTTCTAAAATGATGTTTAGTAGTTTTAAATCATCGTTAGAATATTATATCTTGTTGTTTTTGAGATTTTCCGAAAATTAAAAGGACGTTATTAAATCTGAACTTCTCATATTATGGTAATTATTACATTTCTCACCATATAAGCAATTGCCTTTTTTGAAAGAAATGCATTCCTTTTTTTAATGGATTTGTGGTATTTTGAAATTTTAATATTAATCGGAATTTCTATAGTTTTAGTGCAAATATATGCATTTTTCGTCAAATTTACAAGTTCCTTTTAAAAAAAATTGACAGATTTTATATATTTTTTTTTATTATTTATTGAATATATTTTTTTTAGATTATTCCATTTTTTTTTTTTATAAACTAGATTTTTTTAAATTTTTTTATAAAATAAATAAATAAATAAAAAGGCTTTATTTTTAATAAAATAAAATAGTAATTTATTCTATAATCAGAAGTTAATCTTTATATTAATATTAATTTACGATTTTTTAATTAACTAAAAAAAATAAAAGCATTTATATAAATTTATAATATTAATAATTCATTTAAAAAAAAAAAATTAAATGCAATAAAATAACGAATAAATAAATTTTCATGTATGTATTCGTATAAAACCCACAAACCTGCCTTCATACTGGAATACATTACAAATCGAAGGAGAGAAACATATAAAAAGCACAAAAGAAAATTCAATATTATTAGTCCAACCAAACAATACTTAAGGAGACCAAGTTTTTATCTTTGATTAAGTATTTGATTAAAAATCGTCTACTTTATAAATATTTGAAAATTCAGTAAAACCATGTTTAGAATAATCTATATTTAAAGGATTTTCACATACTATATTATTATATGGAATGACTGGTTCTGGAAAAACTCATACTATGTTTGGGTGTTTAGAAGAGAAGAAATAAAGTGGAATAGCTTAAGAGACAATTAATTATATTTTAAATAAAGGAAATGCTAGGAATATTAAGATTTCTTATTTGGAAATTTATAATGAAAACGTAAAAGATTTATTTAATGAAGATTAAAATAATAATACATTATAATTAATTGAAGATCCAGAAAAAGGAGTCTATTGTCCCAATTTAACTGAAAAAAATATCGCTAGTATGGAAGAAGCTGAGAGTTTATTAAAATAAGGAAACAAAAAAAGGATCATGGCAAGTACTAAAATGAACCAGTTTTCTTCTAGATCACATGTTATTATTTAAATTTCATTAGAAATTAATGAGTTTTAACCGAAATTATATATGGTGGATTTAGCTGGGAGCGAAAGGGCTTGCGATAATAAAGGGATAAGGCAAAAAGAAGGGGCTAATATTAATAAAAGCTTACTTTCTTTAGGAAATTGTATTAATATATTATCTTAATCTTCCCAAAGTATGCATGTTCCTTATAGAGATTCTAAATTAACTAGGCTATTAAAAGAAAGTCTTGGGGGAAATGCTAAAACGCTATTTATTGGTTGTATTAATCCTGCTTTTAGGTATGTCGAGGAAAGTGTAAATACTTTAAAATATGCATAAAGAGCAAAGAAAATAAAGAAAGAAGTTTATGAAAATGTGAAGATATTCTATGATAGATTTTAGGAAAATAATTTAGTTTTATTAGAGAAAAAATAAATGGAAGAAATTTAAAGGAAAAAGGATTTGTTGATTTTATAAAATAAAAATTAAAAAAAAGAAGAGTAAGAGAATTTACAAGAAAAATAAATTGAAAAGACAGATTTAAGTTTTTAAGATAAATATTATATTTGGACTTTAAAATATGAATAAATATTAGAAAATAACAAATAAATTGAAATCTGTTTAAATTAAGTGGTTTCATAAAAATATATTAATGAAAAAAATATACACGAAATTATGGATTCAATAAATCCAGTAGGAATGGCCTAAAAAGACATCAAAAATAGACTCGATAAATTGGATATTTTGAGAAATAATTTACTAGAATAAGACGAGTATATAAATAAATTAAAATAAGAGTAAGTTCTTGTTTATAATTAAAAAAATTTCATTGAAAAATAATTAGATGAATTATATACTGTTAAATATATAAATGAATGCTAGAAATTAACTAATTATAAACTTTATAATACTCTAGAAGGTCAGAATAAAAAATTGGAATTACTTATAGATGATTTAGTGAAAAATTAACACTATTAAAAATAAGAATTGTAAAGGAAAGATTTTTTTATTTAAAAATTAAAATAGGAATTAAATGAGGAAAAGCTAAATTTATTGAAAAAAAATTTCCATAAATAAAGAAAGTCTTTAATTAATTTCCGATAATAGAGTTTTAGTTTTACTAATAATAGTAAATTAACTCCGAAAGATAAACATAAAAGTTATTTATAATTCTCGACTTTCGTACCTTCAAATAATGTTTCACTTTAGGCTATTAGAAATAGCTTTCATAATAGTAGGAACAGTATAAAATTAACTTCTGGGAAGAAATAATGTAGCCCAATAAATAGAAAATATAATAACAATAGTAATAATTAGAGAGATTTTTATTTAGAATAATAAAAAAAATAAATGATTATTGAAAGTTAATTAAAAAAATTAAGAAAGAGATTAGGAATTAATTAAAATGGATTATTAGCCAAATAAAAGAAATATTAAAATTTTTATAAGTAATAATAATAATAATTTTATTGTGAAAATTATTCTCGAAAATCTAAAAATTCTCTTTCGGCAAGAAATAATAGTCATTTTAAAAAATAATAATATTAAGTAGATTCTCCTTATTAAAAGAAATAAAAAAAAATCCCTTTTGGAAAAAACAATATTTTATAAAATATTTAATGTGTTTATTTAGATTGGAATGATAAAATAGATTATTTCGATAAAATTTTGATTAATAATAATTAATGTTTAGGTAATTTTGATTGTAGATTAATTTAATAAGATTAGTCTTTTGGATTTAGAAAAGAATTTAGTGAAAATAATTCTTCTTAAATTTATACATAATCTAATAATTTTATACCTGCTACTTCTATTAATTTATTATGAGAGAAATTATATTAAATTTTTAAATATTATATATATAGGTGTTAAAAAAAAAATTATATATGTTTATTTAATTTTATTACTGAAATTATAAGTAAAGTAATAAAATAAAATGTATTGTATTTATGTTTTATAAAAGAAATAAAAAATCTAATTAATTTTTGTAATATAGAATTGTTTTATATAAAATAGTTTAAGTTCTCATCGAAATTTTAATAAATTTAACATTTTTCATATTAATTATTATATATATATTTATTTCCTGCTTATTTAATATATATCTTTAATTAAAAATTACTTTTAAATAATGTTTTCTTTTAATATTAAATATTTATATTTGATTTTTGTTTTTTGCGGGAAAAATAAAAAAACTTACAAATAAACAAATACAATTTATTTAATACTAAAAAAGAAAATGTAAATATAAAAACTCAGTAGAGATTCTATATAAAATATTTGTGTTTCTTAAGTAATAATAGATCTTTCTGCATGTAAACAAAAAAAAACAAAAAACAAAAAAACAAAAATAAAAAAAGGTGTAAAGGAATTACTAGAAAATAGCATAGATGCTAAATCAACACTTATAGAAATTCAACTAAAAGACCAAGGACGAGACGGCATAATTGTAAAAGATAATGGCCATGGCATATCAAAGGAAAACTTAGATAAAATAGCCTAAAAAGGTTGCACAAGTAAATTAAAAGTATTCGAAGATTTAGAAAATTTAACATCATATGGATTTCGAGGAGAAGCATTAAACGCGATTAGTCTTTTGAGCGATTTGAATATAAATACAAGGACTAAGGATGATCCTATAGGTTAGAAATATTCATTCAATCAATAAAATATAGAGGGCTAGATAATTAAAAAAAACATAAGTATGGAAATAGGTACTACTATATAATTAAGCAATTTATTCGCAAACATACCAGTAAGGAGATAAGAATTAGTTAAAAATATTAATTTTTAATATAATAAAATAGTAAATTTAGTAACAGAATATGCTTTAATTTGTACTCAAATTTAAATTTTTTTGATCAATTTTTCAGAAAAAAATACAAGGAATGTTATTATAAATTCAGGAATGCCTATGGGGGATATTTTAGGAAAAATTAAGTAGGTATTAGGAGAAAAAATAGGGTAATAATTAGTATAGTTTAAATTGGAATTTAATAACGGTAATAGTGTTTTAAAAGGATTTATTTAAAAAAATATATAAAGCGGGTCTTAAAAAGCAAATGTAGGCAAAAATATTACTTTTATGTATATAAACGGAAGACCTGTAAATTAGTTAAAGAAAATAAATTATGTTTTTAATGAATTTTATAAAAAATATAATTTAAATAGTAAGTATATATATGTTTTGGAACTAGTTACTCCGGTCAAAAATTTAGATTTTAATGTGTCACCCGATAAGAGAGAAGTTTTCTTTTAGTTAGAAGGAGAACTTGTGAATTAATTAAGAGCTAAAATGAAAGAAATATTAGAAAAGGAAGACTTGGTGGAATAAAAAGTATTAGGAAGTTTAAAATAAAAAGATGAGTTATGTAATAATAATTCAAATAATAGATATACTATTAATACAAGAAAATTAGCTTCTAATGATTAAAATACTAATATTGAAAATAATACTTCTATTAGTTAATCAATTAAAGAAAAAGGATATACGATTTCAGATTATTAATAAACAGAAATAAAATAGTAATAATCATAAGATGTTAAATAAAAATTATAAATAAAATAATTCGAAGCGGGTAATAATTAGTTTTCATATAATATTTTTAATTATGAAAAAAATAAAAATAAAAATATATTTTAAAATTCTTTTTTAAATATTATTGAAAGTTAAAAAGATAATATAGAAAAAACAATAATAATAATAATAATAATAATAATAATAATAGTATTAAAATATATGAATATTCAAAAAAAAATATAAATACTTAAGAAAAAACTTATGACAAAAATGATAATTATTAAAAAAATATTACTTTTATCTCTTAAAATGAAGAATAAAAACCATCAATAATAGAATAATATAAATCATAAGAATTTCCTGAATTATAAGACGATCATGAAAATGTTAATGTAATAAATTCTGATTTTAAAAAGGAAGAATTTTTAAAATTATAAATAATAGGTTAGTTTAATAAAGCATTTATAATAGCATTTCATTCTGAAAAAAAAATACTGATTTTAATTGATTAGCATGCTGCAGATGAAAAAATACACTTTGAACATTTTATGAAAGAAAATAAACCTTTTGGAGGTTAAATGTTAATGCATCCGATTAAATATGAAGTTAATTTTTAAGAAAAGCAAATTCTGTTAGAATAAAAAAATATCTTTTATAAATGTGGATTTGATTTTTAAATATTAAATGAATATGCACTTATTTAAAAAATGCCTTGTAGTAAATATATTAATTTTAATATTAATGATTTCGAAGAAATTTTAAATTATTTAAGCAATTCTTATGATATTAATAGCGATTTTAAACCCAAAAAAATACAAAGAGTTATTGCTTCAAAAGCCTGTCATTCATCAGTTAGGGTTGGATAATGTTTAAATATTAAAGATATGAATTAAATTATTGATAATTTAGCTTCGTTATAGTCACCTTGGAATTGTCCTCACGGAAGACCAACAATGGTTAGAATTCCTCCTTTGGATGGATTTTTAAAATAAGTTTAAGTTTATAAAGCATATTGTTTGTGACTTTTTTTTTTTATAATTATAAATTTTATGTATATTTATTTATTATCTTTTTTTATAAATTTTAAACTATATTTATAATTTAATTTTTTTAATAGTTTTAATTTATTTTTTTATTTAATATAATTTTATATTTAATATAAATATAAAATTAAAAGAGTATAAATATGATATTTTAAAAATATTTATAGATATTATAAATAAATATTTTATAGATAAATAAAAAAATATATAAATAATAAAAAAAATATTATACTTATAAAAAAAATGAAATATTTACTGTCTTTACTTAAAGTTGCTTGATAAAACATGATAATAATAATAAATTAAAAATAATTAATAATTATCTAAGAAACAATAATCATGATATGTATAAAAAGTAACATAAATAAATATTTATTATTATATTGATGATTTACTATATCTTCATGACAAGTATTTTCATGGATGTTTTGTCATAGTTACTCTGAAAATATAAATATATATATATATATATATATATATATATATATATATATATATAAATTAATTTATTTAAATTTTTTTTACTTTTATTAATATTTATTCTTAATAAACAGAAAAATAATAAAAAAGTTTATTTATAAAGAAACTATAATTATCTTAAACAACTTTATTAATTAATATAATATATTGAATTTTTAATTAAAATAATTAATGTAATATATTATATAAATATATATATATATATATATATATATATATATATTTATGATGATCACCAATTCTTAACGACGGTCTTCATAACTTAAATGTTGAGAACGAGAATTCCTGATAATTTTATATATATATATAATAATAATAATATTATTTATTATTTTTATATTAATTTTTATAATATAAATTAGTTAGTAAATAAAGAAAAAGAAATTAAATTTGGAAAAAATATTAAATATAAAAAAATAATTATATACATTTTTTATTTTTTATTAATTAATAATAAAATTAAATATGTTTTTAAAAATTTTTTTTTATATTTTGATTTGTTTATTTAATGTATATTACTTTTAAAAATAATTAATTGAAAATAAATAGTTAAATAATGAATTATATAAAAAGTAAAATATTAACAATTATAATTATACTAGAAAAATTATAATATATACCCTAAAAATAATAAAATAAAATTTAAAAAACTTAGGAAATTCTTGACTTAACTAAAGTATAGGCCACTTAAAAAAATAAAATAAAAAAAGAAAAAAATTAATAAATAATTAATTTAAAAAAAAAAAAATTGTAAATAAAAAAAACTCTATATAAATTAATACATATATATATATATATATATTTAACTTACTTACAAAAAATGACATCAAGCTGTTTAATCTGTATATAAGATATATTAAGCGAAGCAATACTAAACTGTTGCTCTCATCAATTCTGTTACGGCTGCATTTTGGATTGGATGTAATATAAAAAATAATGTCCTTTATGTTCTTAAGAAGTTCATTCTGTAAAGCACAAAGAAACTGAATATACTGTTTTTGTAAAGGATATTAAACCTATATAAAAATATTAAAATGAATAATAGGAATACTTTAATCATAATTATTTATCTTTACAAGTAGATAAATTAATATATAAACTTGAATAAGTGGAAAATAAACTAATGCAAAATTAGGAAAAATATGATGATTTTCATTGGCTTGTTTTTGATTAAATCGATATTAAAATTAGTTAATTGGAAGAAATTATAGATAATGTTTTAAGCTTTGATCCTAATGAAATTAAAATATAATGCACTTAAATTGATGAACATTTGGATTTGATGAGAAATAACAAATGGAAAAAAATTTAAAGTATTTATTAAGAATTATATTCTTAAATATTATAAGACGAAGTCATTTTAAAAAATAAAAAACTTGAAATAAAAAAAGTTAAAAAAGAATAATAGTAAGAATATTATTGCTTGGATTAAATTAATATTAAAACTAATACCAAAAAAAAAGATAAAAAAGGAAAAAGTTGAAATAAATTTTAAATGTTTAATTAAAAATAAAGTTAAATTTTCATTATTTTTTTATAAAAAAAAATAATATATAATTGTTTTTAAATAAATATATACTTTCTTTTTTATAAATTACATTATATAAAAAATTAATGTTTAATTTTAATGATAAATATAAAATTTAGTTAAATTAGATAAATAAAAATAATATGATAATAATATTATATATATATATATATATATATATATATATATATATATTTAAATAATATATATATTTATTGTCTTATATATTTAATATATGTATATGTTGTTAAAATCTATTACATATATATACTTGTTTTTTATTAAATAAAGATAATATTTTTAACTTATAAAAAAATATAATTATTTATAATTAAAATATTTAAATTAAAAAAAATTATAAAATAGGAAAATATTAAAAATGTAAGATGATGTAAATAAATTAGATTTAGATTGTTATAATTCTCTTGATTTAGAGTATTTAAGGTTTTTAAAACATGAAGAAAAAAAAGATAAAATACCTTAAATTTCGTTAGATTCCTTTAATTTATTAACAATTATTGGATAAGGAAACTATGCAAAAGTATCACTTGTTTGTAAAAAAGATGATGGCTAAGTTTATGCATTAAAAGCTTTAAAAAAGAAATATTTATAAGTAAATAATTAAATAAATTAAGTATTAACAGAAAGAAACATTTTGGTAAAAAAATAAAATATATAAAAGAATAAATACAAAATATACTTTCAAAATATCTAACTTTAAGATTTTTTTTGTTTAAATATAAATATTTATAGTAAACAAACTTTAATTTTATTTCATTTTTTTAACAAAAAAATATTAACATTTTTAAAATTAACAAAATTATAAAGCAAACTGTCAACAATAAATATATCGTAAAAATGAAATACGCATTTTAAGATAAAAAAAAGCTATTTTTTGTTTTAGAATTTTGCCCAGGAGGCGATTTATTTACATTATTATAAACAAAAGAATATTTAAACGAAAAGCAGTAAACTTTTAAATTTTTAACAAAAAAATAAAATTCTTGATAAATAAAAAAAGAACTAAATTTTATGCCGCATAAATAATAAAAGCGTTTGAATATTTACATTCATATAATATAATATACAGAGAGTAAAATAAAAATAATATATATACATATGTATATCAAAATAAGTTTAAAACCCGAAAACGTATTAATAGATTCAGAAGGGTATATTAAATTAACAGACTTCGGCTTATCAAAGATGGATATAACGCATGAAAAGGCTGCAATATCATTTTGCGGTACTCCTGAGTATTTATCTCCTGAAATAATACTTTAGTAAGGCCATGGGAAGGCTTCAGATTGGTGGACATTAGGAAACATAATATACGAGATGATAATAGGAACTTTACCTTTTTATGATATAAATAGATATGTATTATTTGAAAATATAAAAACAAAGCCATTTAAAGAACATGAGAAGATTTAAGGAAATTTAAAAAATTTAATAGAAGGACTTTTGCAAAAAAATCCGGAAAAACGTTTAGGATCTATAAATGGGGCTTAAGATATAATAAATCATCCATGGTTTTCAGATTTAAACTGGGACCATTTAAGAGAGAGAATTATTTAGCCACCTTTTAAACCTAAGTTGGAAAATTCTGTGGACGTGAGTTATATTGCTTAGGAATTTTTAGAATTACCTATTTTTTCACCCGAGGAATCTTTATAATCTGGATAATCATTAGGAATTTAAAGTTTTTTTTTATATATATAGATTTTTTTTTTTTATATTTTTTTGTTTAAGATTTTACACTTGATTCATAAAAAGAATAGTATCTTTAGAGTAATAATTATATAAATTCAGTTCCTAATAATTAAGAAAAAATGAATGAAGATATAAGCGAAGTTTAATTTTAAATGGAAACTTTACTAGACGATTATTCACAAAAAAATGAAAGTAATTCTATAGCTAAAAATATTAATATGGTATGAAGGAAAAAAGGAAATTTAATGTTTTTTAAATTTAAGTTTAAAAAACATTAAATAAATAATAAAATGGTAAGAAAATATTTATTTAAATATCTATAATTTACATTATTATAAATAAATTTATATAAAATAAATATATATTAATTAATATATATTTTTATAACTATTTATAATTATAAATTTATTTAAAACATTCATATATATATTCAATTATTTTTAATTAATATACATATAAAATTACTAAATAAATAATAATAATTTATATCAAAAATTAATTAATTATTTACAAAATGACTATTTATAAATATAATATAAACATATATTTTTTAAATAAATATAAAAAATGGAAATTTTAAAACACTTTATAATATGTATTTTTTCTTAGAATTTTTTTTTTTTTTTTTTCAATCATTATTCCATAAAGCTTTTCCATTTATTAAAAGCATCTTCACCTTCTTAAATAACATCCATTCTTCCATTAGTAGCAGCAGCTTCTCCGTTAGGTTTTAAAATAATTAGTTTTGGAATAGCTTTAATTTTAAAATATGAAGTAAATTTTTTTATTCTTTCATCTCCTAAAGGAATTGCTAACCATGGCATTTGTTTATAATATGTTTTAAATTCTTCTTCAGTAATATCGAATGGTATTAGTATTATTTCTAAAACTTTATCTTCCATATTTATTTCATTGTAAAAATCTATTAGTAATGGGGTAAATGCTTAGCAAGGGGGACAATATGAAGCAGAAAAATAAAGACATGTAACTTTATTTGTTTTTAAAGGTGTAACATCAAGTAAACCATTTTTGCCTAAAAAAGTTGATCCTAATTGAAACTCGTTATTTTCTTTTATTTGATCGACTTTTTATTCCATATTTTTTATAATTATATTTTTATTTTTTTTATAAATTTATAAATAAAAGTTTATTTATAAATATTAATTTTAAAAATTATTTAATTATATTTTAATAAATAAAAATATAAATTTTAATTGTTAATATTTAATAATTTTCAGTAAAGAAAAATTTAGATGTATAAATATTCAGAAAAGCCATAAATATTATAAAAATATATAAAAAAATTAGATATTTATATTTAAAAATTAAGTACTTTATATATATTTTTTATTAAAATAAATCAGATATTTAATTTATTAATTGGATAAACATCTAAATAATATTTCTATTCAATTATTATAATATATTTTTTATAAAATACACTGTTTGTTTAGATTATTTCTTATTTTATGTATTTAATAAAATGCAATTTATATAATATATTATTTAAATTTTAATTTTATATTTTTTTGTTTATAAAAGTTTTGTTTTTAAAAACTATATTATTTAATTATTATTTTTTTATAACAAAAAATAAATAAAGAAAGTCTTTTTTTTATTTTATGTTAATCTTTTAAAAACGTAAATTAAGAAAATCAAAATAACAATAAAAATAATATATTTTTGTTATAAATTAATATCTATTTGTTTATAAATAAATAATATTCTAATTCAATACATAAATAATTTATTATAATGGGTTGTTCTTAAAGTAGAAAATATAGAAAAGGATAATTTACTGAATAAGAAGTAAAAATATTAAAAGAATATCATTAGTTAAAGGCAAATTAATATGAATTGTAAAAATATACATACCTATTTTAATTTAAAAAAAGGATTAATTTTTTTTTTCTTTTAAACAAAAAAAAAAGAACAAGAAATAAAAATGAACTATCTTTAAAAAGTTTCAAGGAAATATTTAATGAAAATCCTTTTTTAGGCATATAATTATACTATTTTATTACAAAACATTCATCTAATGGAAAAGTCACATAATAAATGTTTATAGATACAAGTAAAAAAAAAATATTTAAAATAATCAACATATATATATAAAAAATTAAATAAGTTGAATTAATATGTAGAAAAAATCCATCTAATGAAAAACTTCGATAAACCTATGGAAAATATGATAATGTAGAAATTTTATCAATGATATTATTCAAAAGAATAAGGAAAGAAATAATCGAACAAAAACATCAAACAGCAGTAATAAGTTATAGTGAAGCTTTCGATTTTGTATCTGTAATATTAAAAATGTTCAATGATAATTAATAAAAATTCTGCAACGAAGCCACTACGAGGTCTATAATAGATAATATTTTCCCTTTTAATATTGGGAGGATAAATTGGTGGTCATTTTGTATATTAATAAGGGAATATTTGTCTTTAATAAGTATAGTTATTTCCGAATATTTAGAAATAAAATTTTTATAGTCATAAACTTCATTCCATTTACCAAAAATCATTTCTGATAATAAATTTTAACTATTAAATAAGGAAAAATTAGTAGTCCTTTTTTTAAATAATCAATACTTATAATAAACTCCAGTAGTAATTTCTTTATATTCAGCAGACGAAATATCTTTCAATTTTAAAAATTTAACCCAAAATCTAATTAATTTTAAAGGCCCAACTTTCGTTCTATTAAAATTCGAAGACGATAAAAATAACTAGTATATGGTAGGAGGTTTTAATCAATTTTAATGGCATAAATAAGGTATCTAGGGAGATAGAGAGTCTTATGTTTTCTCTCTATATCCTAGATATAGACATTTTTAGCCTATAGAGGAAATTACAATAACTTATAGGTAAAATATGTAATACTGTTATCTAAATGAGAATAAAGGGTTAAGTTTTGGAGGTATGTAATAGGAATCTTGTAGGATATGGGTCGATGCGAATAATTTAAGTAATTCTTTTGCAACTGATGAGGATTTTAATTATAAATCAGGATGCTTAATAGATGCTAGAGTTTAGAATTTAAAATGTACAAATATTGAAGTTATTGGTTTGGAAAGAGAACCTATTATAAATAATAATTCTTTAATTTAATAATAAATTGTATTCGAAAAATATTATAATAATACGTAATTTATATATATATTTATAATTTTGATTATTTTTATTTTTATAAAATAAAGAGAAATTAAATAAATACTTGACTCTTCAGCTAATTTAAAAAAAAAAATATTAGAAGGAATTGATGTGGCAAGAGCAAGTGCTATGAGAATTAATTAATAATAATAATATTCTTAAATAAATAAAAGTAGGTATTCAAGTAAAAATATAGTTAATTAATAGAATTAGGTTAATAATTAGGAGTTTATTCTTGATATAAATTAAAAATAATTTTTAAATTATTAAACTATATAGACTACTAATTCTGATACTTTTAATAGTAATATAATTTAAAGTGTTAATAAAAGTAATGCTTATTTATAATAATAAAATAATAATATCGATAATTAAAATAGAAAATAATAAAATGAAGTCTAGACAGTTTAATCAACTATAACAAATAATGAAAATATTAATATTAGTGGATATAAATAAAAAATAGATTAATAAGCTACTTTATTATAAAATTAAGTTAATAATAAAGCAAATAATATGTCTTATATTTATGAGCCTTAAAAAATTGTATTTGAAAATAATTATAGTCAAAATTATTCTAAAAGTGATTTGAATAACGAAGGAAATATATATACAACTGATTAATATAATAAAAGTAATAATTATAATAGCAAATAGCATGCTTAAAGCGAATTTAATTATTTTAGTTCATAATAAACAAAGTAAAATAATAAAATAAATTATTTTAAAAATATTTAAACTAGAACAAAAAATAATAAAGAAATGTATATAGAGGAATTAGGAAAAATAATAAGTATGATTATATAAATATTAATAAAGATTTTTATAAACGATTTATTATAAATATATATATATATATATATATTTTTATATTTTATATATTTTTATATATTTTTATATATTTTATTATTATAAAGATAAGAATGAATATATTATAGATTAATTTAATCAAGAAAATATTTATTGATATTGATATTTGAAATAAATATTACTTAAATCTTTTTATAAAATATATAATTAATTAATTTTAAATAATTTTTTTTTCTATATTTTATAAATAAGTATATATTTTTTTATAAAATATTAATAATGAAAAAAGGCATAAAAAAATAAAATATTATATTTTTTAAATAAATATTTAAATAGAATATTTAATTCAAGTAAAATATTAAAAATAAAATATACATCATACTTAAAAAAATAATTTTTTTATTTAAAAGTTTAAATTATATATATTATTTAATTATTTATTTATTATAAATAAAATAAATATTTTTTTTAGATATATATTTTACTATTTTATAGAAAATAAAAAGAATATTAATATATTACATTATATATAAACGTGTTTAAATATACTAAGATAAAAATATTAATATATTTATTTTTATTTATATATATATATATGTTTTTATATATATATATATATATATATATATATATATATATAATATTTTAATTTTTTTTTTCTATATTATATTAGTTTTTAAAAATAAAATCAAAAAAAAAATAATTAATTAATAAATAAAAGAAAAAATATAAATTTGAAAAACTCCTTACGAAAATGGTTCTTAATTTTATAAAATTTATAATTTAAAATTTAATTTTTATATAAAAAATTAGTAATAAATGAAATTAAGAAGTAATATTCATAGTAGTAATATTAATAAAAGAGGATAAGTAAATAAGTCATTAAGAGCTAAAGGTGATAAAAGTGTTAGTGCTTGGGTATTGGGAATATTTATTTTTGTAGTTATTGGATCCGCAATATTTTAAATTCTAAATGTATTATTAAATTCATAAGCATGATAAATAAAAGAAATATTTATTATTTTATATTTATAAATAATTATATATGTAATTTTTTTATTATAAAAAAATCTATTAAATTCATTTTTATAACATTGTTTTGTCAATAATAATTAATTAAAAAAAATCTTCATTTAAAAAAAAATAGAAAAAAAAATAAAAAAATTACATTATTATATCAAATATAAAACAATAAAAAAAAATACATAAATTATTTATATATATATATAAATTTATATATTTAATGATAAAAATATTAATAAATTAAAATACAAATATATATATATATATTCATTTTATATATATATATATATATATATATTATTATATTAATATTTATATTTATATTATTTTTATTTTTATTTAATAATATAAATCATATAGGATATTTTTTATTTTTATTTCAATTTTAATTATTTTTTCTTAAAATTTTTCCTGGTTATTTCTAAAAATTATTATTGTTCAATTTATCGTTCTAATTTTTTTTTTATATTATTTTATTTAATTCAGACTAGAGAGAATCTACTGTTATTATTTCTTTTTGTTTAGTTTTTGATACATTCGATAAGTTATCAAAATTATCTTAATTTGTTTACTTAGCCAAATTACATTTTATAAATTTACACTAATCAACACTAAAATTACTTGAATTTATATTCTCATTACTTTGTTTATCCTATATAAAATTTCCATTTTCTAATTTATTTTGGTTTTTATTTAAAATATTTCTCATTTATTTTTATTATTGATTTTCATATTAATCTTTATTAATATTTATTTATGTTATTTATTAATATTATTTTTTCTCATATTGGTTTTAAAATATTTAATTTTCGATATTTTATGTATTTTAACTCAAAACCTAAATTTATTTGCTCATTTTTTCTAATTCTATTGAAAATTATTTATTTTCATGAATTAAATTTTAAAGTTTTTGTATATTTTTAGAATATTAATTATAGCTTTATCCAAAATTCGATATATTGTATAAAGTTTTCTAGTCTATATTATTTTAAATGAAGAATTTATTAATAGAACTATAAATAATTTCGATTACATCTTCACTATTATTGATTAAATTTTAAATAAAATCGAGGAAGCTTTCTTAAATAAGGGTACTTTATTTTTAGTCTTCGAAAATATTTTGAATAAATTTATTATAAAAGTTTAATTATTTGAAATTTTTTTACTAATAATTTTTCTGAAATTTCAAAAGTTTTTAAATGAAAATAATTACATAAACATACTTTCTAAATATTTTATAAACTTATTATTTAAAATTATTATTATTATTTAAATTTTATTTAGAAGTATTAATTAATTCTAGCATATTCAAATAATAAATAAAATATTATTTAAAAAAAGAATTTTCTTTGATTTTATTTAAATAAAGTAAATATAAGTTAGAAAGACCTTTAACTAATTAAGCAATAATTAAAAATTATAAATCAATTTTACTTTTATTCTAAATTTCAAATCTAAGGCTTCTTTCATATTCTTGAATTTAATTTTCTTAAGAAAAAATGACTTCATTATTACATTAGAGTTATTTTTGTAACTATGAGTATTTATTTTCTAATTAGATATATTTATTTTCGTTTATTTAATTTTTATTTTCGAAATTATTTTTTAATTGTTTTTTTTCTTCTTCAAATTCTTTTTTTAAATTAAATATTTAATTCTCTTATTAGACTTTATTTTGATGTTGTATTTTTATAAATTCGTCAGTTTAGAATTGTAGTTTATTTATTTTTTCTTAGTATTCTTTTTCTTGTTTTTCAAGTTTTTTTTCGTTTTCTTTTTTTTCGTTTATCAAAATTTGGATTTAATTTTTTATTTCTTCTTCAATTTTTTATGTTTAAAGGACTTTTTTATTTAAGTATAAATTTTAAAATTTCGCTTATTTTTCGTTTGTTTATTCTTTTAAAATATGAAATATGTTTTCAAGTTTTTTTTATTAGTTTTCTTTTTCTTCGGACATATTTTCACATTTTTTTTTTAAGTCTTAAATTTACTTTTGGTTATTTTTTATTTCTTTTTGATATTTTTATAAACTTTCGTCTATTTAATATTTTTATTCATTTAGTTTTGTTAAATTGAGTTTAAATTCTTCTATTAATTTATAACTCTCTTCTAATTTATTTTTTTATGTGTTTATTTCGACCCTTAAATTAGAATTTTCTTAGTTTTATTTTATTAATTCGGAAGCTTATTTTTCACTTTTGTGTCTTATTTATTCTAATTAATATATTTTTTCTTCTTTTTTATTTATTAAAAGTTCATATTTTTCTATTTTTTGAATATTTTGTTCATTTAATTATTCATATTTTTTTATTATATTTTAATGAGCTTATACTTCTTTTTTAAAATTTTCATTTTATTGTAATAAAGCTGATATTTGTTCTCTATTTTTGATTTCCTTCAATTAAATTTCCTTGAGAATATTCTATTATTTATTTATTTATTTATTTTTTTTTAAAAAAAAAACTTTAAATTTCGCAAGTTCAATCGAAAGACTAATTTTTTCTTGTTCTTAATTATTTTAAATATTTTAGTTTTTTTCTTTTTCTTGTTCCTATTAATCTAGTATTTTATTTTAATTTTCGAGTTTTTTCAAAAGAGATTAGTTTTATTCTGTTAATTATATAATTTTTATTTCTAATTATTTTTTTATAAATTATTATTCAGATTCATCATTTTTAATTTATTTTTCAATATTTTAAAATTTGAGTTTTTATTAAATTTAAATCATGTCTAATTCTTAAATCTATATTTTTATTTATTTTATTTTTTGAAAAAAAAAAAAATACTTTTTCTTCTAGTATTTCTATTTGTTAATTTTTTATATTTAAATCATTTGTTAATAATTAAATTTTTGTATGTTATTCTTTCAATATATTTATTGTTTCTTATGTTGATTTTGCACTTTAAATTTCTTGTTATGTATATGATTTATTTGTATCGTCGTTTAAATTCATATTTTTTATTAATTTTTTTATAATACTAAATTTTCTTTTTATCTTAAAAAAATAAATATAATTTAATAAAATATTAAAAATATTTAAATTTTCTTTTTTTTAAAAAAAAAATAAACAATTTTAAATAAAGAAATGAAATAAATAAAGCTTTTAATAAAAAATAAATAAAAAAAAAAAAAAATTAAATATGTTGTTTTAGTACATTCGTATTTTTATTTTTTTACTAATTTAATAAAATATTTTTTATTTTTCTTAAAATTAAAAAGTAATTCAATTTTTTTTTAAATTTACATAACATAAATATTTAAAATAAATAAAAAAAAGAAAATATTAAAAAAAAAAAAAAAATTTTAAATTAAACAAAAATAATATAATAAACAAGTTAAACACATAAAAAAAAATAAAACGTAATGTCAACAATAGCATCATGTAGTAACTCAATATTAATTCATTAAATAGACAATGTGATTCCGATATTTTAATTTGACCCGCATAACAAATCAACAATAAACTGCATTGCATTTAGTCAAAACAGTAAAAGAAAAAAAAACAAAAGAAATAAATAAAAAAAAAATCAAAAAAGACCAAGCAATTGCAAGTTGTGCAGATGACGGAAAAATAGTAATATCCCATGCTACAACTGGGAATAATTTAATATCATACCAAGATGAGGACCCAAATAATAAAATATATTCGATTTCATTCACATCAAATTCACAATATATCGCCCATGGGTGCTTAAATGGGAAACTAAAAATATACGATTTAAAAAAGAAACAAATGTAAGCGAAATATAAATCCCATTTTGGAAGTGTAAATACAGTCGATTGGCATTAAAATGATTATTTAATTGCTAGTGGAAGTTCTGATGGGAATATACAAATCCATAATATCTAAAATAATATAATGGTAGCGACTTTTAGCACAAGTGAACTACAAAATTCGCCATCAATAAAATAAATAAAATTCTCTTCTTTAAAAATCGAAAAATTAGCAAGTTGTTCGAACGATGGAAGAGTTTAAGTTTGGGATATTAATACAAGACAATAATTATGTAATTTAAATAATCATTCAGATAAGGCAACTGCAATTAGCTTTTCGACTTAAAATTAAATTTTTTTGGGAAGTTGTTCTTTAGATTAGAAAATTAACTTTTATGATATTAGTGAAAAAAAAGTTGTCAAAACACTCAATACTGATTAACCTTTGACCTCGCTTAAGTTTTGTTTAGATGGGATTACTATTGTGGCAGGGACTTTGTATGGGGGTTTACTTGTATATGATTTGAGATAGGCTCATTAACCGAAAAATATTTTATAGGGTCATGATAAAAATTGTCCGGTTAATTTTATTTCGATTCATAATTAAAATATTAGTGATGCGAAAAAAAACTAAATGAAAAGTTCACTTGGTGTTTAAAAAAATATCAATATTATACCTTATTAATCTTCAAATATTTAAAATTTTAATATTTCAAAAGATTCTTTTGGGAATATGAATTTATAAAATAAAGATAACAATAGTATTATAAATAATAATAATAATAATAGTGGTAGTAATTTAAATGGTATATTTTTTATAAAAAAAATATTCATTTAATTAATTTTTTTTTATAAATATATATTTTTATAGAAAATTAATAAATTAACAGTAATAAAGTTATAAGCTTGGAATAAAAAATAATATCAAAATTGAATGAAAAGTAGAAGTAATTTTTATAATTTTTTTTCTTTTTTTTACATTAAATGCAGGAATTTGTTTTATTTTTTATTAGCATAGTAAAACCAGATTTAAAATTGGATTTTGAATAAATGAAAGTTACAGAAGTTTAACAGCCAGAATTCTAAAATAAAATGAATGTTGTGAATAATTAGTAATAAAATTAATTATAATAAGTTAAATTATAATAATAAATTTAATAATAAGTTTAATAGCAATTAATTTACTAATAATAAAATTAATCCTAAAGCATTTTTTTATAAAAAACATAACCATAATAAGTATATTAATAATAAATTTAATAACAATAAATATAAATAAATGATAATAAAAGTATATAATCAATAAATTAAAAAGAATAAATTAGTAATTTTATATATTTATATAATATAATCACTAATAAATATATTATAAATATTTAATTATTATAAAAAAAAAATATTTTAATTAATTATATTTTTTTATAAAATAAGCATTATCTAAAATGCCTTATTTTAAATAAAATATATGTATTTTAAATACTTCTTAATTATCAAATAATGAAGAAGATTAAAAAAGGACTATATAATCATTAGAATTACCACCAAAAATAAATACTACTTAATAGTAAATAAAAATATAATTTATGTTTTTTTTAAAAAAATAAATAAAGGTAAAATAATTAATAATCAAACATTATAAAATAAGATGATTTTTCTGAAAAATAATAAAATTTTATCAAAAGAGAATTATAAGAATAATTGAATGAAATTAAAAACGAAATTAGAGGAGAGTTTTAAAATGTTCTTATTGAAATGATTAGATAATTTCAAATTTAATAAGTATTAAACAATATATATGTATTTTACAATCATAATATAAATAAATTTTATAAATATTATTAAAATAGAATGAAATTAATTAATAACTAGAATTTTTCGCAAATGAAAATAAAATGTAAAAAGAAATTATATAAAATTTAAAAACTGAAAATGAAAAACTTAAAAAATATATCCATTGAATAAATTTAAATAAGTAAGCTGTATTATTTTTTATAATTAAAAAATTCAAAATAATTTAATGTTCATTAATTTAAATTAAAATAAATTATTATAGATAATAAAATACAGTATATATATATATATATACATATATTTATATAATAAAATTAAAATAAATAAAATCATCTAATATCTCTCATATTATCGACAAGAATACTTTATTATTTGTACTTATCTTAAATAGAAGGGAATAAATTCCAAAACCTTAAAGTTTCATCCCCTGCCCCAGTAACAATAGTCTATCCGTCCGGACTCATTGCCACAAATAATACTCTTGAAGTATGTCCTGTAAGTTCTGCAACTTTTTACATAGTAGGATATTTCCATACAATAATTTAATTCTAAGAATAACCATGTGTACTAACTATTTCATTAACACCTTCCCAAACATTAAATTACAAACTTAAGACTAAGTATCTATATAATCTAATTATTAATTAGTTGATGTGTTCCAGAATCTTATACATCTATCCTATGTGCCACCTCCGGAAGCTAATAAACCTTTTTTTATTATTATTAAAAATTAGAAAACATATAAAATAATATTATGTATATATATATATATAAATATTTACTATGTTAATGTTAAGACCATGCAATAGCCTTTACAGCAGCTTAATGTTCGTAAAATTTACATATAGGGTTATTTGAATGATTATTCCAGACATTAAGTTTATTATCATTCCCTCCTGAGGCTAACAATTATTCATCCCAACTCCATTTAAGTCCACATATTTCTTATTTATGTTAATTAAGTTTTCTCTAATAATTATTCTAATCTCTCACATCTCTTAATAATATAGATTTATCTCTAGAACCACTAGCTAATATTTCGTTTGACCAAGCTAATGAACCTATTCGTCCTGTATGTCCTTTTAAAGTTCGAATTTTTTTAATTTCATCCGCATCCCAAATTTGAGTTTCTCCTTAAGAAGTTCCTATACATAATTAATGACCTTTAGGATGCCAGTTTACACTAGAAACGGAATCGTTTATGCCTAAATCACAAAATTTTATGACTAAATTATTACATGCTTTCCATAAATAAACACACGATCCAAGAGCTACTGCTAGAATGTTAGTTTAAGACCAATCTACTAGATTTAAATAAAAATCGTCTTATAAAGATGGCGCGTCGAGTACTTTAAAAGGTATTTTTGGAATTTATCGCAAGTATTTTTCTTTTTTTTCTTTCATATTTAAAGTATCTTGGATTTTTAAATAATTATTATTATTTTAAATTATTATGCCTTTTTCATAATTTGAAATATTATTCATGCAAGGGTTTTTGACTTTTTCACCAAAACATAATATATTATAATTTTCAGAATTATTTTCATCTCCAAAAGGACTTTTTATAGGCAAACTAAGAATATGTCTTTTATATAATTATTCGATAGAAACTTAGTATTATTTGTCTAATAATTGGCCTTTATATTCATTATTAAGGGTTGATTTTTATATTTTTTCATGAGCGTGGGTTAACGCGATACTTAATTTGGAGTTTTTTCTACAAGGAATAAATCTATCATTGTAGTTGATTTTTTAAGATTTGTTTTGCTTTATTTTTTCTTCTTATTATTTTTTTTCTTCTTTAGTTTTTTATTTATGTATTTATGTTGATTTGGTTAAATTAGATTCTAGAAAAGGTTAACTAATTATTTTATTTTATTTTTCAAAAAAAAAAAATATATATATATATATATTAATATTTACTTTTTTTATTTTTATTTTTTACTTAGAATTTTTTCTTATATTTTATATTTTATTATATTTACTACTAGAACTTAATTTTAATTCTTCGTTTGTAGACTTTAAGAAAGGAATTGTTGTTTCTTAATAATTAAAATCTTAATATTTAAATAATTATGAATTTGTTAATATCTAATGATACGCCTTTTCTTAATGTTTTAGGCAATCTATTTTCATTATTAGTGTATGAATAATTTAATTAATTTTTTTGCTAGGAATATTAATTTAAAAGCATGAAAATTTTGTTCTTTATTATTAATGTTATTTTATTTTATTATTTGTTGTTAATATGGTGTTTTTTATAATTGATTGTGTATTTATTTTTAACAAAGTAGAACAAAATGATTTTATATTATTTATTTTAGTAATTATATAATTTTATTTTAAAATTATAATTTTTAATAAGAAGCAATTACTAACACAAATAAAATTTATTTAGCTTTTATATATATTTATTAATATTTGTTTTTAATTCAATAAATTTAATATTAATAATAATAATTTGTGAATGTTTATTTTTTATTTCTTATAATTAATAATTAAAGAATAAAAATTACAATATAGAAAATTTATAAATTATTATGAAAATAAAAAAATATGAATTAAATCAGTATACAATATATATTCTTTTCATTTTCTATAAAAAATATAAATAAGCATATTCATTTATATAAATAAATAAATGTAAATATTAATTTTTATATATATAATCTAATAAACATTTAATTTTTACAAATATTTAAATTCTATTTAATTTATTTTTTTAAAATAATATGATAATATATTATATAAAATTTAATAATAAATTTACTTATTGTTTGCAATATTATATTAGAAAAAGAAACAATTTATAATTTTTTATGTTTATTTATTAAAATAAAAATGAAATGATTCTTTGTTATTTTTTAATACAAATTATATTTTTAATTTTATAATAATTAATAAATAAATATTAATAAAAAAAAACTGAAAAAATGATAATAAAGAAAATATTTAAAAAAAAAAAAAACTAAAATACATTTAATTTTATTAAGAATAAATATGAATATATAATATATTAAAATTTTTTTTTTTACTAAATTTAATATATAGAAAGTTTTTTCTAAATTATCATTATTAAATAAAAAATAAAAAAAAAATTAAATTTTTATAATTATAGCATTATGTAATTACAAATTCAAAATATTATAAACTTCTAAATTAATAATCAAAAAATCGTAATCATATTAATAAAATATATAAAAAAAATTAAAAAATAAAATTAAACAAAATTAGTAATAACATTCTAATAAGAAAATAAAATAAATATATTAATTATAGAACATAATTAAAAATAAACATAATTTTGTAATTAAATATATAAGTAAAAATATATAAAAATATATAAAAATATATAAAAATATAAAAAATATATAAAAATATATAAAAATATATATATATATATTTATATATATATATATATATTTATATATATATATATTCAATTTTTAAAGTAAAAAGTTTTATATTTTTATTTTTTTTGAATAAAAAATTTTAAATACATATTTTTATCTTTTTATAATTATTATAATATAAATATATATTTATAATTAAAAATTTATTTTATAATTACTTTATTTTTAGTTTTTTATACATATTTATATCTATATATTTATAATATTTATTTTATTTTTTATTATTATAACAAAATAAAATTCTAATTATTACTTATCTTTTATTTATATTATTTTATTTCCCTTAAGATAAGAAGTTATTTTATTATAATTATGTTTTTATTCTGTTTTATTTTCTTTTTAAACATTATTTTTTATTTATAAATAAATTTTTTAATTTTTCTAAATAATTATAATTTAAATTTTATTTTTGTAAATTAATTATTTAAACATTTTGTTTTATTCATTTATACTTTGCATATTTTTTTTATACTTTATTCTTTGTGCAGTTATGATTTTTTTAATATTTATTTTATACTTCTTTTTTATTTTTATTTTTTATATTTATAAATTAAATTATTAATTAAATTTTCTTTATTTATATTTCATAAAAATTATCATTTACATTATTCATATATTTTTTAATAAAAATTGATTTTTTTTTTAAACAAAAATTACGCAATAAAAAATATTTTAATTATATAAAATAATTTAAAAATAATAATTAATTTATAAATATATTTCTGAATTATTCATATAAATTACTTTACCTGTTTTAATTTATTATTATTAATTTTATAAATGGAGAATATTAATTTAATAATAAATGGAAATATGTTTTATTTTATTTAATAATACTTGTTTTATTTAAAACACGTAAAATTTTTTGTGCATTTCTAATATTTATTTATCATAAAAGAAATTTATTTTAAAATAATTTCGCTGTTTTATCTTATTTTAAAGATTTAATTAAATTTCCTTATTTGATATGTATTTGATAAATTAATTATTATTATTATTATTATTATTATTATTATTATTATTATTATTATTATTAATATTATTATTATTATTATTATTATTAACATTATTATTAATTAAATTTTCTGAGTTCGATAAATTATTTATATCTAATTATAAGTTAGAGTAAGTATTAAATTTTTATTTTTGATTTTAATTATTAAAAGGTTTGTTTTTATAAAGTTGCATAATTTATTAAGTAGTTTATTATTTTAAAATATTTTAATCTTTTTTAACCTAATTATTTACTTGTGTATCTTTTACATTAAGGTTTTATTATTATGATTTTAAAACTCTTGAATTCAAAACAATTTTACTTTGTAATTTTTCTTAAATTTTAGCTTTTTAGGCTTTCAAACTAAGTTTTATAATATTGTTATCATTTTAAGAATAAAACGATTTTTTTTATATGTCAACTATATTTTAACATAATTATTATCTTAATGAGAATTTTTATTACTGTTTGACTGTAATAAAGTTATAACTAATACTTTATTTATAATTATTTTATTCTTATATTATTATATTTTCTTTTTTTTAAATATCAAACCTTTAAACATTATTATTGCATGTAAATGGACGTTTACAACATTAATTTTTTTGATTTAGATTTGCTAACTTATATTTAGTTATTTATTAATTTTAGCTTTATAAAATTTTTTCATGTTTTTCTTCAGTTTGTGTTTTTATAATTTTTTATATTTATGGAGTTATCAAATCTAATTAATATTTAACAAAGTTTGTATTAGTTTTATATATATTTCGGTTAGTTAATTAAGAATTTAATAATTTTGTTATATTAATACTTTTGGCTAAAAATTTTGGCTGGTTCCAAATGAATTATTTAAAGTATTTATTTTTACAAAACTGCTGCACGATCTATTTATTTTGTTTATACCTATATATTATTTTTCTTAATTTAATGAGCTTTTATAAGTAAGACTTCTTTAATTTTTTTATTAATTTTTTTATTATAATTTATTTTCAATAATTAAGTTTTATTAAATTTTTTTTGTTCCAGTAAACTAATCATGTATTAATTATGCTGATTAAATAAAACTTTAGTAATTAGAAATATCATCCTTAAGTTGATAGATTTATATAGATATATATATATATAGATATATATATATATATATATAGTTATATATATATTATATATTTATTTTTATTTATTTAAATTTATCCGTATATATAAAAATTATATTAACTATTTTAAATTTAATATTATTAAAATATTTTATAGTATAAAATTTACTACTATTATATATATATAATATGATTTTTAAATCTAAATATAATTACTTAATTTTAAGGATATATTCTTATAAAACCGTTTTGATTTTATTTTTCATGTTTATCTATTTTTTTTTAAATTTTAATTTTCTTTTCTTCTTCATTTTTTTTTTTATGTTTTTATTATTATTATTTATTATCTTAATACCTTTTATTGAAAAATAAAGTTATATTTATATATTATTTAAAAATAAATACTATTATTTATCTTAATATTTAGCATTGACTAATATTAATGTATCTAATATTAAAGAATGTTTTATATTATAATCTAAAGGAGTATCAGTTGTAAAACTTGGCGTATGATTAACCTCAATTAAATATGCTTTTAAATGTTCATCAAGCATAATATCAAAGCTTTAAAAAAATATTAATTAAAATAATTATTTTTGTTATTTATTAAAACCCGAATATTTCAAAGCACATACAATTATTTTATTCTTTAAGTTAACTACTTTTATATAAATGGCTTAAATAAGGTTATACACTGCACATAGTTTTATTAATAATTTATTTAATTTAAATGAGAACTTTATTTATATCCTCTCCTATTTCACTCAAATATTTTAAAATAGAAGAAAAGCTTCTTTTATGTCCAAAATCATCTTTCAAAACTTCCTTATTGAATATAAATTCTGGATTTAATTTATTAATAGCATAATTAGTTAAATGCATCCACATATTTTTTATGTTTTTTTTTTAAGGTTTTTAATATTTTACAGTTGCAAATCTTGCAAAACCTTCTCTATATAAAAATATTTTCAATGGACAGACACTTTTTACAAGTGCATATACTCTAAAATCAAATTTTAAACCATCAATTAAATATGGATTTTATATATATTATTATGCTACTACATGTTATTCTTATCCTTTTTTTTTTTTTTTTTTTTTTTTTGAAATAAATATTTTTTATTTTATTTTTTTAGTTTTATTTTTCAACTTATTTTTTATATGCTTTAAATTAAATATATTCCTTTTCCTTAACAATTTGCTTCTGGTTTCACTATTATAACAGGCTTTTTAGTTTTATTTTTTTCCATATAAATTCTTAGTTCTTCATATTAAAACGGTAAAAGCCATGTTTTAGGGAAAAAATCATATTCTAAAGGAAATATTTTATTCATTTTTTATAAATGTTTTCCTAAATAATTTTTCTTGCCTAAATTATATGATCCTGGGAAATGATTAATTTTTTAAAAAGGAAGCATTTTTCTTAATTTATCATCGTTTATGTAGTAATCATACCAAATTATATTCCAATCTTAAATATTTTTGTTTAAAGAAATATTCCATTAAAATTTGTTTTTACAAACTTCTTATATTATATTATATTTTGTATCTTTTTTTTTTTAATTATTAAGATTTTTTTATTTTTATAATTTTTTAGAGATTTTTAATATTAAATAAACTTGATAAATCTATTGTTATTTTTTTATTTATTTTTATTTTTCTATTTAAATTTATTAGTGTGCTTAATGACATAATTTAATTTAAGCTTTATGTAGGTTTTTATTCGCTTATTTATTTAAAAGATTTTATTTAAAATATATTATAATTTAATTATTCTGACCCATTTTATTCTTAGTCTTTTTCTTAAGAATTATCAGATAATGAACAATATGAAAGACTTACTTTTAAATTATATAAATAATTATAAATATATTTATATTTATAAATATATATATAATTATTTATATATATTTTTTATATATTTAAATAATAGTTTTTTGAATATTTTTTGTTACTTTGTTATTTTTATTTCATTAATAGTAATTTATTAAATATATATATATATAAATATATATAATTAATATTTATATTAATTTAATAAATATATAAAAAAAACATTAATTTATTAATATAATTTTTTATTTAAAAATTAATTAAAGATTAAATTTTTTATAGTTTGATTATTTTTTTAATAATAAATATTTAAATTTTAATTTTTTTTTTAATTATAATAATATTTATATATTTTTAAACTAATTTGTAATTTTTAAATTATTTTAATTTTCATATATATTATTAAAATTTATAAAATAAAACTTTATATATTAAATTCATTTAACAAAAAATAAAATAAAGATTTTAGAAAACTAAATAATATATAAAAAAATAAACAATATTAAAAAAAAATTAGATTTAAAAATAATTTCTTTTATCAAGCAATATTCATTTTTTAATTTATTAATATTATTATTATTATTATTATTATAAATTTTACTATTTTTTATGTTATTCTAAATGTTAAATTAATTAACTTGATAAATGAAATCCCATTTAACAATTATTAAATGCACAAATAAATTTAAATTATTATTATTTCTCATTTAATATTTATTTTATATTCTTATTTAAATAACCTGATAAATTTTATGCTTTTAATCCTGTATTATCTATTTTTTATAACTTTACATTAGCATTCGTTATTTCTTATTAATCCATTCTTGCATTTACCTTTACTTAATCTTTTAATATGTTTTATAACATTTAAGGATTCACGTTAAATTTTGGGCGTTATATTTATTATTAATGTGATTCCGAATCGGATTTTGAAGAAGAGGAGGATGAATATACCCTTTTTGTTTTTTTTGATTTTCTTTTGTATTTATTATGATGCTTATTATTTGAAGAATTATTACTTGAACTTCTACTTGAAGAACGACTATAGATAATACTTTTTTTTTCTGATTTAATTTTTTTATATGATTTTTTCTTATTTTATGATTTATGTTCTATTGATCTGGAACGACTTTTTGGTCTCATTATATTTTTTTTTTAAAAAAAAAATATATATTAATATTTTTTTATAATTAAAATAAATATTTTAGTTAGTTTTTTTTATTAAATATCTGTAAATAAATATATATTTTTTATTATTGAAATATTTGTAAATATTTTTTTTTTTTAAATAATTATATTAATATATTATTTTTTTAAAATTTATAGTTTTTTTATAAGAGATTATTCTATAACTTCATAAAATAAATTAATTGATAATTTATATATGATTAAAAGTATTTTTATTAAAGATTCAAATTATAATCGAAAAAAAATATATTTTTTTAAATATATATACTTAAATTACAAATTATTATTAATTTCAACTTTAAAAAAATTATTTTATTTTTGTTAATTCTTTTACATTTTTTATTTCAAATATCTCCACTTTCTTAAGCGTCTTCATTTCTATCTTCTCCATCATCCATATTTTCAAAATTAATAGCAATATCATCCACATTATCACTAATATAATAAAATATAAATATAACAAAAAATTATATAAAAAAACATACTTTTCAATATCCATATTTTCGTTTCCATCTTCATTTTTGAGATTTTTTTCTTTTTACATTTATTATTTCTTTTAAATAATCATTTTCTAATTTATTCCATTTTTCTATCTTTTAGGCATAAACATTTAAGTTTCATTTATTTCGTTTTCATCTAAAAGCATTTCCATAACCTCTTTTGGTTTCCAAATATCAGCTTTAAAAGCTCCACCAGAATAAACTGTAGACTAAACCATTTATTTCTACTAAGCTCTTTTTAAAATTCTTTCCTCAATAGTTCCTTTCATAATAAGTCTATAAACTTAAACTTCCTTAGTTTAACCTAAAAAAATTATAGTATTTATTTTAAATCAATAAATAAATATTACCTATTCTATGTGCTCTGTCCATAGCCTATGCATCCATAGTAGGATTCCAATCATTATCGTAAAAAATAACTACATCAGCAGCTGTAAGAGTAACTCCCAAACCACCTGCTCTTGTACTTAATAAGAAAACGAAAGTTTAATCATTTTATTAAAATTCATTTACCATATCACGTCTATCTGATATATTACATGAACCATCTAGACGGAAATATTTGTATTTTTTTCGGGTCATAAAATCTTCTAGAATATCTATCATTCTTGTCATTTAACAAAATATTAAAACTCTATGTCCGTTTCTTTTAAGAACTTATAAAAGCTTTTTTATTTATTAATAAATTTTTATATATATGTATATATATATTTATATATAAATTATATATATATATATATATATATATATATATATATATATATCTTGATTTACTTTGTCTAAATATTTTAATTTAGCACTATCAGCTACTAAACTTGCGAAATCAACAACTTCGATATTAGAAAAAGACTCTTAAAAATTATTGTTTAGTAGACCATCTTTTAATAACTAATAAAAATATATATAAAAGTATAAACATAAATTGTAATAAAATAAAATTTATAAATTAATAAATAAAAATAATTTTACTTCTGTATTTAATTAAGATCTTCCCAATATAGGTATTTATTATCCTTCAGTTGAGAATTGTGTTTTTTATAAAACTCTATGTTTTCCTATTATAATAAAACTTCCGAACTTAGCTTCTTGATAAGTATATTTATTAGTTTGAAAACTTTAAGAAGAGCAAGTAAACTCTATTATAGGAGCTTCGGTTTTTTTAATATAGCAGTAAAGTTTATTAGGGTTATGTGAAAAAAGGGCTCCTATTTAATTTATTGTCCTATTTTGTTTGGAAATAATAATTTTTTCATTTACAGATTCGTGTTTTTATTCAAATTAACCTTCAAGTATATTTTTGGACCACCATAAATTTTTAGATGGAAACTTTTCATCTTTTGATGCGTAATATTGGTATTTTTATTAAATTTTGGAAAGAAAATGTAATAAAATAATATTTAAGTATAAAGAATCTGCTCGAGAGTATATTTCCATTATATTAAGAGGTAAATCAAGTAATCTTATAAATGAAAAAAATGAATTTCCTTTAAAAATATCCTATTAGATGTATTATGTTGAAAATAATTAAAATTTCCTTTATATAAAAGTATAGAAATTCTCTTAGCATAAAACTTCATCATAGTATAGTTTTGGAATTTAATATATTATAGGGTTATGAATGTTTGAATATATCATTTTTATTTAACCAGGCTTTGGAGGTAAATGGCCTGTATAAAAATATATATTTTAGAATATAAACGGACTTCGGGAACTTCTTCTTTCAAATAATTCAGGATGATTACATACCTTTATTTTATTTTATTTATTTTATTTTCTTTGTTTTTTTTTTTTTTAAATATTTTATTTACTTTTCTAAATTGCATTACTAAATTCATTAAATTATCAACTTTTTGTTTCGATTCAAATATTTTAAAGAAATCTTTTAAAGATAATTTCTATCTAATAGACTCATAGAAACATTATTGCCTTTTGGTCATAGTACACATTATTTAGTACTCTGTTTTTGCACCAATTTCATGTTCGACGTCTTTTTTTATTCTTCGGAGCATAAAAGGTTTCAAAATAGCATGCAAACGTTATAATTAGTGTTAATTTAATTGTTATTTATCCTAACTGGAGGCTTCTATGTCTTTAGAAAACCATTCTTAAAATTAATCATGTGAATCAAATAGTTTAGGCATTATAAAATGTAGTAAAGCCCATAGTTCAGCCATTGTATTTTATATAGGAGTACCTGTTAGAAGTAGTTTATTTCTAGAATTAAATGAAAGTAATGTTTTCCATCTTTAAGAATTAATATTTTTAATAGCCTAAGCTTCATCTAATATCATATATTACCATTTTATTCTGTGGAAAGTCTTTTCGTCAGAAACTACTAGTTAATAAGATGTTATAACTAAATGGAAAGGTGAACTTTTACAACCTAAATGATGTGAAGAAAAATACGTTCTTATAGTTTTTCTTTATTTTAAACTTCCCCAATACGGAAGAACTTTTAATTAAGGGAAAAATTTCTTTAATTCTTACTACCAATTATCTATATATATATATATATATATATATATATATATATATATATATATATATATATATATATATATATATATATATAAATATAAGTTTTTTTATTTTTAATTACATAAAGTAGATGATGGTGCAATAACTAAAAATGGCCCCCATATATTTTTTGAATTAACAATATGTGTTATTAAAGCTATTGCTTATATAGTTTTTCCTAAACCCATTTCATCTGCTAATATACCATTAATACCTTATTCATATAAATTATCTAACCATCTAAGACCTTTAAGTTAATATTCTTTAAGTGTTCCTTAAAATAAAGGAGGTGGCTAAACTATACTATTTTATGTTTCAGCTTCTACTTATGAGAAATCTAATTTTTGAGCCGCTCTTATATCTTTATCATTAATTTTTTTTTATTCATTTATTTTTATTTTATCATCTTCACCTCCAACTTTAAAATTTTTTTTTTTTTTTTTAAATATATATATATATATATATATATATATATATATTAATATATATATACATAATTATCTTTCTAAATCTGTATTTCTATCAAATTTAATAAGTTCGTTTCTATGTTAATTAATTAAGGAAGCTACCTATTAAACGGCTTCGTTTTCATCAATTTCTACTTGATTTAATTATTATTATTATTATTATAATTATTTATTTTCTTAATCCATTTATATGCCTAATTTCTAAGCCATAAAATGCGCATATAAATCAGATTGTCTCATTAAATATTCCAATCTTTTTTTTTATAAATGAGTCTCTTTTTCTTCCTCATCTCTTCGAAATAATTCCATCTCAAGTTTTTCGATTCTCCTTTTTATTTCGTTTAATTCTCTTTCTCTTTTTCTCCAGTATGTAGTCATTTCTTTATGCATTTTCTTACTTCTTAGAGCCCAGTCTTTTTATGCTCTTTAGCTTTTCGAATATTTTTTACGGACTTCTTTTGAACATAAAATTGCGTATTTTCGGCAGTTCATCTCGTTTTCTTACCTTGTTTATTAAGCAAATCTGTATATTTTTAATACGTTTTTGACTACATTGCCCCAAGCTTTTTTTAATAAAGCTTTAGTGTATTTGCTCTTTTCCTAAGAGTTCATACGGTTTAATTTTTCAAGCTTTTTTTCCTTAGAATCGTCGTTTTCCTTGTTTCTTTTAGACATTATCTCGTCCCAGTCTTGATAATATTCATTTATTTGATTTAGTTTTAGTTTCAATGGAGAAGATGTGGCATCTGAAGGGGGCATAGCTGAATATAATTCAGCATTAGTCCTTTTTAATTTCAAGTTTAAAGGTTATTATTAACCTTATTGTTGTTAATTTGAATTTTATTGTTGTTTGTTTCTGAATACAACAGGTCGAGTAAACAATCGGTTAAAAGGATCGGTTGTGTCTCCATGTATTGCATGATATTATGGAACTATTACACGTTTAGCCTCATTATAATTACTGCCACAAAATGGTAGGTTTAATGCATTAAATCGATATTTTTTAATTTTAGTAAAATCTAATGTCTATAAATAATATATATATAAATATATAAATATATATATATATATATATATATATATATATATATATTTAATTACCGTAAAACCTACAATATTTTTTTAATGCAATAGTTATTGGTCTTTATGCGAAATTTTATATTTTTTTAAAAGTTAGCTTTCTATTATATTTTAATCTTGAGGAAATTCTATTAATTCTGTTAATTTTGTTAGTATTTTTTCTATTCTTTTTGAGTTTTTTGTTTATTGTGTTTTTTGAATTTCTTTAAATATTGTTTAGTTTTAGATATATTCTTCTATATTTTAATCTTCTTCATTTATTTAGTTTATTTATTGTATATTTTTTTAGAATTATTTAAATAAGTTTCTTTTTTTTTATATATTTTATGTATTTTTATTTTTTTACTTTTTTTTGTTTTTTAAAAAAAATCGCTTTGATTCCAAAAATTCTTGCTTTCTATTAGATAAAAAAGTCTGATTTTCAATATTTTGAAAAGCTTTTATAATTGTATTTTTATTTAGCCTTTTTGTATTTTAGTTTTTAATGTAAAATATAAGAAATATATACAAATAATATTAATTTTTTTTTTTTTTAATTTTTTTTTTTTTTACAATTATTCTTCTGAGTTAATAGTTTATATTCTTTTTTAAATTTAGGCTTTATTTTCTGCTTATTTTTCATTTAGAATATCTTAGTCAAGTTCATCGTCGGTTATTTCGAAATTTTATGCAACATCTAACCTCATTTGTTCTATTTTTTTATTATTTTCATCATATTTTTTTAATGAGTGCTTTTTTTTTATAGTTTTTTTTTTTTTCTTTCTTTGTTTTTTTTATATATTTTACTTGTTTTTCATAGTTTAAAATTTCTTGTATTTTTTTTACACATTATTTATAAACGTTTTGGGGGATTTGGTTTTGTTGATTTTGGTCTTATTGGTCATTTTAACTTATTTGTTTTTGAAAAGAGGAAACTTCAATTTAATGATTGTTAATCATGTTTTTTTAATAATGAAAGATTTTTTATTTATTTATTTATGTATTATTTTTAAAAAAATTATTTTTTTTTTTTATTTTTTTTTTCCTTCTTCAAAAAAAAAAAAAAAAAAAAAAAAAAAAAAAGTATATTTATTTATTTTATAAAATATTTATTATTAATATATTAAATTTTATATATTTTGATTTCTTTTTTCATATTTATTATTTTATTTTTTTATTTGTATTTTCGCTAATTTATATATTTTTTTATTTTTTTATTAAAATAAAATATAAAACAATCATACATCCAATTCACAAATAAAATTTAAAAGTATCTTTTATATTTTTTAAAAATAAATAATAATATAAATAATTTATTAAAATGAAAAGTAATAACTATTTAATTATGTTAATGCAAAATCGATTTTTTATTTTTATTAAATACTCTTTAATCATATTATATTTTAATTATAATAAACCTTAAATTAAAATTTTAATAATTTTCCCGCATATAGTGTTATTTTTTAATAATATTATAAAATTATAATTTTAAATATTATTAAGAAGTATAAACAATAATCAAATATATTTACATAAATTTTTCAATTTTTGAATTATTAAAATTTAAAAAAAGATAAAATGATTTATAATTTTTTATTTAAATTAATATATATTCATTATATAAAAAGTTAAAAATTATTAATTATAATTATAATAAAACATGTTAAAAATTATAAATAAATATAATGTTTTATACCTTATAGTTTATATTTATTTATATATAGTACATAATACAATGAAATAAAGTAAAATAAAATAAAATAATAGATAGTTTTTATAATTATATTTTTTAGAAATTAAATAAATTATATATTATTTTTATATATTTTTTAAAAAAATATTTTATTTTCTTTTATATTATTAATAATGAAATAAAAAATTTATAAAATACTAAAGCAAAAAATATTAAATTAATATATAAAAGAAAATAAATTCTAAATATTAAAAATAAAAAAGGCAATGAGTTAATAAAAAAAAATAATCACTTTTTTAATATAATTTATAATTTATTTTTTTAATATAAATAATATAATATTGTTGTTTATAAAATTTAATATCTTTAAACAATATAAAAAATATAAAAATATAAAAAAAGTATGAAAATCATACATAAATATTAAAAAGAGAACTAAAAGAATATAAAAATATTTAAAAATTAATAAATAATTATTTAATTAATTGAATTAAAAAAAAAAATCAATCATTTCTTGTATGATAAATAAAATTAGGATCTAATTTATATTTTTATTCAAATTTTAAATACCATTTATCTAAAAAGTCTTTAGGAATTACCAAATAATTACCTTATTCTTAAATATTTAAATACTTCTATAAGTTATTATAACTACTCATATAATTATATAAATTTTATGCAACTAACTTCGCATATTATTTCTATGCATCAATTTAATCTGATAATAAAACCATATCCCTCAATTAATCTAAGGACTCAATTTTTACTACTAGTTTTAAAGAAGATTATTCATTTACATCTGGCTTTATTGGAAAACCAGTTCTGAATATATCACTTGGCTTTTAATTTGCAATTGCACCAATAAATTAAAGGCTCTCATATGGAGGTACTGAATAATATAATGAAGCTCCATATTCATCTTAAATAGGTACGTTTAAAAAAAATGAGAGATTTGGGATAGATGATGGATTTTAAATATCTACACAATACATACCATTTATAAATTCAAAATTCATTATTGGAATTTATCCAGGAATCATTATCCCAAAAGGCGGTAATTAATATTATTATTACATTTTTTATATATTAAAAATTTAATATTAATTATTTAATAAAAATAATAAAAGAATTTTTTTTTTATAATTTTCTAAATTAATAATAGTAAATAAATTAATTTTATTATTAGTTGGTTATTTGGAAATATTCTTTTTTTCGATTTATATGTTTTTTTATTATTAAGAAAAAATATTATAATTTTAGAAATAATTATATATATAAAGAGAAACAATATATTGATAATTTTAATAAAAATCTTATATAAATAAAAATATATTATATTAAAATTAAAATTTTTATGTAATTTAAATATGTTATAAATAAATTTTTTATAATATGTATTATTAAAAATTAAATGAATATAAATAATATATATATAAATATTTAAATATAATTTTTATAATATTAATTTATTTATATTAATTTTTATATTTTTTTATAAAGATATAAAAAATATTTTCAAAATTTCTTAATAAGATATTAGATTCTTAAATTTTATCTGTATTAATTTATATATAATATAATAATAATAATAATAATAATAATAAAATAATTTTTAAATATATAATTATAGATTATTAAATATTATTATATTTTAGATAAATATTAATTAATTAAATTGTAAATTTATAACATTTTTTAAAATATAGATTTTTTAATTTAATTTTTATAATTTGATAGACTTAAGAAGATATATTATTATCGATATAAAATTTTACTATAAAATAAAAGTATATATGAAAAATTTAAAATTAATTAATTTATATATATAAAATAATTAAAATATATTATAAATTTTTAGCTGTTTTCTTTTGAATTTATAAAATTTAAAATAAAAAAAAATTTAAATTATAATATTTAATGTAAAATAAAAAGTTTTGAAATTGTAAATTTAAAAAAAAGATGTATATATTAAATATATATATATATATATATATATATATATATATATATATATATATATATTTATATATATGTTTGTATATATTTTAATTATAAAAGTATATATTCAATATTTTAATCTGTCTACTTTTTCTATATTTCTTGCTTAATTTTTTCTATTTCTTTCTATATTTTCACTTATAGCATTTAATTAATTTTTATCATCAAAAAATTATTTTTTGACTTCTGATAGAAACTTTGGATTTTACTATTTATTATGTATTTCTTTTATATCTTCTTTTTTTTTATAATCATCCTTGAATTCCTTTTCCCTTATATTTCTTACATTTTTAGCATTATTTTACATTTCTTTTATCATTTATTCTCTTTCCTCTTTAGTCATATTAATTTTTTCCTCTGGTTTTAAATTATTTCGATATTTTCTTTTCATAAGTCCAAAATCAGCCCTTAAATTTCCTTTTTCATCTTTACTCAATATTGGACCTAGTTTTTTTGTTAAATATTCTTCGTAGAGTTTATTTTTTTAATCCTAAGATCTTGAACGTGAACGAGAAGAAGAAGAAGTATTTTTTTCTATTTTTTTTATGTTTTTAATTTTTAAGTGGAGATTAAGAACGAGAAGAGGATTTTTTTATTTTTTTTTATTTTTTTTTATCTTTGGAATTTTTGGATTTACTTTTTTTTTTATGTTTTTTTTTATTCTTTTTAGAATCATCTTTTTAATAATGTTTTTTTATTTTTTTTCTATTTAATCATAAATTTATTTCATATCTAGTGGATTATTTAATATTTTTTCCCTCATTTTTTATTCTTCTTACATAATTCTAAATAAAGGATCCTCATGTAATAAAGTAAAATTTTCACAGGCTTTATTTGTAGTATCTTCTGTTACTATAGGTTAATATTTTTAACTGCCATCATTTTTTTACTATTAAATATTATTTAAATCTACTTTTTTACCCAATAGATACTGTTCGTTTGTTTATTCATTTTATTATTATAATGAAGGATTTATATATATAAAATCTTACTTATCTAATGCACTTTTAGGTATTAACCCGGCTTCGACTTACAATTATTTTAATTCATAAGCTGTTTTTTCTTCGTGTCGTTTTTTTGTGTATTCTTCTTGTTTTTTTAATTTCTCGATGTATTTTTATTCTTTTTCCCAAACTTTAGCTATGTTCTTTATTGAACCTGTATGCCAGTTTTTCTTACTTAAGTAATCAAGACCCATTTTTTTTTATTATTATAATTATTTAAAATATAATATTGTAATAATTATAATATAATTAAATGCTTTTTTAATATAAAATTTTATATAAAATTTTTATGTTTCTATCAATTATTTTTTCTTTATTAGAGTTTTTTTTTTAAGGTTGTATTTATTTTATTTTATTTTAATTTGATTTAATAAATATATATATATATATATATATATATATATATAATATATATATATATTTATTTTTTTATTTAAAAAAAATTAAATTTATATTTCATTAATACAAAAAATTTTATTTAATTTCTTAAAACTCATTAATCATTTAAAAATTAATTTTTTTTTTTATTGATAAGTTATTAACTACTTTTTTTTGAAAATAAATAAATTATAACTTTTTCGAATAATTCAATATATATTTTAGGTTAAATATAATAAATGAAGAATCTGCAAATAAAAATAAATGATAATAATATAGTATTAGAATAAAATAAAATTAATAGATCTTTAACTCCAACTTAAGTTTTAAATTATTAAAATAATTAATAATATGATTAATATTAAAAATATAACATATCATAGTCTTAAAAGAAAAATAATAATTAATACAGATAAATAGACTATTCTTCAATAATACCACCACACATAAAAGATTAATAAAAATTTTTATTTTCAAATTAATTTTTATTAGATAATAAAAAACAAAATAATTATAAAATTGAGGAAAATCAAGAAAATTAATAATTTTTTGTGAAACTTTAAAATATTATTAATTAAAAATTGTAATAAAACTAATATTTGAATATTAATAAAAACGAATTGAATACAAAACTTATAAATAATTTTTAAAATAATAATAGTAATGATTATTTTTTAATTAGAAAACCAAGTTATCATTATTCGGATAGATTTTAAAAAGATATTTAATTATAATTATAAAATTAAAATTTGGATATTAAAAATAATAGATTTTTTATTAATTCTTAAAGTACTAAAAATTAAAATGAACAATAAATTTAATACTTTTAAAATATTGAAAATTAAAATAAAATAAGATCTATATCAAATAAAAATTATAATAGTAATATGTCTCCGTTATAGTAAAATAATATTTTAATTAATTAATAATATTAATAGTATTAAGTTAATTTATCTAAGAATATTATAGATTTAAATTAATTATACTAAAAAAGATATTTTTCCTAAAATAATATAAATTAAATATAATCTTAATAAGATTAATTAAATCCTATTTAATAAATATAGATTCTAAAATAAAATTTAAATTAAATAAATTATTATATGTAATAACTATAAAGTTCATTTACATATCCTTTATCTTAAGATTATTTTTCTTAATAATTTAGATTACATTTTAAATAAAATTTATAGGCTATGTAGTTTTCAAAAAAAATAATTTATAATTAAAATCCCTGTTTATAAAATATTTTCCTGAAAAAGAAAAAAAATCCAAATTAAAAAACTATTATATTTGATTTAGATGAGACATTAATTCATTGTACTCAAAAAAAATTAAATTCAGATTATTAAATAGAAATTTAAATGTAAAATAATAAAAATGTTAAAGTAAAAAAATTAATTTAATTATTATAATATATATATATATATTAATATATATATGTTTGTAATAGTTTGGTGTTAATATAAGACCTTTTGCTAAAGAAATATTAAAAGAATTAAGTAAAGATTTTGAAATTATAATTTTTACAGCAAGCAATTATAATTATGCAAAAAAAGTTATATAATTATTAGATCCTGAATAAAATTATATATCATAAAGTTTATATAGATAATAATGTATACTTATTTAATAAAAAATATTTGTAAAAGATTTAAAGTGTTTAAAAGATAGAAATTTAAGTGATATTGTAATAGTTGATAATTCAGCTTTTAGTTATTTATTTTAAGTAGATAATGGTATACCTATTATACCATTTTATGATAATAAAAATGATGATTAACTTATTAAATTAATGTAATATTTAAAATTGTTAAAAAATGTTAAAGATGTAAGAGAATTAAATAGAAATTATTTTAAACTTGTTCTTTATTAAAATAATTATATAGATGAAGATAAATTATTAAACTATATATTTTTAAATAAAAATAATTAGAATAATAAAGGAAATTCTAATTTAATCAAATGATAAAAAAATTAAATTTATACTATGTTATTATTTATATAAGCTATATTATTTTAAGTTATTTTATAAATATCAAATATTGTAATTTAAATATTGATTTAAAAAATAAAAAAAAAAACATAAAAATGCAAATAATAAAAAATATAATAAATTAGAAATACAATGCTTTTATTATAAAACAAAATAATATTATAAAATAATAGATAAAGTATTAAATATATTTATATATATATATATATATATATATATATATATATTTATATATTTATATATTTATAGACATTAGTATTTATATAAATACTTTTTTGTTTATTTACTATAATATTATTTAAACATTTATATCTTTTCATTTATACTTTTTTTTTTTTTAGATATCATTAAAAAAATTTAAATTTAATACTTAATAATATTAGTTAAATATTAATATAATTTTATTTTTATATATATATATTTATAATTATTATTTTTTTTTAAATATATTTTTTTTTAGTATTTTTTTATATTTATTCAATCTTCATCTGAATTTGAATTTGAAGAGTCATGTCTTTTTTTATTTTTTTTATTATGTTTTTTTTTGTCATTTTTACTCTTTTTAGATTTTTTTTTTTATTTTTTAGATTTTTTTTCCTTTTTAATTTTTTTCTTTTTTTCAACTTTTTCCACCTTTTCTTTTTTTTATTTATCATCTTCTAAATTAACTGCTTCTAATTTAGTCGGATCATAATTCAAAAATCTATTAATATCAAATTTTTTTTATTGCAAATCAGCTACATTAGTTTTAAATCCAATTCCTTATTATTCGTTTTCTTCCTCATCATCTTATCCTTCTAAATTTTATGAATTTTTAACTCCGAAATTGATTTAATTTAATAATTCCTTTTATTCTTATTCAGTCAATATTTTATTTTTATCTTCTTTTTCAAGTCCTAAGGCTATTCGTATTCTTTTTTAGTCTTGTGATTATATTTCATCTATTTCATTTTATTATTGTCCTTTTGATTTTAAATACCAGTCTTTTTTTCTCCATTTTCCTCCTTTATCCAAAAATCCGATTTTTAAGGTTTGACCTAAATATTATTCTCTATCTTTATGTGTCATCTAACGAACATTATCCCATTTAAATTAATCACGACCTCCTCTTACTCCATCTCTTATTTCATATGATAAATATGACATTTTTTTTGTTTTTTTTGTTTATTTTTATTTTTGATAGAAATAATTTCTTATAATTTAATTATTATTTTTTTATTATAATATTTTATTTTTTGTTGCTCCTTATTTTTTTCTACAGTCTTATACTTTTTAGGTTTATTTAAATAAATATACCAATATTTTAATTTTTATATAATGATAAATATTTTTATTTTTTTAATGATAAATAAGTAAATAAGAAGTAAAGTTATAATTATTTATTTTTCTTCTAAAAAAATCATATAAAAATTTCAAAAAAAATTTTATTTTTTTTCAAATTCGAACTTCTCTATTTAATTTCTTTATTAAAAATTTGGTTTCTAGTATTTTTAGAAATGTTAATCAATCCATTATTTAAATAAAATTTTAACTATTCTTCTCGTATTTTTTAAATTATCAGGATCTTCACTTTTAGGGACGCCTAATTCAACTCCATGAGCACAATTATCACAATCACTAATAAGAGAAACCATACTTCCTTTACTTTAAGTCAAAGAAGCCCATTTCCACCCATCTTCACTTCCATTAGTAAATACAATATTAGTAGCTTCTAAATTAAGTCCTCCTAAATAACTATTAGTTATACTTATATCTGGTACATAATCTAATTATATATTTATATTTATAAAATTAAATAAATATAATATTTTTTACTTTAACCAAAAACTTATCTACATTAATCTTCAAAAAATCTGAGATTAACTTTTGAACTTCTCATTGGATTAATTTAATTAGCAGTTTAAAAAAATCCAAAATATGTGCAAGTTTAAAATGTCCACTATCTCTAAGCCTGATTAGGATCATAAGTAGTATTAAACAAAGTCTTAGTACTATAATTTATTGCGGTTTAATTAACAGCCGAATAATCTGCTAATCGATTAATTTATTATTCGATTGTTGTATTTTAAAATATAGAACATAAAAATGTTCTTTATCCATATTAAACTAATCCAGAATATAAATCAGCAAAGAAATTAAGGAACTCAGAATTTGTAAGCATTGTAGCATTAAATTTTTGCCTTAATTTAATAGCATAAAGTGTATTATTTAATGTTTTTTCAATATAAAAGTTAAATTATTAGATCTTTAGTGGACACCAGTTACCGCTTTTTTTAGTACTTAAATATACTTAATAGTCATACATTTAGAAATCTTCAATAGCATTTACGACAGCACTAGAAGCTAAAGCTCCGACTGTTAAATGAGGATATTTATATCTAAACCAGGCACTCATTGCACCAGGATATGAACCACCAATTGTGATGAAAGGATTAATTTCTGAAATCTATAAAAAAATATATTAATATATATTTAAATAATATAAATATATATATATATATATATATATATATTTATATTTATATTTATATTTATAAATTTATTTATTTATTTATATATATTAAGAAACTTTATGTAATTTTTTCTATTTTATTTTTGAAATTAAATTCGCTAAATCAGCCAAACTTTAATCTACGGTTAAATATTATAGATTTTCTAAAGAATAAGATTAGTTTGTATAGCCAAATGGTTAAGAAACACCATAAAAACGATGTTCTACTGAAATTACAATGGCGCTGAATTCTTAGGCTAATTATATTAGCCAACCTCTTCCGTTTGTTATACCTGCCATTTAACCTTCTCCGCCTATAGAAATAAATACTGTACCGTTTTCGGGATTGAAGTATTCATCATATATAGTGTATCTTTATTTCCATTTTATTAATCCTAAAGGATCAAAATGGTCTAGTGTTTAGTTAAAGAAATAGTGTGTTTAGTTTATTTATTTATTTCCAATAGTTTATTAGAAAGTTTATTATTATTATGTTAAGATAAAAATAATTAATAGTAATGTTATTGTTAAATAAATCATTTTAATAAAAATTTAATAAGTTTTTATATTTTTTAATTATAAATTTTTATTTATATTTTAGTTATTTAATGTAAATTATTTTCGAAAATTAGAAATAAATTTAATTTAATTCTTTTATATTTCTTATATGATAATAATTAAATAAAATAAATGATAATTATGATAATAAAATTTTTTTAAAAAAAATCTTATATAATTAAAAAATATCATAAATTATATAAATTATTATTTACAAATATAATTTATTTATAATAAATAAAAATATGTCTATATAAATAAAATATAAAGATATATACATATTTAATTAAAAAAAGATATAAATATGTATATATATTTATATAAATAATATATATTTATATAAATATATATATATATATTTATATATATTTTTATATATATATTTATTTTTTTATTATTTTCAATATCTTTTTTCCTTAGTTAAATCTATAATAATTTTATTACATAAACTCTTATTAATTCAAAAAATATTATTAATATATATATATTTTTTTTTTTATTAATATATTTCATTAAATTTGGCTTTAGCTTCCATTATACTTATTATATTAAAGATTATTCTTACTTAAACTATTTTATTTTTCTTACATTCCTTAATAGAAATTCATAAATCCAACACTTCCTCCACTTTAATTATTTTCTCTTGAATTATTCAAGTTCAAGTTATCTAATATACTAGCAGTTATTTGATTATTTAAATTCTCACTATTATTATCTTCTCCATTTTCATTACTATTATTAACATAACTATAGTCATTTATGCTACTTCTTTCTCTACTTCTACTGCTATTTCTCATAGGACTTTTTCTATCAGTTCCTATATTTTTACTCATATTTAAGAAATTACTATTTCCATTTTGATTAATAGATTATCTTTTTTTAAGAGATAAATTATATTTTAATATAAATTTAAAAATACCTTCTTGCTTGTCTTGTATCAGATTTTAATCTTTCATTTTCTCTGAGAAGAATTTCTTTTTTTTTTTCAATTTTATTCAATGTTTCTTATGTTTCATTTTTTTAATTAATTAAATGATCTTTTTCTAAATTCCATTTAGCTCTTTCTTTTTCGTGTTCAAAAATTAAAAGATTTCGTCTTCTTTCAGCATCTTTAAACTTTTTTTTATATATATTTAAAACAAAAAGCAATAAAGATATAAAGATATAATATGAATAAAAATAAAAAAAAAAACTAAATATTTAAAGATTTATTATATACTCAAAAAAAAAATTATATTTATTTAAATTTTTTTAAAAGAAGAATATATATATATATTTATTACCTTTTCTTCTACAGTATTTATTTTAGATTTGAAAATTTCTTTCTCATTTTCGAGTTTAATTTAAAATTCTTTTTTTTCATATTCTCTTTCTTTTCTCATTGTTTCGATTTCTTACTAATATTTTTTCTCATTTTCAAGAAGTTCAATCATTCTTTTTTCTGTCATCATAGCACTCGAATTCTTCTATCTACTCTCAAACAAAGCCTAACCTACATTGTTTTTCAAATCGGCTTCTAATTTAGTAATTTTGAGGTTCGCAATCTATAATTTTTGGTTAGAAACTTCATTTAATTCATTAATTTATGTTTAATATTTTCTTTCAATTTAAATTAGCATATCAGTGACTCCTTATTCCCTTTCATTTTTTTCTGCCTGTCTTTATTTTTATAAATGAGTGAGTGTTTATTCAAATTTTTTCTGTGCTTCTAATAAATCTTACTTGGCCTGTTCTTTTTATTAGTTAAGGAAGGAAAATTTACCTTCCCAAAGTACTTTATCTCTTTCATAAGAAGTATTAAGTTCATGTTTTTCGTTATCTAAGAGCACATTTTGGGATTTTAACTTTTCTATTTCTTAAATTAAACACCTTTTTTCTTAAGAGGTGAACTCTTTAGACTTTGAAAGCTAGTCTTTTAGTTATTCTAACTCATATGCGTATTTTTCCTCGTTTTCTTTTAGACGAATTTCTAAGAATTGGTTTTTTTCAGTAAAAATGGCGTTTTCTTTTTCCAATTCAGAAAGCTGTTTTTAGGTGAGAGTTTCTTGTTCTTTATTTGCTTTTTTTATGTTCATAATTTTTTATTCAATGATGATTTTTTCTTCATTTAAGGCTTACATCTTTTCAGTCATTTCTTTAGTCCATTCGATTTTTTGGAGTTTTAGACGTTCTTCGTATTTTTGGGAAGATTGCTCGATGTTTTTTTCGAGTTCTTGGAGTTTTTTTTGGTAGAATTCGTTTTATTGAGAAGATAGGGCTACTTATTTTTCAGAAGAAATTTTATTTTATAAATATTCGTCTTGGATATTTTAATATCTTTTTTTAGTTTCTTCAAGTTTTTCATCTAATATTTATTTTTATTAACAAAATTCTTGCTTTAATTCTTAAACTTCCCTTTTTTTATTTTCTAAACTTTTCTCACTATTTTATAGTTTTTGGCTCAAATTCTAATTTAAACTTTCACTTTATTATAGGCACTTTTATGTTTATTCATACTTTTATTAGAGATCTTTACGTTCAGTAGTGTATTGAAAGGTTAATTACTCCAGTTATTATTGGTAAGTTTATTATGTATTTTGTAATTATTATTTAATCTCATTTAGTGTCTTTTCTAGATTTTCTATGTTCTTTTATTTTATTTCTAATTAATGTTCATATTGACCTTACATATCTAATATTTATATTTCATATTCCTTTATATCTTCCTTTATATGTATAATTTTTTTTTTTTGGTTAAATACATATATATATATATAGAATTGAATATTTATTTTTTATACACGAAGATTATCTATTTCATCTTCTAGAATTTATTTTTCATCAATTAATTTTTATTCATATTCTTCAATTAATTAATTATAATTTTTTTCTCTTTTATCTCTTTGGAAAAAAAAAAGTAATAAATATAAAAAAATATAAAAAAAGTACTTTTCATCAAGTAATCTTTTTTCTAATGTTTCTCTTTCAATTTCAAACATATTTTTTAATTAAGCAAGTGTTTCTTCATATTTATATTGATTTTCCCTTAATTCGTTTTATGATCTATCCTTAATATTTTCTATATTTTCCTCTAATTATTTAATTTTCAAAAGGAATTTTTTTTCCATATCTTTCGAATTTAAATTAAGCATTCCTTCCACTTCTTTTAATTTCTAATCTACATTATTTTTTTATACTCTAATTTCATTTAATTAGCAACTTAAGTCTTAAATTTTCAATTCACTTTCATTTATATATAGTTTATTTTTCATGTCGTTTTCCTACAATTCTTTTTATAAATTTTCAATCTAACATTCTAAATTTTTTTTTATCTAAGCATTTTAAGTTTCTAATTATTTAATTTATTTCAAATGACTTTCCTTTAATTATAGATATTATTTATTTTAGACTGTATCATTATTATTATATGAGTCTAATTCTAAAGCCTAAATAGTACTTTCGTGTGCTTTTTTGACTTCAATCAATTATTTTTTAAGTTCATCTACTTATTATTCAACGAAGCCTTTTTCTTATTAAAGTAGTGCGTAGTTTGATTTGAGTTCGGTTTTTTCCTATTTATATTTTTCTATATTTTATTGTAATTCTGAATTAAGTTTTCCGTTTTAAACTTTTAATTATTATAATTAATCATTATACTAATCTTTTAATTCATCTAAATTCTTTAAACCACTATTAGAAAGTTCAGAAACTTACTTTTTTGCAAATGAAATCTCATTTTATAGCTCTTGTATATTTTTTTGGTAATTTTTTTCTTTAAATAAATAATTCTCGTTTTATTACTATTAATTGTTTTATATATTTATTATTTTCTCATTTAAATCATTATTTTAATCCTTTAGAATATTTACTTTGTTTTCTAGTTATTTTATTGTCTTTTCGTATTGGATTTATTATTCTTTTATTTTATTACTCAAATCATTCTAAAGTGATTAAAATGTATTTTCAGAGGTTTTCTCTTTTTAACCATATTCATTACATAATTATTCAAAATGAGATGCTTTATGGTCTAAAAGAGCTTTTTCTTTCTAAAATTAGCTTTCTTTTAATAAAAGTTGTCTTTCGCTTTTATTTAATTACTCTTCAAGAGTTTTTAGTTTGTTTTTTAAATTTTCAATTTTATCAAAGTATTCATTTTTATCATTTTTTAATTAATCTTTTAACTCTTTCTCTTGTTTTTATCTATCTTCTTCTAATTCTTGTATTGTTTTCATGTTTTTTTATTAAGAATTTAATAGCTATTCTTATTCTTTTTATAATTAAATATATTTATTCTAAGTATTTTACTTTTCTTATTCATATTTAACTTTAATTTCTTATATTTCCTATTCAAGTTTTTTTTGTATATCGTTTCTACAATTCTAATTATTTTAAAAAAAATATATATAAACAACATAATAAATATATATATTTATATATATATATTATATAGTATATATATATATAATTATATTTATATATATATTTATTTATATATATATATATTTGTATATACATATATATAAAAACGCTACTTTCTATATATCTATTTCCTACTCGAAATTCTTAATAAAATATGTTGCTCCTTCAGTTGTCATTTTATTAATAAAATCTAAAAAAACTATTAATCTATTTACAGTTTAAGGTCCATGTTCTACTAAAAATTATTAGAAAAATTTTAGGTCTTTCTCATATTCAGAAAAAGATTCGTATTAACAAGATTTTAGTTTACGCTCAATGGGTTAAAATTCCCTTTGAATAAATTATTAGCATTAATTATTTGATTCTTTTTCATTAATTGTTTTAATTTATTAGAACCTATTTTTTATTTTTTTAATTAGATCATCTTAATATTATTAAACAACATCTCCGACAGCTTTTTTCTTAAAATTTTCTATTGCTTATTCTTTAGCTTATTTATTTAAATACTTTTTATTTTTATTTCAGTAAATATATATATATATATATATATATATATATATATATATATATATATATATATATAACTTTTAATTCATCTAATGTTGTAGGAATTTTAGTAAAAACTTATTCTTTTAAATATTTTTCATAATATTCAAATGATTTTTATTAAGCTTTTTAACATTCATCTTAACAAACATATGTCCAAGCATTTTATATATTAGGAACTGCTCCATTATTTATTGCTGTTAAATAAGAATTACATAAAGTCATTAACATTTCTCCGCTTAAAGATTTCCCATTTAATTTTTTTGGTTTTATTCTTTACAGAACTCTTTTTCTTAATTATATTACTTATTCGAAAAACTCTGGCCTTAATTAATCTAGATCCATTTTGTCTAGTTTTTGTAAATTTTACTCGTTCAATAAAGGACGTACTAATGTAAAACATTCTCTTTATTAAAAAAATGTGGTTAATAATCTACGTATTCTATTTTTTTATTCTACTTCATCAGAAAAGCCTTTCTATTCTGTTTTTTTTTGTTATAATTTTTTTTTTTTTTTTTTTTTAATAAATATACCTAAAAGTGCTTTTTCGAGATAATCATTTGAGGTTATTGCTTCCCCTTCTTAATCAACTAATTATAATGAAAAATCTCTTATTATCCAGAAGAAATTCGGAAAATATTTTGAATACTCTTTTTTTTTAATTTTTTAAATATTTTTATAATTTTTTGTATATATATATATAAAGTTTATCAAAATAATATAACAAAAAGACATATAATATTTATTTATTATTTTAAATAAAAATTATATTATATAAATTACCTTCTTAATCAATTTAATCACAATCGGTTGATTTAATATGAATATTCTTAGTTAAATTTACAACTAAAGATAAATTGCTTAATGCATTTTCCTAAACAATACATAAAAATAAAAAAAATATTATAAATAAATATTTATTCTTCATACATCAATAGAACCCATAGAATTATAAATAAAACTAGAGGCAAGTAAAATAGTTAAAGAAAAAATTCTTGTATCATGAGTTTAATCTTCATCAGTTGACCCTATTCCTTCAGAATCCATAATTAATACATTAATAGGTTCGCCATCTGAAGTTTATCCTTTAATAGGTGTTCCCCAAACCCAAATACCCTTTAATTTTAAAGTTTTTTTTTATATAAATATATATATATATATTAATGTATATAGCTACCTTTGTGCAAGGATTTACAGTTGGCCCTACTCCAAAACCGCCACTTCTATTAAGTAACATTCGGTTTAAAAGATATGATTTTCCGGTTCTATATGCACCTGCGACTGATATTACTCCAATTGGTTTTGGAATTTATTTTATAAATTGAACTGTTTCTGAATTTAAACTATATGCTATTTATTATTTTTATAAATTTAATTTTTTTATTTTTTTAGTAATTATAATTATTATTTTATTATGTTTTTTTCAATTTTTTAATAATTGTTTTATAGTTTTTTTTTTGTTTCTATTAAAAAAAATGATATTTTTACTTCGTGATTATTAGTCAAAAATAACTAATGGTAAAGCTTCTTCTTTATATATTGATTGCATATTTTTTATTTAGTTTATTATTTATTTTTATATAAAAAATCTTTTTTTTAAAAAAAATAATAATAATATATTAGGAGATTTTAATTTTTTTGATTTTAAATTTTTTCTTTTTCAATTATAAACATTTTGAAATTTTGAAATTTTGAAAAGGAAAATAAATTTATTAAAAATGTGTTTTATTATATTATTTACAAAATAATAAATTTTTTATTTATTTTTTATAACTAAAATAAATTTACATAAATTATAACAATTTTCGTTTATATATAATTTATATTCTTTATTAATTAAAAATATAAATATTTCATTCAAAAATAATATTTCTATTTGTGAATTTAAAAATAATTAATAAAAAAAGAAAGTGAAAAAAATAAATAAAAGCAAATAAATTTTCTAAATAAAATATTGTTTAAAAAAATATAAATCTATTGTTTTAATAGTCATACTATTAGTATAAAAATAACAGAAGTTAAATTAAATAAATAAATATAATAATAATTATAATTATATAAATTAATATTATAAATAGAATTATAAACTTCTAAAATTAAGATAAAATATAATTAAATAATATCAAAATAAAAATTAAATAAAAAATTATTACCAAATAATCTTTAAAAATATTAGTTAAACAAAAATAAGAAGTATATTTAATAATAAAAAATATCCTCAAGTAAAAAATAAATTTTCTATAAACATAATTGTAATTTTATTACAAAGATATAGTATAAAAAGTTAAATAATTTATAAGTTAAAAACGATTATTATAATTTTAATTTAAAACATATTAGTTTAATTAATTTTGTTTAAAAAAAAAGTGTAATTTACAAAGGTAAATCATTATTCTAAAATATATAAGAAATAGCCTTTAAAAAAAAAAGCAAACACGTATATATTTATTTGATAGCAAAATATATTATATATATTTATGAAAATAAAAATTATTAAATACATTTAAGTCTTTTAAAATAAAGAAATAAGAAAATAATAAAAAAAGATAAAACTTGTTTAAAGATATACTAGTATATTAAAAAAAATAGAAGGATAATAAAAGTAAGAAATTCAAACTTATAGAAGTAAGAAATTCAAACTTATAGCAATTAGCAATTAAATAATAATTATATTTAATATAAAAAAGTTTATTGTACAATAAATAATTTAATGAATAATTAAATATCTAATTCAAATAAAATATATTGACTTAATAAAGTTTAAAATAAAATAACTCAAGAGTATATTTGAAAAATTAAAATATGAAAAAAAAAATTAATTTAGTATTAATAATAAAAAATATGATAAAAAAGCATTTGATCAAAAGAATATGAAAGATAAAATTTTTAAAATAATGATATTATTGAAAATATTTATTTTTTAAAATGTAATTTATTTTACTTTTATATATAAAGTTTTATTTAAAAGAATAAATAACAAATATTACATTTAATTTATTAATTAAAGCTTTAATCTTAAATGAAAACTTTTAAAAAAATCTAATATAGGTTAAAATTTATGATTGTGAATACTAAAAGAGAAGTAAATAAAAATAAAAATTGAATAATAAGGAAAAAAAAAATATGTATTTAAAATAAAGATTAATTGATTATTTATAAACTCACAAAGCAATCATAAATTTTATAAAAATAAATGATAAAAAAAATTATAGAAATATTAAAAATAACAATAAAAATTTATTTTTTATTAAAAAGAAATTTTAGGAAATTATTACAAGCTATAAAATAAAATATTATAGAAATAATAAAATTTGAAATATAAAAGAATAAAAAAATTTATTAATATTAAAAATATATATAAAATTTAAAAATTAAATTTTAAAAATTATATATAATTTAAAGATAAAATAAAAACATATTTAGATAATAAATATATATAAATATTAATTTAAATAAATTAAGATATATTATAAAATATATATTATAAAGTCATTTTTATTTTAGACTTTTTTTTTTTAGATATTACTTATATAAAATACAAAAAAAAAATTAGAAAATATTTAAATTACAAATTAAAATTAAATAATTAATCATCTAGATAATAATAATAAAAAAAAAACAAAAATTAATAAATATAAATAAAAAACTGAAAATAATGCATAATATTAGATAAAAAATATGAATATATAAAAAAAGAATTTATAAAATAGAAACATTATGTAAATAAAACAATAAAAATATATATATATATTTATTTTTTTATATACTAATAATATTTTAAATTTTTTTTTTCTATTAACAAAAACAACTTAATTATATTATTATTTCTTTTTTATTTATAAAAATGAAAAAAAAAAAATTAAAATTAGTCTATTAAAAATAATAAAATATTTTTTTTTTAAATATAAAATAAATAAATATATTTTTTATTTTCATCCTGATTTAAATAGTAATACAGCCACTTGCCCCATATAAAAATATATAAAATGTTTAGTTTCATGTGTTACGTATGATCCGAAATTTCTTCCTACAATACAATGCCATGTTGGATTATATTTTTTGTCGAATTCTTTTTTAATGAATGCAGCAATATCTTTTTCGATGTTGAATTTTTCTAAAGCTTAGTTAGCGCAATCAATTGCATCTTAAGACATTTCTTCGGACATATCAGCATTTTTAATAACTGCTTTTCTATCTGCTTAAGCCTTTTTTTTTTTTTTTTTTTTGTGAAATATATTCTTCTTAATTATTTATATATTTAATTTTTTTTTTATTTTTATATTTCAAAAAAAATAATTTTTTTTTTAAAAATAAGAATCAAATAAAAAATTAAATATTATTAAACTCTTATAATTATTTTAAATTTTTATATTCTTTTAATTTCTTGAAAATAAAATGTTTATTATTATAAATATATATATTTTCAAATAAAAAAATTAATTTTTATTTAAAATAATAATATAGAAAATAATAATATTTAAATATAAAAATAATTATATGTAATTAATAAATATATATATATATATATATATATTCATAACTATAAAATTTATTTTGATTATTTATTTTTTTAATATTTAATTTAATATAAATCTTTTTGAATTCTTTTTATTAATATAAAGTATAAATATTTAGAATTTAAAATATTTAAATTAATTTAAAAAAATATTTTTAATTAAATTATTATAATTAATTTTTATATCATATATATTTTTCTATTTTTTTTTTTTGTATTTTGATATTAATTATTTTTTTATTTAAAATATTTATAGATTTATGTTATACTATGTATTTAATAAACAGTATATTCTATATAATTTACTTTTTATATTTTTAAACGACAAATAATTATTAATAAATAAACATTATTAATTTTTTTATATATAGGATATTATTAATGGTTTTATTAAAAATTATTTCAATATTTTTTTTTTTAAAAAAAATATTTATTTAATTTTTTAAATAAATTATTTTTGATTTACAAATACTTAAAAAACTAAAAAAGTTATATATTTATGAATAACCAATATTTTGGAATTTCAGAATAAGATCCTTAATATTAATTTTAATAATAATATACACATGAAATAATTAAAGAAATGAAGCTTCTAAAGGCTAAATATCCAGCCACAAAATAAACATACAATGTTTTTTATTTTTTTAAAAACGAATTTATTAAATATCATTTTTTTTTTTTTTAAAAAAAAAAAAAAAAATCAATAATACTATAATAGATATAAAAAAAAAAACGCAAATTACATTCTTTTGTTTCTTTGTAAAATGATTCTAAGTAATAAAAATAAATAATTTAATCATATATTTATTAGTTTTCTTTTAATATAATTTAAATAAGAATATAATAATCACCAATTTTTAAGTTAGACAAAGATAGGTTAAAATAAGGATTATAAGACGCAAAATAATATAAATAAATATAATAATCATTTAATAGTAATAAAGATACATTTGTAAAAATATTTTTATAAAAAAGGTTTTTATTTTTTATTTTGAAAAAAATAGATTTGCATTAATTAATAATCATTAAATAATTCAAAACTAAATCTAGTTTTAGATAATTTACCTAAATAATTAAAAACATTATATAAAATAGATAAACTATTAGTAACTAGTGAGATGATATAAAATGATAGTATAAATTATAGTAATTAGATGCATATTTCAAATAGTTAAATATTAAGAAAATTAGATAAAAAAAGCTTTTCAATAAGTAAAAAGAAACCAGGATTAAAAAAAATATCATAAGAATTATGTTCTAATAGAAAATTTAATTAAATTGATTATTTTTAAACAGAAAATATGATACATATTAAAATACCTTTTGTTTAGAATTTTAATGTATATTTTTTAGGATATAAAAATAATAATTTTTTTGCATAATTAAATAGATTGAACCTCTAGAAAAATATGACGAAGAATAATTATATGATAATCAATATATTAGTTTACTTGAAAAAGGACCGGTAAGAGGATTCTCAAAATGGTTGGAAATAAATGGAAAAATTTAATGGAAAGAATGTATTATACATAAGCATTTTAAAGATTCTAATATATATTTAATTGAATGGTTATATAATAAAAAAATGAAAGAAGTAAACTTATTGTTTATCTTATTAATATATTTTATCTTTTTATAGGTTAGCAGATTAAATTTATTATTCGAAAATGAATCATAAAGTAAAGGCGATTTAAGGTATTAAATAGCTAAAGAAAGAAGAGAATAAATGCTTTTTTTCCTTAGTATGAAAGATTAAATTATATAAGAAAATATTGAATAACAGGATATTTACAATATAAACGTTATTTTATATCCAAAAGAAAGATTAGAAGATATAATAAAATAGTAATAATATTTTATATTTATTTAAACTTTTATAAAAATAATATAAATAGGACATTAATCTATGACTTAAAATAATAATCAAATATGAAATAAAATCGAAATTTAATAATAGAGGGAGTTTTATTAATGTATAAATATAATGTAGTTAAATTTAATTATTAATTTCATACAGTAAATTCTATGGAAAGCTTTTATAATAAGTAAAATATTATATATATATATATATATATATATATATTATATAAATAAATATATATAAATATATAAATATATATAAATATATATATTAATATTTATTTTTTTATAGATATTTGCCTTTTTTTAATAATTTAAAAGGATAAATAGTATCTTAAATTAATTAATATTTAATTTTAGAATATACAATAGAAGAAGGTTAAGAATAAGAAATAAAAAAATAATATAATGAAATTATTTAGTTTCAAAGTAATAATATAAATGATTAAAAAATTCATTTTTTAGGAATAAAATAAATATTAATTGATAATATGTCATATATAGAATATATTAAAAAATAAGTATATTAAAATTCTCTTATATTTACTAAAGATAAAAGATGTGAATTATTTTAATTAATATTACCTATGTTAACATAATTTGTTACTTATATTCAATACATAAATATTTATTAAAATATTTGTGTCGAATAGGATTAGAATAAACCTGCTTTATTAAAATTAAAAAGTTAGTTTTTTTATTTTATTTAAAAAATAATTTATTGATATATATATATTTTTTTTAATAAATAAAAAAAGATTTAGGTAAATAGTTTAATCGATAAGTATTTAAAATTGAAAGATTAATCGATAAAGTAGATACTGGATTATCAGAGCTAAATAAATAATTAATTAAATTGTTTATATAAATAGGAGGAGAAATATACACTAAATAATGGAGAGAAAAAGTTTATAAATAAATAAAAAAAATGACAAATAGTTTAATTGAAAGTTATTTAATTTAATTAATTTGCTTGTCTACAGATTCTTTGATTTAATAAATTAATACATATTATGCTATAATGCCTCTTTATGATATATAAATTGAATAATTATAATATTTAGCTCCTGATTTAGTAAAACTTAGAAACGAATAAAGAAAACTTTAACTTTTAGACTATTAAGTATATTTTATTTTAAATTTTTAATAATATTTATATATAAATTATTTATAAATATATATTTTAAAGATTTAATATAATTCGAATTTGAATTAAGTATAATAAAAAGAATAAAAAATCTAAGAAAATGTATAAAAAATCAATTTTTTTTATTTAAATAAAAAATTTTAATATAAAAAAAGTGGCTTTAATATACTGTAAAATTTCCTAAAGATTTAGATCCTTTAGATATTCCTGTATAGTTTAAATTATTTTTATTTATTTTTTCTTAATAATATAAAAACATAGAAATAATAAAGAAGAAAAGATCTTAAATTTAAATAAATAAAATCAACTGAAAATATTTATTTAGTAATTTATTTTTTTTTCTAGGAAAAAAAAAATTAGAATTTATTAAAAATTTTATATATATATATAGACTTCAATAGATGAAGAATATAAAAAAGCTAAATCATTTGTAAAAAATAATTTAAAAACAGAATTATATTAGAATGAATTAATTGAAAATTTATATTTAAAATATAATTAAGATGCAAGAATTATATTTACTATTTATTAAATATTATGTGAAAAAATACTAGGAGGTATTTTAATATATAAATAAATAAATAAAATATTTAAAAATAGATGAATTTAAAACAATTAAATATCTAAATTATCAAAATATGATTATAAAACCATTATTTAATTTAAATATAGTAATTTTAGCTAATGATAAAAGTGAAGAATCGTAAAATAAAATTACTTTTTAATTATTATTTTAAAAAAAATACCAAAATAAATAGAAAAAAATAAATGAAATTAGTGACAAAATTATTTTCAAATAAAAATGCAGAAAAACCGGAAATTTTCAATCTTATTTTATACAATGGAAGAAACAAATTTTATTAATACAATGAATAAAGTTATAAAGATATTTTTTATGAAATTGCTAAAAGAAATCATTCAGAAATCGAATTAAATAGTTTAAAGATATATATTAAGTAATATACAAATATATTAAATTTAATCTAATATATATATATTATTTATTCATATATAAATATATATATATATATATATATATATATATTTATATATTTTTTTTTTTTCCTTTTTTTAGACTAAAAGTGTAGTTTAGTAAAGAATGGGATGGTTTAATTTAAACTCGTTTATGATTCGAATTGATCCTCCTTTAGATGTTTTAGAAGAAGAAATAAAAAATTGTTTTAAAAAACCAATTTAAGATATTGAATTAATTGAAAAACTAAATTTTAAATGTAATATTTTTAAGAATACTTAAATTTTTTATAAAAAAAAAAAGAAAGATGGTTTTATAGAAAATGAAAATGATTAATAAAATTCAGAAAAAACTTTCAATATAAAATAACTTAAAGAAAAACTTAAATAAATGGATCTAGAAATAGATGATTTTATACTTCATTCATTTTATAGTATGTATGGTTTTCTTATATTACTTTTAAGATTTGAATTTTATATATAATATTCTAAATAATATGAAAAATATATAGAAACATAGATAGCAACTAACGATTTAAATGTAATTTAAATAAAAATATATTAATATAAATAAATTTAATATTAATATAAAATAGATATTAGAAGAAGTATTTATTGAATTATAAAGATTGTAAAGGGATTTAAATTTGATATAAAATATTTTACCAAATAGTATGAATTTAGGAATATTTCAAGTCGATATATAAGATTTTAAAAATATAATTATTTAAGAAATAAAAATAAAAGATAAATAAATAAAAGATTTATTATATAAATGTTGTTTTAATGCTTTGAAAAGTAACTCAGAATTAGAAGTTGAAATTCTTTCTTAATTAGAAATAAAACCTCAAACAATAGATTAATATATATAAATTAATTAATATTTAGAAGGAGATAAAATAAAAAATTAATTTTAAGAAATTGATTAATATATAATTTTATCAAGTAAAATATATATATATATATATATATATATATATATATATATATATATATATATTTAAATGTAATTATTTTATAGCAAGACTTATTTAATAATTGGAAATTTATTTGATTGTAGCAGATGAAATTATAATGACTTAATTTTTAAAATAAACTACTACATTAAAAGAACTAGAATAAAAAAAAAAAGAAACTGAAAAAAGATAAGAAGACTGTTAATCAAAGTTTAGCAAAATACATTTGGATAAAAAATAAAAGTTAATTTAAGAAATAGAAAACTTGAATTTAGAATGTAAAAATTTCATGGTTTTAAATAATCTAGATGATGCATATTAAAATATTGGTATTTCTGAAGGATTATAATAAAAATTTAATTAGTAATAAAACAAGATTAAAGAAATAAGATATGAAGAATAGAATTTGAATGTAAATTTTGATGTTAGGTTAAATATTAATGAAGAATAATAAAATTTCGAAAATTATTATTAATTTTGGAGATTCGCAAGTGAATGGAAATATGTATTTTTATTATCTTATTAAATTATTATAATTATTATAAATAGAAAAAAGAATAATGGCAAAATAAAACAATTATTAATAATTCAAATAATTAATAAGATATAAAAGACATCGAAAATACACTTAATAATGGAAGTAAAATGATTAGATAAGTAGAAGGATATTTTTAAGAAAATAATCCATAGTTTATATAGTTATTAGAAATTATAAATAATGAAATTTAATATTATGAAAAAATATATGATTTATTAGTTAGTGTATCAAAAGAATCATTTAAATAAGAAAATTGGAATGTTAATAAATATATATATATATATATAAATATATATATATATATATATATATATATATATATATTTTTTTTTTTATTTATATCTATTATTTATTTAATATTTATTTTTAGTCTGTATTAGAAGCTCTTTATTCGGATAATCCTCAGAAAAAAGATAAAATGTTAAACTCTTCTCATTAATCTGTTGTTACTCTTGAAGAATTATTATAGGATAACATTTTATAATTTATTATATACATAAAAAGTGTGGCAGGAGTAAATAAATTTTTAAATAAATTATAAAACTATAATTTAAATAAAAAAGTAAGCCGAAAATGAATTTAAAGTGCATGAATGTATAAAATAATTAGAAAACGAGTTAAAAAAAATTTCTTTTTAAACAATGAATTTTTTTGGAGTATAAATGATTATCGGAACATCAGAATTATGTTCTTATTTAAAATTACAATATTAAATTATAGGCAATATGATAAAAAGTAGAGAATACTGTAAAAAAGACTTTGCATATAAGCTTGCTGAATTAGAATTATAAGTCTATAATTCAAGAAAAGTCATAAAAGAAATTGGAAAAATATAAAATAAGCTAATAAAAATTATTCCTATATATAATTTTAAGAAACACTTTTCATATATGAAGGATTTTACAAAAGAATTAAATAAAATTAAAGAAATATAAGAAAATATATAAAAGGATTTAAAGATAAGAGGATTGAATGGTTTACTTGACCTTTTTATAAATAAAGAAATAGAATAATATACTAATAATTAAACTAATAATTAAGTAGTAATAAGCACACATGGATAAAATTAATTAGAAATTCTAAAATAGAGTTATTCTAAATTAGTTTAGATAGATTAAGAATTATATTGTTTTATAAAATCGATAAGAGAATCGAATTGTAGATTAGCTTTTTTGTCAGATTTGTAAATTTTAAATTTATCTTAAAATGTTTATGATATAAATATGTTCTGTGAAGGAATAAAATAACTTTTTCCAGGAATTTAATAGTTTTTAATTTTATAAAGTACAGAAGTTGGTAAAGATAATAATTAACAATAATAATAATAATAGTTAAAAAATATTTAATCTAATTATTTTACTGGTTAATAAAAGTTCTATTAAATATCGGGTGTTATTACTTTTTATGATGAAAATTTTTTATTCACATAACCAATTGTTTACAGTCTTTAAAATTACGATGAACCTCCTACTTATAAAATTATTGAAGAAATAAATGTTCATTGTAAAAATTATATTAGATGTTAAATTACTTCTCATTTCGAAGGACTGGTAAGTAATGCTTATAATTATATATAAATGTGGAGCTTTGTAACTTTTAAAAGTACTATTTTTTAAGTTCTTTATGTAGTAAATGATTTGATTTTTTATCATGATTTATCAGTTATTTTAATGCATAAAGAAAATTCAGGATAAAAGGTAAGCTTGGAAAAATTAAGGAATCTTATGTAAAAAAATGTTATGTTGATTATAAATAATGTTTAAAATGGATTTAAATAAGGAATTAATAAATTATATTATAAAAAATTTGCTTAGTTTATACTATAAATTAAGAATTAAATTGAAATACTAAAGTTTTTTTTTTTTTTTTTTTTTGTAATAAATAATATTTTTATAGTTAATTTATATAAAAATAAAATGAAATTGTTGAAGGATTAGGAAGTTTTGAATATTTAATATTACCTAAATTTACTCTAGAAATTGGATTAAAAGATTAATAAGAAATATACGAAATAACGAAATAATGTGAATAATATATAGATGATAATATTAAATAATAATAATAATAATAATAATAATAATAATAATAATAATAATAATAATTATATTAATTAGAATATGATACTTAAGTTGAGGATAATTTATAATTATTATGTTAAAATTCACCTTTTTTAAATTATTTTAAAGGAAAATAATTTGAAATTGCAATGATTTCTATGAATTACAAAAAATTTTATAATTTTGAAGTTTCTCCACCTTTGAATATTTATGTAATTACAAAAAATACTTGTAGAATGTATCATTAATCATTATAAGCTTTAAACATGAATTAATGTGTGATGATAAAAGGAAATCCAAATACTGGAAAAAATTCTGCTTTTGAATCTTTATGTATTTTATTAGCATAACCTTATTTTTTTTGGGAATTTAACTCAGATTAACCTTACTAAACTATAAGTTAAATATTAATTAATGTAATAAAAATAAAAAATATTCATTAAAATATATATAACATATATTTATACATAGGTTGCAAATGGAGGTTTTTGGTTATGTATGAATGGTTTGGAGTAATGTGAGAAAGGAGTATTATCAATAATAGGATAAATATTATTTTCAATGAGAAAGGCTATTGTTTATGAATAAAAAAGTTTTTAGTTTGAAGGTAAGAGCTGGAATGTTAATAATTCTTATGGTATTTTTTAGATTTTTAATGGAAAAGATTTTAAATTCGAAGAAATGTCAAAATGTGTATTAGAAAATTTCCGAATTATAAATTTTATTTAGGCTGATTTAAAAGATATTGTTAAATTGTATTTCTACTTGTTTGGATTTGGTAAAAATTCGAAAGAGTTTTCAATAAAATTTTTGTTTTTTATTTCAAATATCTGTAGTTCTTTTTAGAATGGAATAAGCGAATTGGAAAAAGAAGGCTAAAACGAATAATTTAAGGAAAGATTGAAGACTTTTAGTCGTAGTTATAAATAAAGTTAAGAAAATATATTCACCTTTTCTTGTATGAGTAATTTAAAATAAATAATGTCCATTTTAAGGCTATGTGTATAATTCTAAATAGAAAAAAATTAAGGAAAAACTTTCGAAAATCCAATTTAGTTATTACATTAAGGAGTATATTATTATTTTTTATCGAGTTTAAATACTTCTTAGCATTCGCTTTTGATGAAAATCTTTGCGGGAATTTTTAATTTTTCAGAAAGTGTAATTTTATAGGAAAATCAATATTTTTAAAACGTAAATGAATATTTGAATAATTTTTTAAGTCTTAATCATATAAATAAAAGTGATTAACTATGCTAAATTATTAATTGTATGTTGCCATTTATAATAAATAAATAAAATTTAATTTTATTTGGAAATTCAGGAAAAAAAAAATCTTTTGTTATCAAAACAGTCGGATTATTATATTCGAAAATTATAAGTATATAAAATATAAATAATATTAAAATATAAAAATATACATATTAAAATTTATATAAAATTAAAAAATATGTATATATATGAATATTTATATTTATATATATAAAAATATAATATATATGTTTATAAATTTAAATATATATATATATAAATATATATATTAATTATATTTATATATTATTTTATAAAAAATTAGATAAAAATTTTTAATTAAATTGGTTAAAACTTGATTAAATTTAATAAGAAAATTTATTTGGATATTTTAACGAATAGAGTTTTTTATTATATTATTTAATTTTTATATTTTTTTAAAAAATTTAGATATTTGGTAAAACGGAGTTCTTACAGAAATAATTTTAGGGATAACTTAAAATAATATTGATAAAAAAATTCTTAACAAAATTAAATATAACCATACCACATCTATATGTTGTTTCGATACTGAAAAGCCTTTCATAATTGATGAAAATGATTAAGAAACTTCTCGTGGTTCATTAAAAATAAGCCTAATATAAACACCAGATGATTGGATAGTTTTAGATTGTTCCGTATAATTAAATAATATGGATAAATAAATAGTATAATGGAAAAGATTTTAAGTTGTTTTGAAAAACGAAGGATTTGTTTAGCTAATTAAGATTTAATATTATTTGATAAAGTACCTTAGTGTGTATTCGAAATGGAGAGTTTAAAAAATATAAGCCCAGATTATTTAAGTAGTTTTGGTTTAGTTAATTTGAAGTAAGATTTATATAGTTTAGGGGAAGAATTTAGTTTTTGGATGAGTAAAATGAAACAAAAGAATTAATTTTTTGAAATGTTTGAAAGTCTAAGTAAAATATGTTTTGGACTTTTTTTCGAATAATGTTTAATTTTTTTAAATGAATTGAAAAAAAATGTATTTCTTTTTTAGTTTTTTCTTTATTTTTATATATATTTTTTATTAAATTAAATAGTCTTTTAGATATGTTGTTTCTAATAAAGGACTTTTTCTTAATTTTATTAATTTTTTTGAAATTTAAATGAATGAAATTAGAAAATTAGAAATTTCAACTGGAGAATGGGATGATTAAAATAATAAAGTATCAATTAATTAAATATAAAATAATTATATATTTATTATAAAAGGTTAATAATATATCAATGAATTTAAGAAAAGTAAAATAATCAAATTTAGTCAAATAATTGTCAATATAAGATGGGGAAAGTTAAATAGAATCAAATAAAAGTAAAAAATCAATAAATTTTCAAGAATCAAAAGACAATACAACAAAAATAATATAATATGACCAAAATACACGTCTGGTTTGTTATTTAGAGAGTATTTTTATATCTAGTTTAATTTAAAGCCTAAATTCAGTAATTAAGAAAAGCGCTTAGGAGAGTATAACTAGATTTATTTTGAATTAAATAAATTAATACATAGATTATAGATTTGATAAAACTTAAGTCAAATTTAATAAAAAGGAAAATTATCCTTTTGGGATGAATATTTTACATGTCTTATAATAATAAAATGAATAGAATTTATTCGAGTTTACATATGATATAGTTCGAAGTGAATGGAAAAAATGGGAAGATTTAAGCTGGGATAATTTCGGGGTTATTTCAGGGAATTTCTAAAGTAATATGCTTGATAATAAAGAAATTATTAGACTTAATCCTTACTCTATAGATATTATTAATAATAAAATTTCCAAAGAAGACTAAAATAGTGCGTTGCCGATTAATTTTATTTTCGTAGAAACGAAAGTGTCTAAAATTCTATCTTTTTAATTATAATATGCAATAGCCTATTAAAAACATATAATGGTAATTTCTAATAGATAAAATGGATTATCCACTGTTATTAATTAATAAGCTTAGCATTTTATTGAAAGATTTAAATATTAGACTATAGGAGTTTCATGTACTAGGAAGTTAAAGCTGAGAGATTTCTAATACAAAATAGAGTCTAATTTAACATTATAGAACCCTTTTACTTATATTAGTAAAAATAATACTAATGGAATTATCATTATTGATGATTTATCTATGTGTTAATAGTATATTTTTTATTTTATATATATATAAAATTTTTAAAAATATATAGAGGAATATCTCCTTTAGGTTTAATAAGAAGCTTTTTTGAAGGAAAGAAATGGTTTAGTAACGATTTAATGAAATATGTATAATTTGTGAATTTATGTATGATATGTTTATATTAATCAAGGAAAGGTACAAAGTAGAGCAGTAATTTAAGTAACAATATATGCCCTTCTATATTAGAAAAGTGTATGATTTTAAGAATGGGGAAATAAAATAATAAAGATATGATAAGCATTTTTAGTTCGCATAGTAGTTTAGCAGTAAATGGGTAAGCTTAGTTTTAAAATGAACAGTTAGGAGGAAGAAATACTGCGAAGTTTGTTTTCGAATGCGTTTCGGGGATATGCTTAATTTTTGTGAAAAAAAAGAAATATTTTGCATTTGAATTTTAGAATAGATTCGGGGTTAATTTTTGCATTTAGAATATGATTTAGATTGTGAGAAATTTAAACTATTTTTTCTTTTGTGATTTTTTAAGTAAAAATAATTAATTTGATAATTTAGATATATTATATTAATAAAATTAAACTGAGTATTTAGATATTTTCACTTATTTGTTAAATTCTTATATTTGTAGGGAGTTTGTTTTTAATGAAGGGAATTAAATTATAATTTAATAAAAAAATGAAGAAATTAATAAAGTTAGTGAGTATATTTAATCTCCTTTATTAAATAATTAGAATACTGTTTTCTAATAACTAGGGGAAAATTACCGAATCGAATTTGTTTAGGAAAATCTGGTCATTAATTTAAATTAGGCTTTGTAAGACTAATATACGCCTTTAAGCTGTTTACAAAAATTGGAGTTTTTTACTAATATTTTAAATGAAAATTAATAGGAAGAGGAATAATTATTACTACAAAATTCAGAAAACAATAATAGTTTTAAAACTTCTTATTTAAATAATTTTAATGGGTTTTTAGGAGAAAATGAGAAAAAATATTATGATTAAATAAATAATATTTAAAATGTAAAAAAGAAAATAAATAAAAAATAAATTTAAACGGAAGAAGATGATAATGCGTCTATTTCGGAAAAAATAGAAAAATTATTCAGGAAAAAATAAACATAAAAATGGCATATGCCTTCTCTACATGCTTCATAAGCTTTCAAAAGTAATTTTATGTATAAAAATTCAAAGTTTTAATAAAGTAAAATTAATGATTAATAATAATTTTATGAGAATAAATTAAGTGAAAAAATTTAATAAGTAAAAAATAAAAATATTATATGATAAATATATATAATTATAAAATAGATATACATATAAATATATATATATATATATTTATATATTTATATATATATATATTCTTATTTATATATTTTTATATTTATTTAGGTTTAAAGTATGAATTTAGATTTTAAAGAAATATTAAATTTACCTTATGAATTTTTAAAAGAATATTTGACTATAATTTTAAATTAATAACTTAATGATAATGAAATAGCTTGTCTTTTGAAAAGAAATGAATTATTTTTTATTAATAAATAAATTTTTTATACTAATGTTGATAAAGAATCTTAATAAGATATAATGGATTAATCGGAAGCTTAATTTGTATTAATGAATAAAGAATATTAGGAAAAATATATATTGTTTTTATATAGAAGTATATAAAACTATGAAGACAAAGATAAAATAATTGATTTATTTGGTTTTTCTTAATCTTCTTTTTATAGTTTATATTATCATAATTTGAAATTAATGCATATGTAATAAATGGTAGGTTGTAACTTAATTATTTAAAGTTTTTTAAATGAAGAAAGTGTTTTTTAAATAATTAAATTTACAAGCTTTTGTTTAAACTAGAAATTTAATTATTTTAATCCTTTTAATATATAAAATAATAATAACTACTAAAATAATTAAAATATTATATTTTTTAAGAATTATTTTGATGAATTTTTATTCGTATTATTAAAAGAATTATTTTATAATGAAAACTAATTGATTTTTTATATAAATATAAATGATATAATTAAAAAAGGAGAATTTTTTATTGATTTTATTTTGGATAAAATTAACGGAATTTTAAATGGAAGTGAAATAAATTCTCTTTTGGTAAAAAATAAATGGGAATAATTAATGAAAATATGGAATATATAGAAAACTTATGTAGGATATAATAATTAAATACTTCATTTTTTAATTGCTTAAAGATTAAGGAAATAGTTGAAGTTTATTTTTTATATTGAGCCTTTAAATTTAAATAAAAACGAGGAGTTTTTATTAAAAGAATATGAAAATATATTTAAATATTTTAATAAATATCAAATTTTTAATAAAATAGAAGAAAATGAAGAGGAAGAAAAGTCTATATTTAGAATATTTAATGAATTTAAAATGGAAAAAATTTAAAAGTTTAAAGTATAATTAATAAAAAAGCTTTATTTTTTAGATTTTGATGTATCTTAAATATAAGAAGTTTTTCCGTTTAAAAAAATAAGTTTTGAATAAACTAGAAATATGTTTTTTTATACTTATAATTTGATTAATATCTAAATTAAAGAAAAAATTAAAAAAGTAGTCTAAGAAAATGAATATTAGGATTTTTTATAAGTTCTTAAAAAAACATAAATGAAATACGAAAATGAAATTAATGCTAATAATGGCAATTTAACAAATGCAAATTAATAAATTACAGATTTTCAACTATAATTATCTTAAGCTTTAACTACAATAGAAAAATACGAAAAA